CTAACATTGTTCATAGCCAAACAAAAACAACTCACTACAAGCAGTCTTATATGCATACTAGAACCCGAATTAAACAAAAAACTATGCACAAGGAATTTTAAAATGTATATTATAATATAATATAATGCCTATTAATTTTTTTTTCATATATTCAATCAACTAATGACCAAAGTCTTTGGTTAAACTGTACATGTACTTAAATAGCTACACCAAAAAACTAGTTTGAGAAATAAATGGGGGAGAGAGTAATAGGAAAGCTATTGATTTAATGGGGTGGATATAAAAATAATTAAAAAGACAAATTTGATTAAGATAGGAAAACAAGATACGTCGAAGTTATGGACAAAGGCAATGAGATAAAAAAAGGGGATCTATATGGACATGCAAGAAAAATTAGGGTTGGACATGCAAAAAAAGATCAAAAGGGAGAATTGAACGTGACGTCACTTGTAATTGGCCTTTGGGAGTGTTACTGACAAATTGAGCACTGATAAGACATGCAAAACAACCAAATTGAAGAACTAGATGTGACATCACATATAATTAGTTTTGCATGTTACACGCATTTTTTTGGGGGGTCAGCCTTGATATTTGTTAAATGTTTCAAAATTAATGTTGATTGTAAAAATATAAAAAATGATAATGAGATAGATATAAAGATAAAAATGGAAGATTGTAAAGAAGATAAATATAGAAATATAGATAAATAGAAAGATAATAAGGGAATATTGATAATAGAGATAAATATAGAATCTAAAAAGTAAAAAAAAAAAAATCTAAAAAAGATATATACGAAAAGTTAGTATAATTCAAGATAATTCTAGTTTAAAAGCCATACCTTGATTGTTAGTACATCAAAGAATAATCTTCAAGGCCATGTTTTTGAATTATTCTTTTATGAAAGGGGTTGATTTTTGGCCAGCAGAAATTTTGAATGTTTTTGCGCTTGGCAAGAAGAAAGTGGTTTACATCTAAGATAATAATTATCGGTTCCACTTTTTCTGGCAAGGTAGCAAATGGAACAAAAAGACAGTCGCCTGTTTCAATTGGAGTATTCCAATATACAGCCACTGCTCTGCTAAATGTATTGGCTACAAGTTGAGGATGGTCAATTGTACCGAACCAATGTTGCTGGGGGAGAGGTGAGCGCTTGTCTTGGAGACTGCGAATTAGTGGGTTATTGGATGCAGGCATATTGCCATGCTCCATTCTTCCGTGGTAGTAGTTGTTTTGGTGCTTTAAAAATGTTTCTAGCATTTTGTCTTTTACTTTTGACCACTCCTCCTGGTCCTGGTACACTTCCATTGCTATTGCCCTGTACCCACAATTTCCGTCTGCTTCAGGAAAAAAGATTGTTGATATATGTTTTGGTGCGATTGTGAGATTTGTTAGTAATGTGGGATCGCATGGTGACCCAAGGTTGATAATATTTTTTATGGCTTTTTGCTCTTTAGCTGAGGATATTTTTTGCCTAGAAAACAAAGCAAAGATTTAGTAAATTAAATCTAAACAATATTAAAATCTTACTTTTTTGTTCTTTTTCTGTTTTAATTTTTTTTGTGATTTTTTCTTTTTTGGTATTGATGCAATGCTCTAATGCAATCATCTTGCGCTTGGTATTTTTTGGTCAGCCTTTAATGGCTTCAACTACTGTTGGGCCCTTAAGGTTTTTCGAGTTTCTGTGCGTCGATTTGTTTCAAAGTTTTTTCTATCAATTGATATATATTGATTTGTTCTTGTTTGCTCTGAGCATTGGCGAAATGTTCGCAAATAAGCTCAAGAGCATAGTTGAATTCTGGGGTTATTGATTTGATATTGTTGATGTTTGGGGGTACTGGGGTTGCATTTTAGATAGTTAAATGGTCTACATAATAAAATGTTATATGAGAAAATCGTCACGTAATTATTGCTATTATTATATATATTACTTTCTCCTTCTAGATAGTTTTTTCTCCAGCGTCTTGGGATGCAGGAGATTGGGATGGTATCGAATTTGGCGAGTGTGTGGTAACAAGAAAGCAGGTAGTTGTATTGTATGAGGCATTTGCACTCTTTGGCTAGTTTTTTGGGTATAATGGATTTGGATAATTCTAATTTGATTTGATCCATTGCAAATCTACAGACTTTAAGACGGATGTCATTTAGTCTGGTGGCATTGACTTTATCAAACACAATTTTTGTTCCTTCTCCAAGGCTTTCCACCATTAACCAATGCTTGCGATCTGCAACCTGTACAATTTATAAATATATTATAACCAATAAATGCATAAAATAGTATAGAATAAACTTACCAACTCGTCATACCACTTTTTTACTTTAAGGGTAACTGTCTTCAGTTTACCTGAGGAAGTACCAAGAGAATGCTTGAGAGAAGCATGGGCACTTTCTGCATGGTTCAATGTGCGATTGCCAAAATGGACATGTTTGTAAACATACATGTTCACCCAGTTTTCCTTGTCTTTCATTTTTCTGATAAAGTATATTAAAAAAACACGATTTTTTATAGTTAAATACTGTTTACATCAAATTTAGAAAATTTATACATACTTCTCAAGAAAAGCACTAGCAGCTTTTCCCTGGTCTTTGCAATTTTCCTTTGCAAATTCAAGGTATCCATTTGCTTCGTTTTTTACTTCTTGATGTGTAATGCATTTTAAAGCAATTCGGTCAAGGAATTCTGACAGCTTATCCAACAGGTCTCTCTTTTTGCTACTCTCGTCTCCCTTCATCATCGGAAGCAATTGCTTTTTAAAGTTGTCTTTGATATGCTTATAGCACAACAACTGCTTCGACTCAGGAAAGACTCGAGTAATAGCATTTCTCAATGCTTTTTCATTGTCCATGATGAAAACATCTTGGAGAAGTGTTGTTTGTTTGTCATTGCTGCTGTTGCTGTTGTTGTTGTTGTTGTTGTTGTCATCAGGCCAGACTGCATTGCGGAGACAGCTAAGCACCCAGAGATAATTTTCTTCTGTCTCATGCTCTACCCAAGCACTGGCAATTGGATACGTCTTTAAAGTGGTACGAGGGTTTCCACTCACATTGCTAGTACCAACAATGTTGACATAAGTCATTTGATGACTATTTGTCTTATATGTGGCATCAATAATGACAGTCTCAGGCATGTTTCGTGCCTCATTGATCGCATCCTGATGCACAAAGAAGACTATATTCACTTGATTGTCTTCTGTATTACTGACAGAATACCTGACATGGAAGTCAAGATCTTGCAGAGTGGTGATAAAGTCAAACATCTCCTTTCCTTTTTCCGATTTTCCGAAATATTGCTTTATATTAGCAATGTCATGATGAACAATGTTTGTATATCCATTTATCTTCAAACTGTTGAAGATGGTGGATACATTGTCATTGTTCTCCAGATGCTTAACCACAAGCACCATTGCCTCAGACAAAAGCTTGCGGTGCATAGCATATGCTCTGTGGTCTTCTTTGATGGCGTGGTTATGCTCTGCCTCACGGGAGCGCACAGTGAGCTTTTTGCCCTTCTTGGGGTTGGCATACATGAAGCAAGGGCAGCCATGCTTCTGCGTGTCTTTTTTGCGCTTTCTCTCCCATCTAGGAAGAGTTTCACCCATAACTGATGTTTTGGAAGCAACCTTCTCGGCTTTTCTGGTATCTCTATATTTGCCAGAGTGCTTGCAAATCAATTTGATGTGAGAGCTTGATGCATATTCAGTAGTGAGAGCAATGTTATGCTTGACACCATATGCCTTGGCAGCTTCTCGAACAGCTACGACTGAAGAGAATTCTCTTCCAACAAGAAAAATTGAGTTGAACTCAGTCAAGGCAGCATCGTACTTCTTCAACGTCTTGCTAACAATGACAAAGTCTTTGGTGTTGTTGATGTTGTTAATGTTGCTCATGTTAAATATCAAAAAAAATTATGCACTGATGTTATAGTAAAAAAGGGCAGTGATTTAATTGGCAATCTGGAGGGTAATTTATCTGATCCCCCCAAAAAAAATGTGTGTAACATTCAAAACTAATTATATGTGACGGCACGTCTAATTCTTCAATTTGGTTGTTTTGCATGTCTTATCAGTGCTCAATTTGTCAGTAACACTCCCAAAGGCCAATTACAAGTGACGTCACGTTTAATTCTCCCTTTTGGTCTTTTTTTGCATGTCCAACCCTAATTTTTCTTGCATGTCCATATCATTGCCCATATTATAATACTTGCATAATCTCATAATATCCATTATAACTGATACTGCCTTTTCTAACTCTGTTGGTGAAAGGTTTGGCATTTGGAAATACATCATAAAAGATTATTTTTAATTAAAGCAAATCAAAGATTAGATTTTAACATACCTTATTTCGTTTTTAAAAAAAATGAAGAGAAAGAGAAAGAGAAATAGTAAATAATTTTATTCATATTTATCTGATTTTCCTGGACTGCTGTACTGTTTTTTACTGGTCACATAATAATTAAAATAAACTAGGATTAACTCAGTAAGAGCAAGCCGGTGATTGGCTGAAAGAGTAAAAAGGAAATAGAGAACTTTTGAAGGAAACAAAAGATAATGTTTATTCATGATAATGTTGGTGATATTTATACTATTTTAAGAGATACCGCAGTATCCTAGTTTCTATGTGAAGTTCCTTTGACTGCGGTATCTTTCTGAGCAGTGCTCCTCTTATGCTTGCTTTTGCTCACTCAATGCCTGTGGTTGAAGTGGTTGCTTCTGATTGGAGAGGATTGGAACTTAGTGTTAATTCCAATCCACTCCTCACAGTTGCTGACTCAGAACTCACAACATAACCATAGTTTCTATCTATTGTAATGAGATTTATTAAATAGGTTAAAAATATGGTATACAAAGCATTAAATAGAGTAATAAGTAATAAATAGATATAAAGCTTATTTAAACAATACTCAATTTTTATTTATATAAGACAAGCTTTTTAATGTCAGAGTTTAAATATTAATAATATGTAACGATGGATTTGAATAGTCAAATCCTATATTGAATAATACATGGAATATATCTCCTAATACTAAATATTTACAACACATTTTCACTCTATGTAACCTGCATAAAATATATCTGTATAATACACTGAGTGTTAAAAAAAACGCAATTTTCTCTCAGCTGACTAAATTTCAGTCTAATATGCACTTCTTTGATTTTAAAAAAAGTATCAAGAAAAAGAAGTATACACCTAAAATTAAAATAATATACAGTAGCTCACATATACTTTTAGAGTATGTTATTAGACTTGATATTTATTAATAGTTTGTTGGGCAGCCTTTTGCATCAATTACTGTCTGGCATCTTTGATGCATACTTGAAATCAAGCTATCCAAATATTTCTGAGGATTTTTCTTCCATTCCTTCTCAAGAGCAGCATGAAGATATCTCAGACTGTGCAAGCTGTATCTTTTTTACCAGACTCTTTTGCTAACATAATCCCATAGATGCTCAATGGGATTAAGATCTGGGCTTTGAGGAGGCCAATCAGCCAAAACTTTGAGCTTATGCTGATTCTTCCAATTTACAGCAATATTGCTTGTGTGTGCCTTGGCACTGTCTTCTTGGAGTACCAAGTCACTCCAACCAGTTTTCTGCTGGAAGGCTGAGGGAGAAGGAGGATATGCCTCTTCTAATACTTCAACATGCTTCTTGCCATTCGCTTGTCCATTTATGATTTGTAAAGCCCCGACACCCTTGCTGAAGAAGCATCCTCAAATCATGAAAGAACCACCTCCAAACTTCATGGTTGGAGAGATACATGTAGTACGAAGACCAGCATTGTTCTTGTGGAGAACTCTCTTGCAGCCATTATGACCAAAAAGTTGGAATCGTTTCTCATCAGTCCAAATAATCTTTTCCCAATCCTCAGTACTCCAATCAAGATGAGCATTGGCCTATGCAACGCGTTTCTTTTGATTCTCAATAGATATCTTAGGCTTCTTCATCATTCTACAGTAATATATGTCATGACTGCGAAGAAAATATCTTAAAGTGTTTGCTGATATGGGATTAGCAATGGCTTTTCTGATATAAGACATTGATTGTATTGGATCCTTTGAAATCTCACGCAGGATCTCTCTTTTATCTCTTGCATTTAACTTCTTTGGTCTCTCTGGGTTCTTGACCCTCTCATACAACTCAGTTTCTTTATAGTGCTTAAGCACTCTTGAAACAGTATAAGGGCTAATATTAAGCATCTTAGCAATGTCACATTGCTTGGTGCCATTTGTAATGCTCTTGTGTACAATAATAGCGCGAGTTACATTGTCGGTTTTTTTTTCTTCCTTCAGTTCTGGGAGTAGGTGTCATATTAGTGCTTTTAGTTTTTTGATTGCTTTATTAAAATGTGAATTTAGAAGAAGAAGAACATCATGCAAGTTTAAAGACGTTTCAGACTATAAATTCTTGCATTATTTTTCAACACTCAGTGTACTGTGATTAATACTCAGGAAGATATTACTGCGCATAAAGAGGTACTGCAGTTAACTATCTTCAGATTTTACGGATTTATCAAAATAATGTCCGAAATCACCCCCTCCCAAAACTGTTGATAGTCCTCAATCAACCATAGATGTATCCACAAGAGAAAACAGCAAGGCAGAAAAAGAATCCGTGGCAAGATCTTGACGCATTTGGGCATGGACAGGGGTTGGATGATACCAGGTATGGTCAAAATTATCAGACTTGACAATTTTAAGATGTTCAGCATAAACCCATGAAGTATAAGAGACACCTTCCATAGTTGTGAGCTTGTATATATTTTTTTCAAAGTTCTTGTCTACAACGATGTATGGTCCCATCCAATTATATTCCAAACCGAATTTGCTCTCATGGCATAACAACAAATGTTCACCAATTGCAAATTAGTAGGGTTTTATAATAGAATCCCATTGTTTCTTGTCTTGCTGACTGTTAGCAGTCACACGAGCATCAGCACTATTGCGAGCTTGTTGAAGATTATAGAGAAAAGGGATAGCATTATCAGATACAAGGGCAGGATCATCAGGGATGGAGGTGTCCATAAATAGTCATAGATGATCACCAGAAATGCGAGGTTCACAACCGTATGGCAGGAAAAATGGGCTGAAACAAATTGTACAATGCTTCCTAATTCAACAGGCCCAAAGTGCAGTTTCCAAATACGCATCCCAGTGGTTTATGGCACCATGTACATATTTACGCAGCATTTGTTTGAGAATATCATTCAAACGTTCACACTTTCTATTTGCGCGAGGGTGACATGCTGAAGTCAGCTTGTGATGTGACTTGATTTTCTTGATGTAAAAGCTTAAAATGTGTGACATGAAGTTGGCACCGCAGTCCATGAGAATTTCTTCAGGGCAACCAAAATGCATAATGATCTCTTCATACAAGAAAATGTCAATGGCTTCACCAGTAGCAGCAGGAACAGCACGAGCAATAGACCAATTGGTGGCATAGTCAACGGCAACCAAGATCCATCGATTTCCATTTACAGTAGTTGGTAATTCTCCAATAAAGTTCAAGTGCCAGCGAGAGAATGCAGGAGGAATATCTAGTGGTTCCATGGGTGCGTGATGTATGTTACATTCTGCATTGGAGGCCAATTGACATTGAGGACAGTTCGCTAACCACTCTTGGATTTGGCTTTGCATTGCTAGCCACCACCAACGTTTCTTTATCAGATCATATACAGTTATTTCACCAGCATGCCCAAACCCATTGTGAAAGTTATTGACTAGATCTGCATGCTTGATAAACAGTGCAAACCGAATTTCTTGAATAGTATCGCCAATTTTTACCAGACGGAAAACCTTTTAATCATGTACTAGGAACTTGTTGTGCTGTCTGTAGAGTAATTCTTTAATATCTTTGGGCCATTCATCTTCTGGACATGCATAAAATTTAGGCCAATCAGATGTCTGGGAGTCAGGTATAATATACAGATATTCTGGTTCCATTGATTTAACTAAAGATACATTGTATTCTGGACCATCAAGGCAAGAGAGCACATCAGGAACACCATTGACTTTACTAGGCTTGTATTGTATGATAGGGTCATACAGCTCAAATTCGGAAATCCATCTTATCAGACGAGGAGTTGACTTAACTTGACTATGAAAGTACTTAAGTGACAGGTGGTTGGTGAATACTGTGAATGGTTTTCCTTCGATCATACAGCACCAAGTATGTAAAGCATGCAGAATATCTAGTAACTCGTGTTCTTGCGCAGGGTAGGAACTTTCAGCAGGAGAGAGTTTCTTTGATTCGATGACAATGGTTTCCAGATTTCTTCTTTGCCTTCTTGCATAAGTACAGCACCAACACCAAAATCCGAAGCATCTGTTTCAATGCGAAAAGGTTTATCTATGTCTGGGGCAAGTAATACTGGCTTGGTACTCATCTTTTCTTTAAGAATATCAAAACTTTCTTGGCGTGTCTCAGTTCAAACAATGGGTTTTCGCTTTGGCCTAGTTCCTGTGGTCAAGTCTGTTAATGGTGCAGCAATTCCAGCAAACCCAGGGATGAAATGGCGGTAATGCTGTGCCAGACTGATAAACTGTCAAACTTCTTGTACATTTGTGGGCAGAGTCCATTCTTTTATAGTCTTTGCTTTATTTGGCAATGGTAGAATACCTTTGGCAGACATGTTAAATCCAAGGAAAGTTAGTTCATTCTTGTTGAACTCACATTTCTTCAGGTCAGCAATCAGTTTAGCTTTGCGCAGTTGGCTTAACACATGTCATACATAGTCCTCATGCTCTTCTGGAGTCTTGCTAAATATCAAGATATTGTCCAAATAAACCAAAGCAAACTTATCCAAGCAGTCTCCAACGAACTGTGTTTATAAGGTGTTGAAAAGTTGGTGGGGCGTTGGTGAGACCAAAGGGAAGAACCAGGAACTCATATTGACCATATCGGTTATTGAAAGCAGTTTTGGGCTCATCTGAATCTCGGATTCTAACTTGGTGGTATCCACTTTTGAGATCCAGGCTGGTGAAATGGTTTGCTCCATTGAGGCGTTCCAAACATTTGTCAATACGTGGCAATGGATGATTATTGCAGACAATAACTTTATTCAAAGTGCGATAATCAACACACAGGTGCATCTCACCATTCTTTTTTTTTACAAACAGGATTGGTGCACCTCACAGGGATGACCCAGGACGAATCAGGCCAAGGTCTAAAAGTTCTTTGAGCTGTTTTTGCAGTTTGTCTAGTTCTTGTGGGCTCATTTTGAATGGTGGTTTATTGACAGGACCAGCATCTCCAGTGTTGATAACGTGTTAGATGTTGTGACTTGGTGGAAAACTAGGCAAACCATCTTGAAAAACATCATCAAATTCTTGTGCCTGTGGTATACACATTACAATTGAGTGAAGAACAGACCCCACAACTGAACACTGGTTCCTTCTTGCTAATGAACCTGGCAAGTTAACAATCTCCGGAACTGTTACACACCAGACACATGTACACTACACACTCATACAGTGTAAACCAGCCATTACACAACAGGGATTTGAATTACAGAGATTTGAATAGTAGCAGATATAAAAACAATATTATTTTGTCTCTTTAATAAATAACACTCTCACAGTATGTACTTTTTCCATTATTGAGATACTAACCATAAACAATCCCGAATACCTCAGTACCAACTTCATCCAGTGCTCATCGTTATATACTTCTTTTTCTGCTTTAATGTGCAACAAAAAACATTCCACCCCCTCCCTCCGAGAGAGTTTCTGAACTTGCTTTGTGGATATAAGGTAGTTAAGATGTGGTTTCATAGGACGATGACCATGTGGATGCAGAACAAATTCTTGACCATTGCAGTGTAAAGACCAGTTATTATAATGTCAATCAGGAACAAGTTTGGCAGCTTGTAACCAGGTACAGCAAAGAATCAAGTCAAATTTAGTAGGGAACACAAAGGTCTCAACTGTATTACTGTATCCATTCAAAGCGATGTTGAGTGTAGCCTTTTGGTTAATCTTGATGTTATGTTCTCCAGCAGTTTCAACTGATCGTCCAGGAATATCCAAAGTGTGTGTGGCCAGCTGGGCGATTTGTGGTGATACATAGTTTGTACTGGCGCCACTGTCAATAAGTACTAATATTTGTTGTCCATTGAGTATAGCAGCATACAAAGGCAAATCCGTGTCCACAGCCGCATGGAGATCTTCCAAGAAATTTTGATCAGCGGTCAGACAAGGGTCGCATTTTTCTTCAGAAATAGCTTTATGCTCTTCATTGATAACATTGGTATACTGATCAAGAATGTCTTTACTATTTTTAGGTTTAATAGGCTCATTGCTAATACTAGCCTGTGAAGAGAATTTTTCTTCCATTGTACACAACCAATCTCTCTTTATAGTTGTGTTTCGCAAAAATCCTGCTTCTTGCAATGATCCTCATCTAACTTCTTGATGACAACCAAATGGTCTCTGCAACTTCTCTTCAAATTGCCAGACAAACCACAACAATGACATGTAGCACCAGTACATGTTGGAGGATGACGGGACTGGTAATTGCTACAGCAGTTGCTGATTGCATCTAGGTCCATTTGCTTGGGTCCACTGTACTGATATTGCTGTTGCTCGTACTGTGGCTGGTATTGTTGCTGGTATTGTTGCTAATATTGCTGCAGAGGTGGCGCAGATGCGTAGTTGTTCTGGTAACCAAGTTGGAGACCACTTGCATATGCCAAGGCAATGTTACAAGCATCATTCACGTCGACGAGGTGGGCAGCAAGAACATTTTCACAGATGGATGGGTGTAGACCATGGACAAATTTATTGGGTACTTCTTCATTGTTCATTTCAGGTAGCTCTAATTGAATATCCTGAAAAGTATCAATGTACTCAGTGACAGTTACAGTTTGTTGTAATTGTGCTAATTGATCTCTAGAGGTCTGGAGAGAGTAAACTAGGTGGAATTCTCTGGTGACAGCTGTTTTGAACTCGACACATATAGCAGGATGGTCCGTTTTGAGTTCTATGCACCTCTATCATATGTCAGGTTTGTCACACAAAAGTTTTACTGCAAAGTCGCAGGCTTTGGTTGGGGCAAAGTTGTAGTACTTGGTGCAATGCTTGACTGCGTGCAGCCAGCCATCTACTACTGCGGCGGGACGTTCTTTTCAAAAACAATCAGGTTGCTTGATTCGTTCAGCATGGGACTTCTGTTGGGTTATAATTGCTTTCATTGCTTCTGCAACAGCAGCTGCGATTGCTTCAGCAATAATGGTGGCAGTTTGAGGATCATTTCTTGTTCTTTCTTTGTTTTATTTCCTGTTAAGGTTGCAGCTAATTGTGAGACAAATTCATTACACTTCTGTTCTCAGGCAAAAGTACTCTTAAGTCTATGTTCTTCAGGTATATAAGGTACATGCCGATTATTTTTATAGTTGTTTACTAGCTTGCTGAGTAACAAGTCCTGGACTCGTTCTTCAATCTCAAACTGGCTTAGTGTCTTTTTGTCAAAGTTTCCTTGGTGTCTTTCACCAGAATTCATCAAAGGTCTTTAGCACTATGGGAAAAAATGGCGGTTTTTTGCATTTGTGACTTTGTTTTTGGCCTATAATAATTAAAAAAAATTACAAAAAACCCAAAATGAAACAAGAAAATCTCTGTCTTTTGAAAAGATTGACAAAAAGCAAATTTACCACTGAAAATTAAATCTCCTGATAGACAAGTGTTCATTTTAACTACAGACTTTACATTTTTAGTGAGTGTAGATTGCAATTGATGATTATTAAAAGCCAGAGGTGAAAGAGAAGAAAATATCTAAACTTTTTGCTGGTAGGATAAAATATGTTAAGACAATTTGAAAAAAAAATGTATTACAGAAAAAAAAACAAATTAAATATCAGCAAAAGAACCAAGTGACAACTTAGGGCCATAGTTGAGTTCTGGCCACACTATGTATGCTGTCATTGTTGCTGTTGTTATATTTACTGTCGCGTCCGATACCACCAGCCCAACCAATTCCTTGACATCTGCCAGGTGAACTACCTTTGGCTTCATTTGTCCATTTCTCGCCACCGGCACACCATTGTACAGCATCGTGCTATACACCAACACCAAAGCAAGTGGCCATCTTTTCCCCTCATTGACATGCTCAAAGAAAAGAACAACTTTGCCAAAGAAGTCTTTTAGAGCAGGAGACGATCCTGGTCTTGCATTTGTTGCCTTGTTTATCTGCGACTGAAGGCAAACGTGATAGGCCTCTCTTTGTACTTTGTGGGCAAACGCAGAGTCTATCACACAGCCATTGACAACAAGCCACAAGGCTTGTTGTCAAGGCTGGATCAATCGTGCTGTATTCCACTCCCTTTGATTCATAGAACTTTGCAAGAAGAACTGGGAGACAAGAAATTTCTTCAATGCTGTCATGAATCGTTCTACATCCCAAAGGCCCTCAGAACTCAATGTCTGAGTCAACGCCAACACGCTCACCTTCCTCAGTCATCAGCCAACCAGCAGACTCATCATTGTATTGCAATATTCTTGCTGTTGTCCTCGCCTTAACTACTGAGGCTCCGTTTATGTCCACACGTCTTGTATGGGCGAGTCTCAGCATGATATTCCCGGCATTTGCACCAATAGCAGAATTGCTCTTTATTGACTGAGAATATTCTCCAATGGCCCTCTCTAGCAACCTGGTGCTGTACGCTCTGGGAGGGCCAAATGCATTGATCATTGCTGGGTAATGCTGCAATAGGTGTTGGTGGATAGTAAATATCTCTATTCCAACTTTACCATTTTGGAAATGGCCTTTCAGGTACGAATTCCACTTAATGAGGTTTCTAAGAGAAAGATCAGAATAAGTTCCAAAAACAAAACTCTGAATAACACTAAACATACCTTTTTATAGAGGTTTGTTCCTCTGCTGATAACTCCCAGCTCATGAGTAGAGTGCATGCTTGCACAAGGCCAAGCAATGCCTTCCGTGCATCTTGATTGTGGACATGCTCTGCCACCAGAGTGGGAACCACAAACAGAAGGAAATCGGCTCAGTCCACAGCTCAGAAATATCCTGCGTGTCTTGCCACGTCCCTCCAAGCACCATAGAAAGATGTTGGGATCAATCATCTTGTTCCTTCCATTGCTGCGCCTATCTCCTTCTGTTCTCCAGCAGAGAGAAAAAGGGGGTGCTTAGATACATACTTCCCGCAAACAAGCCCCCAGACCTGCTTGCCAATTCCGTGACAAAGACCATGCATCTCATTGAGGGCAAAGAAAAATGGGCCTGTGAATGACGTCAATGAAGCAAATGGAGATTGTCTTTTGAGGCCCTTCCACAACGCACTATCAGGGTTGAAGCTTCTGAAGCTCTCTACAGTGCGGATGGTGGTACCTGGCAAGGTTCTGAAATATTGGCCATGACCTGGAGTTTGTCCAACAACATTGCAGATATGACAGCCATTTTTGCTTGTATGGCCAGCATGGCATGCCAGCTTTGCCAATGCTGGAATGTCACCAGTTGCCATGAGAACATGGACTTTTGCTCTCATTGTTTTTGTTGGTGTTTTTATCACCATTCCGTCTGCTTGCAGTATCTTGAGCAATTTGATGGTTGGCTCAAGAAATGATCAGAAGTCGGCAGGTACAGTTGCAGCAGGGATCATTGCGATCTGGATCATTTGCTTGCACTTGTAATGGACCATTGGAGGAAGGTTGAGCATGGTGGCATGTAAAATGGTCACCGTACCAGGAACCTTGTGTGGAGCAAAGTCATCAACTGACAATGAAATGGCGATATCATTCTCATCAGAAAAAGGATGCTTGATCGATTCATAAGCTTGGCCATCAAAGACATCAGATTTGCTTCCGTTTTGACTGGACTGATGGTTATGACAATACATCATCTCGTTTCTTGTAGTGTCATCAGCCAAACAGAGAGCAAGCTGTCTAGCCAAAGGGATCTGAATCATTGTTTTGACAGGGATTGGCAATCCGTCTTTGTCTTTGGCATCGTTTTTATAATGTGACTCACCACAATTAGGACATACTGTCTCATGACTGTCATTGTAAAGCTTACAATCATTATGGCAGATGTCATACTTATCTCCTTTTACAGAAGAAAATCTCTCAAGAAGTTTATCTCCAAGGTATGAAGAGCATGCTCTGTATGTTATGTCATTAGATGTCTCTAGAATCTTGTTAAAATGATGAGCAATCATTTCATGTGCTTCACACGAAATTCCAAAATCCTTGATTATCTTAATGAACTCAAGATTTTTGCATCGTCATTGTTAGGAATGGGAGTGGGTTGACTGAAATCAAATATCAGAGGAGAGGTTTCAACGTGAATGTCATCCATGGCATGATCAAGATCGGCATTATACTTTATTAAGGTAAATAGTAATTAGTGTTATAGATATAGATACATAGATGTATGTATATATCTTACCATGGGCTGATCATTATCATTGTCACCATTATTGAAGGCATCCACAGTTTGGTTATCAATTGTGGCTGTGTTTTCTCTGCTTGTTCATGAAGGCAATAATATAATTAATTACTTGTTCTAACAGTGCATATGTCTTTCATAGACTTACTTAGAGGTGTATCTAGGTACAATGCTTGATACAACATTGGTTTGCTCAGAGACAGAAATGGGTTGGGAAATCTCAAAATTAACCATGTTTGAAGAATGGATTTTCATACACTGAATTCTGCATAAATTGACTTTTCTTGTGCTATTGTAAAATGTATTGCAGATTCTGCATTTGTAACTACTACGCTTTGTAATTGAGAACATTTTTAAAGGTTGAAAATAACACTTTGAAGTAAAGGTATGAGTATCAGTAATTGCTTTTAAATGATATGTCTTTATACTTAATAACTTTGAGTTTTGTGTAGACATAATAACTTCAAGATAATGATGACATAGATAATATGAGTATAAACTCAGAAACAGAATCTGAAACATTGCGTATTAGCTGTCAATATAACTATGGTAAGTCAAAATTAATATTGACTGTGATGAAAAAGTTAAACTAATTAATATGAAACTAATAATAGATGATAGAAAATTTTTTCACTCTTTATTCTTCTTTCACAACAATCTTTTTGCTTACACAAACTAAACTCTTAACATGAATAACATAGAAAGCCAGGTCATATCTTTACTACAAGCTATGCACAGTGAGATAATCTCTTTGAAGGCAGGACAGGACACTATCAAACTGGAATTGAATTCTACAAGAGAAGAATTGAATTCGAAGATTGACTACCTCCAGAGTCAACTAGACAACAGAGGATTTTCTGAGCAAGAGACAGTACCTTCTGCCACTGACATTGTAAATCAAAAATAAAATAAAATGAATATGTATTAACATGTAATCCAATAGCCTTGCAACAGTCTTATCCGTGCACCTATTCCAAATACCTGGGATATAACATTGAAGTACATCTTCAAAATGATGAGTGAAGATCTTGGTATTGAGGTAAACAATGAAGAGAAGGCCACTCTCTGAGTATATTCAAAGATCATTTGTGATGAGCTGGCTGTCCATCCTTTGGTGAAGGATCTTGGTTCTTGTTCTAGCTGGGGGTCTATATCAGTAATGGTTAGAAAACAAATGTGTGCTAAACACGCAATGTTGATGAAGGATGCTGGTATCAACCTCACCAGATGCCATGAAAACTGGGCATCTGCCTCAAGAATCTCTCATCTCTGAAGAGACCGTTTTAGAAGATTGCAGTCTCATAAGTAATCGAATGTAATAAAATCGAATGAGATACTCTACTATAATAACTTAGAATATAGTGTAGTTTATAGCCAATAAAATTCAAATGTTGATTTTCTATTATTAAATAATAACCAATAAAATGAACAATAAAAACTTTTTCTTATATTAATATCCAATAAAATGAACAATAAAAGCTTTTTTTCTTTAATAATACTCAATAAAAGCATAATTGTTAAATCAAACAATAATTCTTATAAATATAATCCAATAGGCAGCTATTTTCTTTAGAGTAATAATAACAAAAATAAATTGTGTCCAATAAAATATCTATTTAATCTACATTTTAAAACAATAATTGTCATATAAGAGAGTATCAAATAAAAGTATCCAATGATGTATAAGCTTTATACAATAAATAAAAGAAACCACGTCCAATATAAAAGCCAATACTAAGAAAAGAATATTGCTATGTTATACAAACAACATATTAAAGAACAGAGTGCGGAAAGTCATTTATTTTTGTTTAAACTCAATGGTGGTTTGAATGGAGAACTTGCAAAAAACTACCAGTCAAACCATCAGTCAAACCACCAGTCAAACCACCAGTCTAACTACCTTTTTTTTCCCGTAGTGTAGGAGGAAAAATAGCTTCAGCTACCAATTGCCATTCCCAATTTGGGTGGGTCTTCCTTTTACTATAACAAAGTCAAAAGGTCAAACCCACTGGGGGATCAAGGAGTATACATAAAATCAAAGAGAGGATAAAAGATGTTTTTTATTGATATGAATTGAATTGTCTTATATAGCTTTCTAGACTAATACTGCACATTATCCGCAGTAGCTATTATATTATATTTAAATAAAAGAAGAGTCATTATACTGCAGTTAATGCTCAGGAAGATGTTACTGTGGATAATGTGCAGTATTAGTCTAGAAAGCTATATAAGACAATTCAATTCATATCAATAAAAAACATCTTTTATCCTCTCTTTGATTTTATGTATACTCCTTGATCCCCCAGTGGGTTTGACCTTTTGACTTTGTTATAGTAAAAGGAAGACCAACCCAGATCAGGAATGACAAATGTCCGACACCAACACAAGATCAGGAAAGTCAAAAAATGATTTCTGCCAGACTTGAACTGGCGACCGTCTGTGTGTTAGACAGACGTGATAACCAACTACACCAAGAAACCACACACTCTCTTCCACAACCAAATTATTTTTTAACTTCAAACCCCGCACAGTTTTACTTTTACCTCTTTTTCTCTATAACTACTATATCAAACCTATCTGTTTTTTGCAGCAGGATTGATTGTCATAGTTGTTTTTATATATCTACCAATTTTCATTTTTTTTAATTGACTTTTTTTTCAAATTGTTGGAATCATCATTGCAATCATCTTCACATCTGCGCCGAAATCACTCAAGATTGTCAGCATCTCCAACTACATCTCGATTGCCTGTACCTCTGTTATCGTCTCCAGCTCTTTTCTCCTTCTCTGAAGGTGGTTCTGGTGTTTTACCATCAACTTCGCACTTTTTTGTCCCAGTTTCAGACCTTTCTTTTTCTGCTTTGCCTGCTCCTGGTTCCCACGAATTTTTTTTTCAAGCTCCTCCAACAATGATTGGTTCCCAAAAACAGGTGATTAATTCCACTGGCCGCCCTACTCCCACTGCTCTCATTTTGTCTGGCCTCAAGGCAGACTTTAAAAAATTGCACAATGTTTTGTCCTGTTCACATTGCCAGACTACAGGCAAAATTGTTTCTAATGGGTCTACTTCTCGTACTGGTAGCCCACAGTTTAAATGCAAATGTGGTGCAACATTTACTGCTTCATCCATGCAATCTTTGATCAATGCAGTCCAACACAAAATTCCTGAAGTTCATTCTGCAAGTGAGCCTGTTGTGTCCCCTTCTGTTTCCATCTTGGGTCATAGTATTTCCATGGCAGATATCCATGAAATTGAATCTGACATTGCACCTGTTCTTCCAACTGTAATGCCCACTCTTCAGGATATTTGGGACCGTTTCCAGGCTTATGATGAACGTCTTTCTGCATTGGAGGCTGTTCAAAAAGAGAACATTGAGTTGCGTAAGGCTCTTGCTACTGCAAACGCCACTATTGCACGTTTGACAAAGGAGAATGTTGATTTTTCTGTTGGTGCTGCAGCATCCAAATATGCTACTATTGCTGCCTCTGTTCCAGTTGTTTCTCAGGCTGATTTTCCATCACTTCCTGCATCCCAGACCCATCATTCCACTGAACCCACCAAGACTTTCGTTTCTAAAACACCACGTAAAAGGGCTCCAACTGCTAGGGCCATTGCTGCTGTTGTTCGTGGCATGACAATTAAAGAAAATGCTGATCAGGGGTTTCAAATTGTTTATGTACCTAATGCTATCCGTCTCCCCATTAGTACTCAACGTCAACGTCTTAGGAAATTAAAGATAGACAATGCACGTGTGCTGGATCTCCACTATTCTGATCGTAAGGTGATGGGAATGCTTGTACATAATGAGTATGCTCCTGAGCTCAAGACTATCTTGGCGAGTTATGGTGTTACTACTTTGGATAACTTTGATCCTCTGGACCCTGTTCACCCCCGTGACCCAGCTCTGGCCTCTCTTTCACTTGATGATAGGGCAACAAAAGCTATACATGTTCACAATGATCGTATGCTACGTGCCATTGAATTCATTAGGGCTCCTGTCAAGTTTGCTGTTGCACGTTCCTTTTGCTCTCAGGGATGGATTAGTGATGACCAACTAGCTGAGATTGTTCCCCCACGACCCACCAAAAAAGACTTGGACATCTCTATACATACTGCCAGCATCACCATCCCTTCATTCTCTGATCTATGAATCCAGTAACAATTACATTATGGAATGCAAATGGTCTTGCAAAACAGACCATACCTACGATCCTTTCATATGCTCCACTTACTTCCCTTCTTTTTATCACTGAAACGTGGCTTTTGTCCCCCCATCGTTATCCTACTTCTTGGCAGCAGTACCATACCTATGGTCAGTCTGTCCCCAATGCTAGCCGTGGCTGCATGGGTATTTCTCTTCTTGTAAATCCTTCTTTCCCTTACCCCATTTCTATTGTTCCTTCTTCTTCTCCTTATGTTCTTTCTTGTATTGTATTTGATTTTCTTATTCATTGCATTTATCTTCCCCCTTCTCTTTCTGCTGATGATGCAATTTCTATTCTTTATAACCTCCCCCTCTCTTCTTCTTCTATTCCTTCTTCTAACACTATTTTTTGTGGTGATTTTAATTCACGTATGGGATCCTTTCTTGGTGACCATACTATCACTTTGCGAGGAACTTCTTTTCTTCAGTGGATCCAGGCAACTGGTCTCACTTGTTGGAATGAATTACTTGCATTTGGTATTCCTACCTTTCTTTCTGGTGGCTCTGGTATCTCACGTTCCAGTGTCATTGATTTATTTCTTTCTACGTCCCCCCTTCTCAATCCTTCTATGCAAATTCGTTCTGATCTTTCTTTAGGCTCTGATCACAAAATGGTCAACCTCACTTTCACTCCCTATGTTTTACCTCCCCCTCCCCCTACTAGCCATCCGCGCCTACTTTGGAATCTTTCCAAGCTTGCTCAGCCTGACACTCTCAAGATCTACATTGATACAGCTTCTGGGTCATTGGACGATCTGACAGAGCAGTTCAGTGCTTTCCTTTCTTCTTCTTCTCCTCCTCCTGTAGATTCTCTGTGCTCTGCTTTTGCTCAAGCTATCTATGATACTCTGGACACTGCTGTTGGTCATCGTACACCACGTACCATGCAAAAGTACTGGTTCTGGTCAGTGGACCTTCAAGAAGCAATGGATCTGAGAGAACGCAGCTACCAATGCTGGCATCATTCTAGTGGTTTGCAGAAGGCTATATGCTGGATGCGCCATCAGGATGCATGTCATGCTGTTAGGTTATCAGTCCAGCGTCGTCGACATGAAACATGGAAAGAATTCTGCAACAAATTGGCAACACAAGACTTTGCAAAGACAACAGCAACAATGAAACATATTAAAAGCCATCGTCAAACCAGTCCTGTCTTTGTGGATCCGGGTGGACCTCAAGTAGCTGCTAACAAAATGGCTGATCATCTTCAACAGATTTTCTCAGGTCAATTTCTTCCTGCACGCCGCCCTCCAGACCAGACAGTGATGATTTCATCACCAATTGCAATTGATGAATCATGTCCTTTTACTCATCTTTCTGTAGAGAGTGCAATTCTCAAGCTTCCTACACGCAAGGCTCCTGGTGTTGACCATCTTCGTGCTGAAATGCTTCACCCAATTGTTAAGCAAGTCTCTCCTGTTCTTTGTCTTTTGTTCCAGCTTTGTTGGCAATGGGGTTCTGCACCTCTTGCATGGCGTACTGCACAAGTTGTCCCCATCTTTAAAAAGGGTGACACTCAGGACCCTGCTAACTATCGTCCCATTAGCTTAACGTCTATCCTGAGAAAAGCCATAGAATATTGTCTACAGTTTCCTCTTGAAGATGTGTCTCCAACAATTGACATTGCACAGGGTGGATTCCAATGTCAACGTAGCTCCCTTGATCAAGTTCTTTGTCTCCATGAGATGGTTCGTCGTCACACAGCTCTATTCAAAGCACCACCAGTCTTGGCTTTTCTTGATATCAAGTCTGCATATGACACTGTTGATCGTTCTGTAGTATGGACATCATTACGTCCTCTTGCCTCTGATGCTATGTTAGCTTTGTTACAAAGTCTTTTTGACAATGTTCAAGTTGAGGTGTTGCTTTCTGGTGCAACATCCAGATCATTCCAACCATTGACTGGCGTTATGCAAGGATCTGTGCTTTCTCCCCACCTTTATTCTGTGTACATAAATTCTTTACCAGTTGCTCTTTGTGCTGCAGGGGAACTTTGTAACACAGTATTTAATCAGACTGCTGTCACAAGACTCAATGATCAATTAGTCAATTCACTACTTTTTGCTGACAATGTTGCCATCATTGCTACACCAGAAGCTATGCCTGTCATTCTGAATTCTGCTGAACAACATTCTCAAGAGCTAGGATATCATTGGAGTCCCACCAAGTGCATGATCCTTCACCATTCTTGTTCTCTTTCTCCTTTGTCATTCTCTCTCTACAATGTGCCTATTCCTCATGCTCATTCGTTTCCTTACCTTGGTGTTCCCTTCTCAGCAAAGGGGACTATTGATCCATCTCTTCTCATCTCTCGTAATTGTGTCTCTGCTATCAACAGCATGCGTGCTCTTCAATCACTTGGTGTCAATCACACTGGGTTGTCACGTCTACTCTCAATTCGTTTGTATCGCCAGTTTATTCGTCCACAATTTGAGTATGGCCTGGCAATATCCTGCTTCAACATCAAACAAGTTGCTGTGTTTGAAAAGGCCCAGAACACATGCTTACACGTGATTTTTGGAGGTCACTCCACATCTTCTACATCTGTTTTCCATCACCTTGGGAATCTTCCTAGCATGAGGGAGAGGATCTTGACTCTTGGTTTCAAGTTTGTATATTGTGCTTTCTGGTTGCCTGATGAGGCTCTGTTTACTCTTCTTCGACCTGTTCTTACAAACCCAGCACACCAATGGTTTAAGGTTTTAGCTAATCCCATTTGGTTGTCTCTCTCCAATCGTCAGAATGCTGATTCTAAAGCTTGCAAGCATGCCATTCATTCATTTTTGAACCAGGGCCTCTCCTTGCAACGCTCTCAACAAATACTTCTCTCTGCTTGCCATCCTTCTCTTGGTGTTGACCCTATTCTCTGGCTTCCCATGACTAACTATGAACGTAGTAGATTCATACGCTGGCGTATGGGGTGGCTTCCTGGACGTTCTCAACCTTGTTCCTGTGGATTGCATACCACTAGCCATCATCATGTCATTGAGTGCACTGGAGCTGCAATTCGTCTCCATCTCTATTCTACAGTACAACCCAATCCTATTGATTATGTACTCAATATGCTGCCTCTGAAGAAACTTAAAAACAACAAGAACAATGCCTTCTAGATCTTTACTTGGCCAATTCTTTGTAGAATCATGTTGGACATAGAACAGATCTGTCTCCCTGAGGTTGATCTTGCTGATCATGCTACAACAGACAGAGGACAACTCTTCTTGAACTGGCTACCCAAATGAGACTGGCCATCTCCTTTTATTTTTAGTTTAGATCTGTATTAGTCTTAGTTTCCATTTATTGCATGAATTTCATGCATGCTTCATATTTTATTTTTATCTCCCTTTTTTTGTATCCCCTAGCTTAGTTTCCCTTTCTAGTTTTTCCCATTTTCCCCCTTGGGTTTTTTTCCTTTCTATTATTCTTTTTTGTACTCTTAAAGGCGGGCAATAGCTGTATAGTGCATGTGCCCACTAGCTTTTCAATAAAAATCTTTTACCTACACCAAGAAACCCATTCTCTCTTATCGGGGAGCATTAAGCTAATAAATCAATAGCCAGGCAATATAAAAACAGGCAAAGAAGTATACTTGATAATAAAGAAGTATACTTAAAGAAGTACAATCAAACAGACAAAATAATATAGTAGATAAAAAGATGATTTTATTATGAACATTGCTATTGATATTTATACTAATTATTTGGAATGTTTGTCTTGGCGTCTTATTTGATATAATGCCTCATCTGTAAGAATGTTAATTGAATTATTGTTTCTACTATATGAGAATGTCAGTGAGAGTCAAAGTAATTAGTTACAAAAAGAGATTCGTTTGCCCTTTTCTCTTTTTGGAACAATTGGTTTGAATCTCCTCTTTTGTTCAAGCCCCAACTTGCCAGCTACGACACTCTTTTGTAACGTGTGTTATAGACAGGTCCAACGTTAGCCAGTTTCTAGTGATGGATACTGGACAGTGGGTTGCTTTGGTGGTTTGGTCCAGTGGTGAGCCGTGATGGGTGGTACCAGACTCATGGACATTGACATTGACGGTGAGTCAACTGAGTGACATGCCTCGAGGGACAGGAGTGGTCCCCTCAGGTTTCTTGGGAAATCTTATTCCCAATAGCCCTTATACCCAAACCCCCAATTTCATTCCGTTCCTTAAAATTAGAATACCTATCTATATCGTCATCTCAGAAACATCTGTCACCCACTAAAAACATTATATCTCTTTCCCCTAATTTTATATACCAGCAGAGATTTTTGGTATCATTTTAGGTGAAAATTGGCACCTAAGCAATATGATTGGCTTAGAGGCCAAAATATTATAATTTGTTTTTGTACTCAATTTTTTTCATCCAAATAAAGGATAAAATTAAGTTCAGTACTACTTGTGGGCTTTTAAAGTAAGAGAAAAAAACTGTTAGAGAAGTCAGAAAGTGTTTAAGTGAGATAAAGGATTTATTAAGGAAAGTTGAGGGTTGGTTTGAGTAACCAAGAAATGACTTCACAGAAATTACGCAAAAAAATTGATGTTGAGAAAAAGAAAACAGAAGGTTCAAATAATAATTATAATAATAATAAAGAAGTAGCATCATTTTATTCATCAAAAAGAATATTATTGAAAATGAACCAGTAGAAACCAAACTTGCTTAAATTTATAATGTAAAGTGGGTTGCGGAAAATGTGCAAATCTAACTTACAAACGAGATTCATAGTAGCAACATCAGAATGCTCATCTGTCATTACAGCCTTGGCATAGTTATTGTTTCTGTCATTATCTGTACGAGGAACAATGCTAAGAAACTTAACAACAGAGCCTGAGACAAGTCCTATACAAGGGCAAGAGATTGGATCATCTCTAAAAACAAACGCACCAAAACTATTGTTTTGGACGGCGTCATCTTCAATATCTTCAGTGTTGTTGTTATCCTTTAGCTCTCTCAAGCCGCCAAAGAAGGTGTAATAGAACAAGGATTAATTGTTGTCCTTAATGAACCTCTCCATTCCAGTTCCAGACTTCTCTCAGTTGTCAGAGCTATTAATCTATGACCCACCGTCAATTACATGTTGTAATGCTACCTGCTTTGCAAACTTCAGGCAAACATCCCTGGAAGTGTTTTGGCAATTCGTATGAAACAGATGTTTGCAAATGTGGTTATTGAACTGTTTGCCCTTTTCTGTTTCATAATTGAGGGCTGATCCAAAACGAATTATATCTTCCTTGAGATGTGTCAAGTAATAAACTTTTGGCTTGGTGCAATATGCCTTGTGAAGCTCATTATTGGTTCCTTTATCGTAGTCAAACAATGCTCTGATCAAGTGCTTCACTGCATTATCTACTCTGATAATATAGCTATCAAAGTCTGATGTCACCTGATGAACAAATACCAGAGAACACAATCGGCCAAGTTCAACAAAGCATGGTATTACAAGGTCTAGCTCATGATTTCCAGAGAATTCTGTAATCAGAATTACAGGAAGTATTTGAAGCAGAACCTTGAAATCTCTACTGAGGAATGAACTACTATGTCTTAAGTTTTGGGTGAACTTTCTTGATAGACCAGTTGATTGCGTGTAATCTGTCAAGAATTCTGAAAGTCTTGCTATTGTGGCTGTGTCATTCTTAAGCACGACCTTAACCAAGTCAATCACCATATACTTTGCAACATCAAGAAGTATCATGTGGAGGATTTTCACTGTTGTATCCTTTTCTGGATCAAATGACTGCAATTCTAATAAGTGGCCAGTCAAACAATCTCTAAAGCTTATCTCGTTTGCAGGCATGTTCATTCCAATTTTTGGAGCATTTGGGATCTCAGTGTCTTTGCCAGATGATGAGTTTGCAAGAACATAGTGCTCTCGAGTTCGTCTCTCATGGCATTCACAGAAGTAGAACAAGTCCTTTACAAAGTCTTTTTCATGTCTAAGTTTGATGTATCATCTTCTGCAAGGAAATGTGGTAGCTGGCCCAAGCAATCTGCAAAGTTCCAAATGATATGGCGTGTCAGCCTCAATCCAAAGGATGGGAGCAACAACCAGAAAATACTCATTGTCTTCAGCGGAGAACATTTTTACACCTTTCTTGAGTTTCTTAAAGTCATCAACGATTGCTGGCAGAAGAGACATACCATTTGCACCATCTTTCCTAGGAATTGTAGAAAGAAACTAGACGTTTGCTATCGAATTTCGATCCTTAAAAGGCAAGGCAGTGCATCTCATTAACCAGCTTTCAAATGGATTGTACTGCTTTGAACGATTGCCAGAAGTGTCGTCTGTAAAAAGGATGATTGGAACAATCCTAACTTTGTAAAATACTGCATCACAATCTACATTACTGGACAAAACAGAAAGAGGCATAGACTTCTTCAATGGATGAACTCCAAAAAGGAGAAAGCCATGAGCAGGACTCAATCTGGTAAGGCTACTTGAGATACTGTAGTAGTGATCTCTTTCAACAGGAGTGGTGTCAACGTGAGAGATCTGCTCTACTCTAAGATTGGTAACAGCAACCTCAATGCCATAGCATACAATCAAAATCGCTCTGACCAGATACCCTCTTGCAAAAATGTTTTTGTTTGCCGTGTGGAACAATTCAACTAAAAAGTGAATGCTGTGTGGTATTTCAGGTACGAAACAATAGAAAAATAAAATATTTGATAATAGAGACGTATAGAAATACTTTGAGACTGTATATAAGTTGTCTTTATTCATAAATAAAAAGTGTCCCTTTTTATAAGAAAACACAATCTGCTCTTGTCATTATGTCTTAGTTTCTTAAGGCTTTCTTCCTTTACTATATTTGGTTATTAGAGTGTATTTACTGCTTAACTAGTGTCGGTGTTACAATTATGACATCAAGTCATAAATCGTACTTCTTTAGCTCTTAGCTATTCTTTTCTCTTTTATACTAGAGCTTTAGGACTTCCTACTAAATTAGCTCCATATCGATCTGACACAGTTTACCCGGCAGTATGATATAATTATCTTAACAATCTTTAAGATATTATCTACAGTACTAACTGTAATAATTATTGGGCTGATTACTTAATCGTTTATATATATTTTATACTGACAAGATGATAGCTACTACGCTATCCCAATATGAATATGTTCTTATATGTGATAAATCCAACATCCGAGTGTCTGGATCACCACATGCTGCAATTGTTTGTCTTCAAGTAAACAATGTTTCCAAACCAGACATCTATACCATTTACAGTGTGCATAGGCTGCTGAAATAGATGGTGGGTTCTCCACTTTTCACCTTGTTCCAAACAGATCGATTGGTTTGGGTACAATCAGACATGGACGAGATCAACTTGGATTTCTTTGGGCTTGCAATAAGAAATCTCAAGTGGTCGGACAGAAGGTTAATATGGGCGAATGCATTCCCATTTGATCCAGGTACTGGTATTCTTTGTGAAGGAAAGACAGGCATCTTGAACTTCTTTCTTGCCTGATAATTTAAAAGAGCATCCAAATGAGGTAACTTAAATGTTCTTCCTATGGGAGTTTCTTGCTGGATCTTAATGATCAAGTTTATCGCAAGCAGTATCTTCTTCAACATTTGCTGGGAGATCATGTCATTATCCCCATCAATAAAAGCAAAAAAGATCATGATTTGAAGATCGCGAAAAGGGTAACAGCTTGTAGGGTCATTTATAGCGCCAATTGTCTAAAAGACTTTTTCTGGGATTTCAGAGTCATCATCAGTCATTGATACCTCATCATCAGCAGCAGCAGAAGAAAACATGTCAGAGAACGCGTTGAAAACTGGATTACAGTTCATTTCAATATCAAAGAAATTATCAATAATATTGTTTTTCTTGTCTACAATGTTGTCTTCTTCATCCCCAATACTGGAGGAGTCATCTTTGTCACTCAAGTAATCAAATGCATTAACATCCGGAATAGTGTTCTCGACTATCAATTCGGCCTGCTCGGGTTCATCGAGTACAGTATTGGTTGGCATTTGATTACTTATATGGTAAACCTTCGAATGCCTTTTCAGTAACCAAGGCTTTTTGAACTCTTTTTCGTATTCAGAGCAGGTAAAAACACCTGAGTTGATGCTAAAGTTAATCTCCCCTTGCCTTTTAGGAGGTTGAGTCTTAACGATTTTATACGTTTCTTGTCTTGTATTCTTTTGCATAATAATAAATTGATTGTAAAAACAAAGGGGGAACATGACTTTGCGAAAATAATTGAATTTATAAAATGTGCAAAGATTGATATTTAATGTCAGTGGACCAATTAGAATTTTTTTTTACTTCTTTTCTTTAAAGAAAATATTGCGTGTTTTTGTCTTCTTTTTTATCTTAATTTTCCACTAAATGTTTATTATTTGCATGAGCTTCCATTTGTAAGATATTCCAGTATGTTTATAGTATTTATAGAAGCAGAATTTTGCTTAAAGACTGTAAGCTCAAAGGTATTTATGCTATTAAAGTTTTTTATGTCATTGTGTTTATTAATCATGCAATTCTAGTTTATAAATTAGTTTTTCATCATCTCGGTAAATCAATAAAGAAGTAATAACTATATGTTCCTCTTACAAAGCAACAGAAGACTAGCTATTTACTCCTCACTTGCAGAGATTTGGCTGCCTTTTATTGCAAATGCCTTAATAGAGTCAAAGATAAAATTCTGTTAAATATATATAACTAAGTTTAATTACTAATTATTAGTTTTTCTGCTTTAGCTTTTCTCGAAATTCAAATCTTTATGCTCTTTGGGTTTATTGGCATTTCTGGCACTGGGTCTCTTGGATTAGCTAGACATAGTAGTTTGCAGCAAACCGATTGCATAATTTACAGGCATAAGTACAAACAGCTATATTACTAGTGTTTCTAGTGGTATGGATATACTGGTGTGCTACTGCCTGTAGATTTTGTGGTCCAGTCTAGCTTTTTTTTTAGCCTAATTTTTTTCGAAAATAAAAAATTTGAACCATTTTTGAAATTGTGCAGTACATTTTTTAATCGAAATCTATTGGCCGAGAGTAGTCCCCCCATCCCCCTACTTTTCAGTCCCCCAAAAAATTAATTTCCTGTTATGGGCGAAATTCGCCCCGTATACAAGAATCCTTTTAAGGAACAAGATTACACAAAAAATCTGCTGTGGTGTACACTTCTTTATTGCCGATAATTATTTACACTATTTTTTATTACATTTTTATTAGACTTTATTATTATACTATTATTATATTTTTTACTTTACTTTACTACATCGTTATTATATTATTACTTTACTTCTATTCTACCTCACTATACTTTTATTTTATCTTTATTCAATTATTATATTTTTACTATAGTTTTATTTTACTCTTTCTATATTTTTCTATTCTACTTCTACTATTAACACCAGTTACATGTAGTAAAATTTTTCACTTGACTTTCTTTTCTTTCCCTCAAAAAATTATTTTAACCAAACATTTTTGTTTATGAAAGGAACAATCTTTTCAGTTAACTAGAAGCTTTGCTTCCCCCTCCCTTTGGGGGGGGGGGGGGGGGGCTGTGGGCTATGTTAAGTTCTATGTAACTGTTCCCTACTGGTAATAGCATACGGCATACAATTACCAAGTAGTATAGGTTTTTACATTTTATTTTAGTGAGAAATAGCAAGTAAATTAGAGAACACGTGACCAATTAGAAGGGCTAAATCACATGATCTCTAATTTCATCCTGTCTTTCTAATATGATAAAATCATTATTCTATCCTTGATCTTATTTATTTTTTGTCCGTTATTATTATTATTCTTCATTCATACATAGTGTCCTTGTTCTTTGGAGTGTTGTCAGTCGATCTTGATATATTTTGTTTCTCTGTTTTCCCTTTTTTGTCTTTCTCAAACTTTGTCATTATCACAATTTCTATTTTTATCTTCTCCCTATTTTTCTATCTGTCTGTCACCAATTCTTACCTGTCAAATTACTCATTCTTTTCCATTCTTATTGTATTTTTCTTCTTGTATTACGTAATTCACATTACATTTATTTGACAAGTGATACTGTTAAAATCCACAACAAACAAACACATCACGCGTCACTTTTGACATGGGATGTTGTAATAATGGTCAGCTTTCAACAGAATTTTGGTTGTCTGGCAGTGTGGTGACATTGCAGAATTCTTTGTAATTCTAGAAAAATTATATTCTATTATTTTTTTTTGATTTTCCGATGGCAGCCGAGGCTAGATAGAAAGCAATTTTTCTATTTGTGGAGCAAAACACCAATAAGTACAACGAAAAAGCATCATCCTATCAACAATAACTTCACGCAACCACACATCGTATCTTATTTTCTCACTATAGGTGCTCATGGAATCAGTTATTGTTATAAAATTTCCTATTGATTACTTTACTAAACACCATATTTAGGATAGCGTAAATTATCAAGTATAGATGCTATTTATATAATTTTAAGTTGGTGTTGTAATCAGTACTACACTCAAGAGATATGATCTTGTTTGAACATATAGCATATTGAAATCAATTGTTTTTCCGATTTCTTGTTAAAGAAGTATAAACTATACTGCTTGAAACAAAATATTTTATTTACAGTAATGTATTGTATGCTTCTTTAAAAAATACTAGCTTTAATATATGTAAAAAAGCCTAGAAAATGTGATAATATAGTAAAAACAAGATGATTCTTACCCACAGTGTCGATAGGAATTATGGAAATCACCATATATGGGTATTAATTATTTTTTCCCCTGGTAGAGAACAGGGGAAAAATTCACAGACTTTAAAGCGGAATAGCCTTTTTTGAATTTTGGAAATCATTATATATGGTGTTTAGTAAAGTAATCAATAGGAAATTTTATATCAATAACTGATTCTGTGAGTATCTTATATTTAACTAAACAAATCAACTTGGAATTAATATTATTTTTATTATATATTCTTACAAGCATAAATATCTTCATGATTATGACTTAATAATTATTTTATTTTACTTGTACAGTCAAAGCTCGATTTAGTAATATTTGATTTAGTAATAATCGCGATTTAGTATTATTTTTTTCAGCACTTTTATTCGCAGTCACATAGAGCAAATCTGCAATATTGGTAAAAAACATATGCAGAGTAAGAAAAAATACATTTGATTTAGTAATAGTAATACAATTTGCCTTCTCCCAAAAGTATTACTAAATCGAGCTTTGACTGTACTTAATGATAGTAAAGAACAAATCACATTTAATAGATCGTCAATTATATAACTTTTATTATATTTTCTTTATAATTTTATTTATTTAATTATTCAACAAGTTAATTGCAAAACTACAAATATTGCAATACTTGCATTTAATAAACATTGATTTGTCTTTGTCTTATTTTCTGACAACAAGTTCACTTAATATTTAATGCTATTGATATTTTACTTGTTTGATTATCTGAGTATATTGAGTCAAGTCTATTGAGATTGATCAATAGTACTGTTTTTCTCTTATTTTTCTATTATTGATTTTATTATCTTTAATTCTATATTCTCTTTCGAGTTTGTCTTTCTCTCTCTTGTAGAAAAGAGAGGTTATTTCATATCTACAAACCCATTCAAATCTCGAAAACTGTGATAACATCACCTGTCAACATTTACTACAAATACAAGTATCACACGCATCACTTTGTTACGTGTGTGAGCAAAAATTAAACAGTTAGCCTTGTCATAGTGTTCAGTACTAGAAGGTCAGTCTGCTTGGTAGATTTGTCCAGCAGTTTGTCATGATGTGTCGTTCCAGTAATAAGAGGCTGACATCAACAGTTTATTGCTGTGGTGCTGTGCTCTTGGTGATAAAAGTAGATTTTTTTGTGCACAGGAAAAATCTTGTTTCTGTTCCTTATTTCTTCTATACACAACACTTTTTTCTTTCCCTTGTTAACATATTTGTTCACATCACTATGGTAGGATGAATGACAGTTGGACCGAAAGTAGGCACATAACTGTCATTTTTTTAGTTGAAACCCAATAAAATCTTTGCCATTTGTTGTAAGATAGTAATGTCATTGGTAGCAATTTAAAAAAGTAATATGAAAACACTTTTTTTGTTACTGTACAATATTTTCAATACTGTAAAAAATGTTTATAAGTTGTAATGACCACTTTGAGTATTGAAATATATGTTTTATTGAATATCAAAGATGTCAACAATTATTAAGATTAATAATTTTTGGAATGTGTGAACAAAATGGTAACATAACTGCCATTTTTTTATTTTTTAAACTATGTTCTTTTTTTTAGATATTCTTTTTATCTTGATGAATTGGCAATTTGATTTGATTTAAATCGTGTAATGATGTATAGAGCATATAGAGAATGAAGAGAAAAGCATAAGGTGTATAGAGAATAGAAAAAAACCAGAGTATATAAAGAAGAAAAGAAAGATGGGACATATAGAGATTAAAAAAAACATAAGACATAGAGAAAATTTAAAAAAAAATATAAGATACAAGAAGGATATAAAAAATATAAAAGATATAAGGATATAAAACATATAGAAAAATAAGATAAAAGTAAAAAGAATTACAGAATGGAAAGATTGTTTTTAGTAATATACATGTTGTTGTTAAAGATATAATAGAGTGTAATTACATAAAACTGGTTTCCATTTGGTGAGTATTGGACCAGACCAACTTGATGACAAATGTCATTTACACTTATAACTGTATAAGCTGGTTACATTTGGTAGCCTAGTGTGTGAGTACTTTGTGACTGTTGTTTGACAATAGGTACTAATGAATTATGGTCAGCTGCGTCATGTTCCTTCATAACCTCCATGAAAGCAAGAAAGTGTAGGAAGCCATAGAAATCTACATGCTGAAAGTAGAATTATACTATACCGATGAGCCAGCTGTGAACAATTACATTATGATTGCTAAAATAAATAAATAAATAGAATGTAAGCAACTTTTGATTGTATAGTAAAAAATATTATACTTACTTTGTATAGGGGCAAGTAAATATCACATAATGATTGCCACAGCTGGTCTTGTTTTTCTTTCTTCAGTATATGCATGAGAAATATACGGTCAAGCCTATCCACAGATGTGCAGCTACAACAACAACAGAGTCACCAAACTCGTGGCCAGTCAAGTCTGTTGGTCTCTGGTAGTATATCAATAAAGCTTCCTTCACACTAGGGCCGCCTACATCTTTTACTAAATCATTGTTCAAATTAACAAACTGATGAAATAGCTCCCACAACTGCACACCACTAGAATCATTAGAAAGGTTTATGTAGCTCTCTCTTCTATATGACTTTGGCTGAATAAGCTTGATTTCATCACAGATGCTAATTGCCATGCTGATATAATTGTGAATTGCAAATTGCTTGATGAGAAAACTGGCATTTCGGCCACTTTTTTATTTGAACTTTATCAATTTTGAGAAGATGCCAATTACTCTCTCCATTGAGCAAGTGGAGTAGCATTGCAGAGGGCCTTGCTGCTTGATGATATAGGGTATATCGACCAGATAATGTCGCACTAGTTGGAAAACACTACAGGATAGAGTGTGGTATTTCAGATATGAAACAATAGAAAAATAATAAATTTGATAATGGAGATGTATAGAAATACTTTGAGACTGTATATCAGTTGTTCTTTATTCATAAATAAAAAGTGTCCCTTTTTATAAGAAAATACAATCTGCTCTTATCATTATGTCTTAGTTTCTTAAGACTTTCTTCCTTTACTATATTTGATTATTAGAGTATATTTACTGCTTAACTAGTGCCGGTGTTACAATCATGACATCAAGTCATAAATTGTACTTCTTTAGCTCTTAGATATTCTTTTCTCTTTTACACTAGAGCTTTAGGACTTCCCACTAAATTAGCTTCATATCTCTCTGACACAGTTTATCCAGCAGTATGATATAATTATCTTAACAATCTTTAAGATATTATCTACAGTACTAACTGCAATAATTATTGGCCTGATTACTTAATCATTTATATATATTTTATACTGACAAGATAACAGCTACTACACTATCCCAATATAAATATGTTCTTATATGTGATAAATCCAACATCTGAGTGTCTGGATCACTACAACTTGACTTTGACTTGAGCAAAGTATCAACAGTTTTGCTATAGCTGATCTTAGTCCCAGGTTCTAAAAAAAAGAAACAATATCACTACATATTAGAGATCTGGAATTAAAGTACAAGATAACAGAAAATATAATATTTTACCCATCATTATATCATTACGGCCTTCGATGACAGTGTTTATAAATTGAACAATGTCTGTATATGCTGCTCTAGCAATTCTATGCTGTAGCATCAATTGAGACAGATGAATACTCATTAACTTAGCCTTGATAAAAGTATTTGTACTGATTCAGCTGCTGTTGTAAATGTGAGCTTCACTCTCACTGTCCTCAAAATTACATGTGCACTTATATGAAATAGTATTATCAAGCTCTATAGACTCCATAGTATATTCTGTAATACATTAATTAGTAATTAGAAAATAAATAATACAATTACAGCTCTTTTCATTATCTGAATTGCCAACAGATTCATCTTCATTACTAGTATCATTTTCATCATGGTACATGTCAACATCATCTAGAATAGACTGGTCAATTTCAGTCATTGCTGCTGAATCTCCTTTGTGAATTCTCTTGTGATTTTACAGCCTCTGGTAGTTATCAAAAAACAAGACACATTGATCATATTAGTATTGTTGTATAGATATTCTATCTCTCTGCTGGCTGGCGTTGGAAGAAGATATATTGGTTAGGTTGGTACATATGTAATATATAAAATAAAACTGCAAAAAGGATTTTGGTACTATTCATTAAATGTAAAAGATATCATTATATACTCTTTATTTTTTAACCAAAATGCTTGCAACTCTTTTTCTTTTTCTCTCTCATAGTGATGATATAGCAATAATTACATTAATGTTAATGCTAGGTGAAACACCTGTCAGTAAATAATTCCTGTGGTTGGAAAGATTCTTCTTCATTAATAATTATAATGTAAATTAAAATACTTCTTGGTTGACAAGGGGATACCATTAAAAGAGTACCATTGAAACAGACACACACTTTTCACTTGTAAGCAATTCGATATTCTTTGGGCTTTATAAAGAGGTATATATATATTTAGGATAATTAATGACCAAATAATCTATGTTTTTTTTAAATAAATTATCAATTACTCCCTAATACCAAAGGCAAAGAAAAACAGCCTTATAATATTTAACAGTTAAAAAAAAAGTAGTACTGTCTAAACACATTGGTAAAAAAGACATATTTATATTATCTGTGTTGTACTAATAATATTTTTGAGATAGTGAATATATATTTAGCTCATAGCATTCACTATGTGAAAAAAAGAGGTGCCCCTGGAGGTTCATTGAGGGTCTGCCCAGGGGGCTGCCCAGGAGGGTGAAGTTAACTTACCCACTTTTTCACCTCCTGCCTGTTATGGATTAGTTTATAACTCCGCTCTTTAATAAATAACCACCAGAGAAATTTCTTTTGTAGGAATATAAATGTACCTTACATGTCTATATATAGACACAATTATCTGTAATAAATTCTAGTCAAAATAAATCATAGATTTAAAAATGCGTTTTCAAAAAAAAATGGTTCAAAAAAATTATGTTTCAAATAAATTGTCTATCGACCCCTTACAGAGTCTCAGACAATCCAGATTGTCCATTGGAGACTTTGTCCCTCGAATGAGGTTTAGGTTTCCTAAGCCGCGCTTTTTATTATTATAACACAAATTAAATTACTACTCTATTATCTTCATCTCTTCCAAGCCACGCATCGAGACTATATTAAAGTTTACTTCATAACACTAAGCAATCAAAAATGAACAATGAGCTCCCAATTTCTGCCAAAGAAATCTGAGAGTTGCTTGAATTCAAGCAACAATGGGAGCAAGAACAACAGCAGCAACTGGACCTCACCTACGAGCTTCTAGACGCAATTAAGGAAGACCTTGAACTCCTAAGAGCAAATCTTAAGAAGATCTGCTTGACCTTTGCCAGGGCCCAGCCAGTATATAAAGAAGCTGGTGCAAGCGCTCTCTGGTTGTCAACAAGGCCATTGGTGTTGTATCCAACATAATCGTAGATTCAAATAGAGCACACAGACAATAAGACAAAGACATATTGAATAAGCGACCAGTATCAATTATACATTATTTCTCACACTATCATTAAATAAAGAATATACCAATAACAAGGTCACACACCTTAGTCAACATCACTAATCACTCAAACAAGAGCGTGGGTAATAACTTAACAATATATTATCTATGATATAAGAAAACAGACATCACATGATATACTCATATCATTATCCTAAATACACACGCAATGTCTATATAAACTCACATAGCAAATAGCAATAGAAGATCATCTCTCTTTTCATCAATAAACAAAGTCTCACCGTACTTCTCGTCTGCACTTTGTTTTTCTTTCTTTTCTAAAAATATAACAATTGGCCCAGAAATACAAAGGTCAACTGTCCCAACTTCCTCTGCCATCCAGGGAAAACTTAAAGATGCAGAGAAGTTTCGAACATTGCCAAATGCCACTACTGTTGTTTTCAAAGAAATTAGGTCAGTCATTGCCAATCCCCTCTACGCCAACAACCCACACCTTGAGTTCCTTTGAGCCCTGGAAAAACAAACAAGGCATAGCACCATATTTGCTTTCGCATCAGCAGTCAATGCTGAAGATGAGATCAAGACTTGGACAGACAGAGTCTGTAAAGTACCTGAACACCTCTGTTCATTTGACAATGAGGATGACAAGGAGCTGCTCTATGATCCCGAGTTTCTCAAGATGCTCAAACAAGAAAAGTTCGAATGGGCAGTTCTTGCCCATGCCACTGGTTCAGGAAACCAATGACATGGATCAGGGTTTTACCCAAGAGGACAAGGAAATGGTCATGGATTCGACAGGGGCTGTGGCCAAGGAGGATCGTCAAGAGGATTCCAGCTCCAACAACCCAACCAGTCAGATACAGAGTCACACCCCCATCCTGCCCTCAGTGGAGAACAGTAGATGGGCAATTAGTCCCTTCCGAGGCGTCCAACAATCCATGGTCTCCACAAACCAGTGGATTACTCTCAGGTGGATGTCTCCAACATTTTTCAAGAGCCTGGGAAAAACTGACCACCCAGAATTGGCCAAATTCGGTGGTCCAACATGGATACCAAATCCAAATTCGGTCCCCACCAGTGCCTTAGTTTCTACCACCCCGTTCATTGGCACCAGAAGCATTGCACGACTTGAACAAAGCAGTGAACAAGTTCTTGATCACAGAGGTCATAGAAGAGTCCCCAGACTTGGATGATCGTTTTCTTTAACCACTGTTTGTCATACAAGAGAAGACCAAGAAACGATCAATCTTGGATTGTAAACAGATAAACTTGTTTGTGCAGGTTCAACACTTCAAGATGGAGGGGGTGCTGGCATTGCAGGACATTCTGATGAAAGGGTCATTCATGACGAAGATCAACCTAAAAGACGCTTACTTGGTGGTACCAATCCACAAAGAGAGCCAGAAATATCTCAGCTTTTGACATTGGCAATCAATATTTTGCTTCAAGGCATTGGCATTTGGGCTTTGTGCTGCACCCTTTGCATTCTCCAAATTGATGCAGTACGCAATAGAGCCACTCAGGGCATAAGGAATTCAGCTAGTTTACTATCTAGACGACATTTGCTTGGTGGGAAACACACCTGAGGAAACCACAAAAGCAACTCAATTGACCTTGACCCATCTCAAATCGCTGGGATTCATCATCAACGAGAAGAAGAGCATGACAACACTATCACAGACCCAGGATTTCTTCAGGTTTTTGTTCAACACCAAGAAAATGAACTTGTCAGTGCCAAAGGACAAGATGATCAATCTCTGGGACAAGATCAAGAAGCTTCTGCGTTGTCCACAATCTTGTTGCCAGATAGCATTGTTAATAGGGAAATTCATGGCAATGATCCCTGCTATAGGAGAGGCTCTCATTCGGATATGTTACCTCCAAAGGGACTTAGCAAGGAGCCTACATGTGAGGAACCACTGGGAAAGTCCGTGCAAGTTGACAATAGACGCCATCAATGAGCTCAAGTGGTGGCTGGGGAATGCTCAGACAATTAATGGGATGCCAATCCAAACCCCATTACTCACAAAACCAACCTTGAATATATAGGTGGACGCATCTGATTTGGGCTGGGGAGTCACAAGCGAGCTGATGAAAACATCAGGTTTCTGGACCCCAGAGGAGAAGGCCACCTCCATAAACGCCAGAGAATTGAAGACCATCCTGTTTGCACTGCAGCTCTATGCAGACAGGTACAAGGGGAAGGCGCTACACGTTCAGAGCAACAACATCACTGCCATCAAATATGTAATGAGATGGGGTGGGACAGCTTTGCCATTACTACAGGAGCTGGCCCTCCTAATTTGGAACTTGTGCATGGAGAAGGGGATTATGGTGACGATGTCCTACATAGCTGGTATGGAGAACATCACAGCCGAAAAGTTGAGCCACGTGCACAAACCAGTACACAAATGGGCACTGCCTCAGAGGCTGTTTCGAGACTTGTTGAAGAGGTGGGGCAGAATGATAGTGGACGCGTTTGCATCCCAAGAGAATACCAAGCTCCCTGTATTTTGGAGTTATCTACTGGATCCTGCCACAGCAGCACAGGATGCCTTCCAACAACAATGGCCCAGGACGGGGCTGTACGCTCATCCTCCTTGGCAACTGATTCCAAGGGTGATCCAGAAGATGGACTTGGATCGATCAACAATAGTTTTGGTGACTCCTCAGTGGACGACGCAGTTCTGGTAGTCACTAGTAATGAGTCGCGCAATTACAAGTCCATTACCAATGACATCCAACCAGTTCCAATTCCCATTAGCCATGTGGAAGCTATCTCCAGGTACCTGGAAGAAGTAGCACAGCTATCCACAGAACAAACCTTGTTTCTAGCCCAGGCCAATAGGGCAAAGACAAGAAAATCTTATGATTTGGCTTCGCAGAAATGGGCATTGTGGTGTCAGGGACATCAATTGGATTGTCTCCAGTATGACCCACCTGCAGTTTGCTATTTCCTGACAGACCGCCATACTGGAGGAACTGCATATTTGTAGCTTAATGTAGACTGATCTGCAATAGCCAGTGTTTTTTGGGTGTTATACCAGCACCAATCACCATTGGCCAGCCAATATATTCTTCAGGCCTTTTTCCAGGCATCAAGAAATACCACACAAATAGTCTCATGACCAAGAACACCCGCCTGGGACCCTGAATTGGTGCTGGCTAAGATTCTAGAGTGGGGGCTATCGAATAACCTTTTGATGCTGCAGCTGCAAAGAAAGACAGCATTGCTATTGTGTCTGGCTACCATTTGGCAAACTAGTTCTGACATAGGCCGACTGTTGTATAAGGATATGTCTCTACACACAGATGGACCCAATTCGATCGGATTTGTGGCAGTACATTTGTTGGTGCAACAGCCTAAAGAAGCCGTGTCAAAAGAAATGACACTTGGAGCCATTGCCTCATGCCCAGAACTCTGCCTGGTGGCAACAACAGCATTGTTTGTCCAGAAAACAAGTAGTATGCGAGCTCATTTAGCCAAGAACCACACATTGTTCTTGGGGTTCATCAAAGGGAACCAACCAAGAAGCATCAGACCATCCACCATGGGTACATGGATCAAGAAGACGTTGGGAGAGTGTGGGGTGGACATCTCAGTGCATAAGGGTCACTCCACAAGATCAGTGGCAGCAACAACCGCACGAAGAAGAGGTGTCTCAGTTTCCCAGATCTAGAAACATGCTAACTGGAGTGAGCAGAGCCAGGGTTTTGAGAGATACTATTGGAGACCACCACAGTTTGACGAGGATGGGATTGCTAGAACAATTCTCCTGGGTACAAAAAATGAACCTCATTTGAGGGACAAAGTCTCCAATAGACAATCTGGATTGTCTGAGACACCGTAAGGGGTTGATAGACAATTTAGGTTGTCCGAGGGGACGAAGTCTCAAGAATGAGATGAGTTTCCCACCCGCCACTCCTCTCTCACACTCACACATTCTGAATTAAGGCAGTCAAATTGTTTCGGCATGCCGGAAGAGATGAAGATAATAGAGTAGTAATTTAATTTGTGTTATAATAATAAAAAGTGTGGCTTAGGAAGCCTAAACCTCATTCTTGGGACTTCGTCCCCTCAGACAGTCTAAATTGGTTTTTATTTTTTGTTTCAAAGTAGAAAAAAATGCTAAGCTATAGCTACACTATATAATTTATGAGCAGAAATATATAATAAATTAAATCTAGTTATTCTAAGCTAAAGATAGGGTCATAGATTCTATATCCCTTATAATTCTTGAAGACAAAAGCATCAAAGAGCTATCTTAATATTGGAATAAAAGAGCAGTCTAGTAAAATATAAATATGAATGAGTATTTCAAGCTTAAAAAATAAGTTAAATAAAAGCTTACCTTTGAGTTTACCAAGATGCATCTCATAAAAGTTTGAATCTCTACAAGTGAAAATGAATAAAAGATGGTTAGTATTCAATTACTTTGTAGACAAGATGTGCAGATATTACCTCAACTCTTTTTGATCAGATGATGAAAATGCTAATTGTCAGCTAATGAGACCCAAGATGAATAACTGCATTAAAAAGTACAATATTGCTTTTCTATTATGTATACCTCAAAAACAAGAATATATAGACACATTTCCTAAAAAGATAATATACTATATGTAAACACATGTAATGAACAAACTTTTGTTGCTAAAGTAGAGTAAGAAGCAATGCAAAGGATGTAATCTCACACTTATTCAAAATCGATTTAAAAAATTCTCTTTGGTCTACTGGCTTTTAATATCAATATTGCAACTTGTAGAAATGTTTTTAAAGAAAACGCTAAGTCATTCTCTCTCAGTTTGCCTTATTTTTATAAGTTAAAGAGATATGTTCTAATAGCAAATAATTGAAATTACAGTTGTAACTTATTAAAAAAAATATGTGTATATATTTATATCTTTATTCGGTTGAGTTGTGCCTTAGAAGGTTGCCTTTTCTAGGCATTCTTTACTAATATAATATAAGAAACAAAAAAATCATATATTTTTTCTTATTTGAAATTTTGACAGTCGTTTTATATGCTGAAAATCGTTGCCTTTACTGAATTTTAACAGAATTATTTTTTCATTACACAATATAGCCTCCGCATTTCCTTATTCAATGTTTCGTCTTACTTGAACAGCTTTTTGTTGTGATAAAAAAGTTTGAAGTAAGACCAGACCTTTTTTCCTTTTTTATTTAGAAGAAAAAATATTCAACTCAAGAAATTATAGAAAGAAAAGTTCTCTAGGCCAATAATATTGTTTGGGTACCATACCCTACCATATTTGGCTTCCAATTTTTGTGGTGGTGGAATTTTTTGTTTCATTTTGATTTTTTTGGTGATTTTTTAATTATTATAGGCCAAAAATGAAGTCACAATTACAAAAAACGCCCTTTTTTCCCATAGTGATTATTTTCTTGTTTATATATAAATCTTAACAGCAATCTTAGGGGATGGGGGATAACTGCACCACACAATTTAAGATGACTGCTGGTCTGAGGCCTGGCTATAACCTGTCTTGAAGAACCCCCCCGTCTCTATCCTTTATAAGCACACTCTTGTCTCCATTATTTATAAGCATACCTTGCTCCATCGTTATAAGCACACCCCTGTCCCCATCTTTAGATCATTTCAATTTCCCAGGAAAAATAAAAACACCCCTTTTTTTAAAGTCATTAACATTTAGTTGTAAGAATAAAAAATAATATTTCCAAATAACGAGATATGATGTCTTTTTTACGTTGTGTACATTGCATACATGAATCAATAAAAATACTTATATAACTACAGTATTCTTTTATTAAATATGAACACCAAATTTGCTACCCCCATTGACAAGATGTATTCTGTTAAAACAACCCTCTAATTCCCAGAGAATGGTTATCCCAACAAACAAAGCATTTTGGAGGCCATAAACGAGTATGCCGTTTCTAACAACTTTACCATCAAAATTAAGGATGGAAAGTTTCCAACACTTCACCTTGTTTGTTCAAAGGCTGGTGCCTATTGTGATAAGTGTAACATCAGCGAGGATAAAAGAAAGAAGGCCCCTAACTCTTCCCTCACTGGATGCCCCTTCCTATTAAGATTTTCTTTTAAAAATAAGAGTCAGAAATACCTTCACTTGTCTGCCCACAGTGACAATGAACATTGTCATAACCACTCCATCACCCCAAACAACTTGGCGTCTTCTCACCAGGAAAGAATGTCTCTTCTGACTTCGGAAGATGCAATTATCGCAAAGACAATGCTAGAAAACCATGCGAAGACTCGTGATATTCAGAAAGCTACAAGAGATAAGGTCACAGGAATAAGAAAGCTGAGAATTAGCGATATCAAAAACCTGAAGTATAGCTCTTCTCGTGGTGGTGAATCGTCAATTCATGACGCTACTGGGCTCATAATAACTATGGAAGCAAAGAGATTTTCCATCCTTTATCAATTCAATGAGAGAAAAAGCCTCACACACATTTTCTTTACAAATGAGGTGATGATAAAAAGAGCCCGTCGTTTTCCTGAGGTTCTTATTGTGGATGCCACTTACAAAACAAACTGCACAAAGATGCCTTTAGTTTGTGTAGAGGGTGTCAGCAACCTTGGTGGAGAAAGATTGAAGAGCTTTCCTGTTGCATTTGCGTGGGTTTCTGATGAGACAGAGACAAGCTATGCCTGGTTCGCAAGATTGCTGAAATCAATCGTGTTGGAGGAAATCAAAGACAGCCCTATCTTTGCTACAAACAAGTGTAAGATATTGATGAATGCCCTTGATTCCGAGTTCCCTGTGAACAAAAAGCTTCTCTATGGTTGGCACATGATAAATAACTGCCAAGATGGCAAAGAAGACTATGAAGGCAGGCGAAGGCAGGAATACATGCACCAACTTGATTAACAGCATGATATTTGGAGACGATGCTGGCAAGTTTATGCAGAAAAGAGAACTTTTCAGATCGTTGGCTTCTTGTGAGGATCTCAAGACTGAAGAACTGTCTGAAGATGGTAAAAACGGTGCAGTGAAAAGTTTTGAGGAGCACTTTGAGAAGGAGTGGATGAGCTGCAAAGAGAAGTGGGCTGGCTACCTCACCAATAAGCTAAAGCACTTTGACTGTGTGATAACACAGCATGTTGAGAGTGGCCATCATGTTCTGAAAAGGAGTATCTCAGCTCTCCAGTCTTTGGACTCCTTGTTTGAGCAAATATGCTCATATCTCTTGCAATTTGAGGGTGACTACTAAGATTGTAGACTAGATGAGAAGTTGGTGGTCAATGCAAGAATCCTTGCTGATGAGCGCCTTTGTGGATTGGTCTACTCAGTTTCCAGAATAGCATTGTTCACAATTCGCACTGAACTTCTTGAAGAGGTTATCATTGGTGAAGCTTGTTACTGCAGAGTAAAGACTATGTTTGGCCTCTCTTACCGCCATACTCTGCCACAAAATTGGGCCCTCACACTTGCAGACATTTCTGAAAGATGGGTTTTCTCTTCTGCCCTGCCATTCCATAATAAGAAAGTAGAAAAATTGGAAAGTATAAGTACTGTGGCAATTGAGAAACAAGTTCCGTGAATGAAATAAATTGCACAACTTGAGCAGTTGTTTAGATAATGTGAAGGAGAACAACAAATCTGAAACCTGATGGCAAAGGTGAACAATCTTATAAATAATGCCAGTAATTTAAAGGATCACCCAGAGGTTGCCTTTCCTTTGTCAAGTGAGGTAAAAGCTCCTGAAAGACCTAAGCATGTCAAAAGAAAAACTGCTTTCCCAAAGGATTTTATCCATCACAAGCACAGACATTTCCTTGTCTAAAAAAATAAGGTAATGAGATAACATATATGCAATAATACAATCTAATACATATTTTGTTTTGTTTATCTAGAGTGAAATTAGAAAAATCTTAAAAGAAGGAATTATAGATGTAATGAAGAAACTTTTAGAGGAGAAACCTCTTAAAAAATATGTATTATTGACTTTTATAAAGATACAATATAATATTTAATGTTTACTATTTCCAGCCATTAAAAATATCAAAAAAGAAACCCAATTCGCTGAAAAGCAAGAGCCTCTCAAAGAAGGTAATTGATATAATATTTTACTGAAAGTAAATGCTAAATCTTACATTGTTTTTTGTTTCTTCTTAGCTGAAAAGTATTTCTCTGGAATTAAAAGACCTAACCACCTCCCAGATGACTACTGGTACGATATTCCCAGTCCAAAAAAAACAGAAGAAAAATGTACACGACTTTGCTCTGCCAGATCAAATCGATCAAGCCGCCATTTCGTTGACATTTAACCCCAAGTCCAATGGTTGGTGCGGTTTCTGTGTATTTGCATACCTGAAAGAGGGTGGAGAGGATCAGTTCCCTTTGGTGAAGAAGAAAATGTTAGCCATGATGGCTACCCACAGTGAGCTCTATGAGCAAAACTTTGGAATGGATAGTGCTGAGGTAACAAAGGTCATTGCATTTGGCTCTGACATTGACCCAGCCATTGGTAAGAACATCACTTACTGTTCTTCCTCCATGTGGTTCTCTGTGCCAGACTGTGCTCAAATAATAGCTGACGCCTATAACGAGCCTGTTTGTGTATACTCAGATGATAGAAGCATCTTGCCCATAACTTTCCTTTCCCTTCATGATCGGAAGCTTCTCAAAAGAAAGCCATTGCCAATGGTATTGCACCATGTACATGGGTGCCACTGGACAACAATCAAAGTTAAGCCTCATGTACATCTGTCCTGGCCTGAGGTAAATGCGCTATATTTTGATGCTGTCCATAGAGGGAGTATCCCTGACTGTTTTTCTACAAGTTGAAATCATTGGGGTCAGTTCCCAAAGAACAAATCTTATCTTTTGTCTTCCACTACTATCACTAACTCTCTTACAAATTCCCCTGTAAATTCTTCTGATATTATTGACCTCACACATATATAACTTATCTATCTTTCTATCTTTTAATATACTTTACTCCTATTTTTTCTTTAATTTTTTAACAAACACAATTGCACCCAGTCTGTCTTTAATTTTAATGTTAAACGTAAAACCCAGATATGAATATTATTGGCATCCAACTAATTGGAAGACCATATAATTAGCCTTTATTTTTTGGAGTACAAATGTGGTGATCCAGATACTTGGATGTTGGATTTATCACATATAAGAGCATATTCATATTGGGATAGTGTAGTAGCTATCATCTTGTCAGTATAAAATATATATAAATGATGAAGTAATCAGGCCAATAATTATTGCAGTTAGTACTGTAGATAATATCTTAAAGATTGTTAAGATAATTATATCATACTGCTGGATAAACTGTGTCAGATCGATATAGAGCTAATTTAGTAGGAAGTCCTAAAGCTCTAGTATAAAAGAGAAAAGAATAGCTAAGAGCTAAAGAAGTACAATTTATGACTTGATGTCATAATTGTAACACCGACACTAGTTAAGCAGTAAATACACTCTAATAACCAAATATAGTAAAGGAAGAAAGCCTTAAGAAACTAAGACGTAATGATAAGAGCAGATTATGTTTGCTTATAAAAAGGGACACTTTTTATTTATGAATAAAGAACAACTGGTATACAGTCTCAAAGTATTTCTATACATCTCTATTATCAAATTTCTTATTTTTCTATTGTTTCGTATCTGAAATACCACAACAAAGTCTGTGCACTTATAAGCAATCTGATTAAGATCTTCATCCAATCACAGATGTGGATTTTACCATAAAAGATATAAAACAAAAACGACACATAGCTTTTGATAGATTTCTGTCTTAATTCAAATGCTAAAGCTTGGATATTTTGCCGTGTTTCTGAAAGAATATATACATCTTTATGTCCAAAATTTGAAGTTAATTGATTATGTTTTGGCTAAATAAACAAGCAAAATATACACTTTTTTTCATGTTTTTAACCATTCAAGATAGATTGTTTTTGCTAATAAATACATTTTCTACATAATAATATGGTCTAAAACTTTTACTGAAACGTTTTTTTACTATTTTCTATTGATATAAAGCATTTGCAAGTGATTTTTACTAATATTTTCAAATTGTTGTTTTTTTGTTCAATCTTTCACAAATGAAATATACAGAACTTTTGTAATTCACTCTTTAAACATAATTCAAAAAATATTACAAAACAAACAAATTTTCACTTTATGCAGAAAAAATCAACGAAACCAACCATCTTACTCTCATATTTCTATCTATTTTTTTGAACGAGTTATGAATTTTTTAAAAATAAATAAAAATGAAAAGTTATGGATAAATGTTCTTCCACTTTTGCATGATTTTTCTTAGTGAATAAAGACAAGTGATTATACTGGATGGGGACAAGGGGTGACTGTTTTTTGGGGGACAGGGTGTTACACACAGAAACGATGGATGTCTGCCAGACAAGTTAAAAGTAGTCACGCCTCTAATTATCTGCCAGACTACTCACTATAAACTTATGTAACACCCTGTCACTGTAGGAAATGGCAGCATTTGTAATTCCACCAATGCAGATTACTATGTAAAAAATGCATACTTGCAGATATGGATTCAGCCAATAAAAACAAAGTGATACAATGTTAGTGTTACTACTCTTTGCCAATCGGATTTGTGGAATTCCATAGTGTTAAACTCAATCGAGTGCTATTCAGCATCCTCAAGCCAATTAGACTTGTGTATTACTTTTAACTAACCCTTTTTTATTAAATTTGTTGAATATCTAATTGGTCAAATAATACATATTGCATCACATAAAAATAGGTTTTTATTTTTATTTTTGTTTTATTTTTTGATCAGCGATCTTAGGGGACGGGGGGTTTTTGGCTATGGGGACGGGGGGTAACGGCACCGCACAATTTAAGGTGACTGCGAGTCCGAGGCCCGGCTATAAAGTGTCTTGAAGAACCCCCTGTCCCCATTCTTTATAAGCACACCCTTGTCCCCATCATTTATAAGCACACCTTGCTCCATCGTTATAAGCACACCCCTGTCCCCATCTTTAGATCATTCCAATTTCCCGGGAAAAATAAAAACACCCCCTTTCTTAAAGTCATTAACATTTAGTTGTAAGAATAAAAAATAATATTTCCAAATAACAAGATATGATGCCTTTTTTACGTTATGTACATTGCATACATTGCATACATTGCGTACATTGCATACATGAATCAATAAAAATACTTATATAACTACAGTGCTCTTTTATTAAATATGAACACCAACTTCAATACCCCTATTGAGAAGATGTACTCGCTTAAAACAACTCTCTCATTCCCCGAGAATGGTTATCCTGACAAGCAGAGTGTTCTTCAAGCCGTAAACGATTACGCCCTTTCTAATAACTTCACCGTTAAGATTAAGGACGGAAAATTCCCTATTCTTCACATTGCTTGTTCAAAGGCTGGTGTTTATCGTGACAAGCGCAATATAAGTGATGAGAAAAGAAAGAGGACGCCCAACTCTTCTCTTACTGGATGCCCCTATCTCTTAAGATTTTCTTATAAGAAGAAGAGCGAAAGATATCTTCCTTTGCCCGCCTATGGGGAAAACGAACATTGCCACAACCACCCTGTCACCCCTGAGAATTTGGCTTCTTCTCACCAAGGAAGAATGTCTCTTTTGACTGCTGAAGATGCCACTATTGCAAAGAAAATGTTGGAGAATCACGCCAAGTCCCGTGATGTTCAGAAGGCAACAAGTGACAAGGTGACAGGAATGAGAAAGCTGAGGATCAGCGATATCAACAATCTCAAGTACAGTGCTACTCGTGGTGATGAGGAGTCTGCCCATGGCGCTACTGAGCTCATCAGAACAATGGAAGCAAAGGGATTTTCCGTTCTCTACGAGTTTAATGAGAGAAATAGACTCACTCATATATTTTTTACGAACGATATAATGATCAAGAGAGCTCGACGTTTCCCCGATGTCTTTATTGTGGATGCTACATACAAGACAAACTGCGCGAAGATGCCATTGGTTTGCGTAGAGGGTGTCAGTAACCTAGGTGGAGAAAGGTTGAAGAGCTTTCCTGTGGCCTTTGCATGGGTAGCCGATGAGACAGAGAAGAGCTATGTTTGGTTTGTGAAGTCTCTGAAAGCAATTGTTTTGGAGGGGGTTGATAAAGCCCCTATATTTGTTACAGACAAATGTAAAGCATTGATGAATGCGCTTGATTCCGAGTTCCCCTTGGCCAAGAAGCTTCTGTGTGGTTGGCATATGATCAACAACATTGCCAAAATGGCAAAAAAAAACAATGAAGCCAGGAAAAGAAAAAGAGTTGTGCACACATTTAGTCAACAAAATGATCTTCGGAGATAAACGCGATGTCTTTGATGAAAATCTTGAGCTTTTCAAATCGCTGTCATCTCGGAAAGATTTCCAAAGTAAAGAGCAGCTAGAAGACAATGATGATGATTCTACGAAGGTTGTAGAAAAAAGAACTCTAGAAAAGTACTTTGAAGATGAGTGGATGCCGTGCAAGGAAAAGTGGGCTGGCTACCTCACTAGTCAATTAAAACATTTTGACTGTGTGACAACACAACGTGTCGAGAGTGGCCATAATGCTCTGAAAAGAAAAATCTCGGCTCTTCAGTCATTGAACTCTTCATTTGAGCAAATTTGCTCCTATCTTCTCCAGTTCGAGGGCGACTATCAGGACCTTGAGTTGAATGAGGCAACTATCACAGATGCCAGAATATACCATGAACCTCGCCTCCGTGGATTGATTCACCACGTCTCCAGAATTGGTTTGATCACCATCCGTGCTGAGCTTCTAGAAGAGGTTGTACCTGGTGAGCTTTGCAATTGCAGAGTAAAAGTGGTGTTTGGTCTTCCTTGTCGCCATGATCTGCCAAGAGATCGTATGTTGCTATTATCAGACATTCCTGAAAGATGGATTCTGTCTTCTTCTTTGGGTGAACGTTTGAAGCAACTGGAATGTGACGTTTCTCTACAGAAAATCGACGTTGAAAAGCCTGCCCCGTGGGTGAAATGTATAACAAAGCTTGAACAATTGTTTCGTCAGTGTGAAGGGAATTAACAAGTCCAGAATCTTATGGCAATGGTTGATGAACTTGTTGACAATGCTGGTGAAATAATTGACCATCCAAATGTTGTATTTCCTTTGGCAAGTGAGGTCAAAGCTCCTGGAAGACCTAAGCACGTCAAAAGGAAAACTGCTCTCCCAAAGGACTTTGTCCGTCACAAGCACAGACATCTCCTTGTGCAAAAGAACAAAGTAAACATGCAACATACACAAACATGATTTCACAATCTAATACATATTTATTCTTTATTTCTTTAGAATGATATCAGAAGTATTTTGAAAGAAGGACTTAAAGAAGTGATGAAGGAGTTCTTAGAGGAAGAGCCTCTCAAAAAAAGTAATTTATAATTGTTTTTTTTGTGAAATTACAATGTAATATCTAATGCTTACTATTTCTAGTCATAAAAGAAATAAAAAAAGAAACCCAATTCGCTGAAAAACAAGAGCCTCTCGAAGAAGGTAATTTTTGATAACTTATAAATGAATCACAAAATATTTTGTATGGTTTGCTCACACATTGCATGTTTTCTCTATAGCTAAAACAACCAATTTCGCTAAAAAGCAAGAGCCTCTCGAAGAAGGTAACCGATAAGATATTTTACTAAAATTAAATGCTAAATGTTACATTGTTTTTTGTTTCTTCTTAGCTGAAAAATATTCCTCTGGAATTAAAAGACCTAAACATCTCCAAGACGACTACTGGTACGATTTGCCTAGTCCAAAAAAACAAAACAAAAATGTGCATGACTTTGCTCTGCCTGCTCAAATCGACCAAGCCGCCATTTCGTTGACGTTTAACCCCAAGTCCGATGGTTGGTGCGGTTTCCGTGTATTTGCACACCTGAAAGAGGGTGGAGAGGATCAGTTTCCTTTGGTGAAGAAGATGTTGGCCACGATGGCAACCCACGGTAAACTTTACGAGCACAACTTTGGCATGGATGTTGCTGAAGTGACAGAGGTCATTGCCTTTGGCTCCGAGATTGACCCTGCTCTTGGGGAAAATATCCCATCTTGCCCTTCCTCTATGTGGTTCTCTGCACCAGACTGTGCTCAGATAATAGCTGACACCTATAACGAGCCTGTTTGTGTGTACTCGGACGATCGGAGCGTCTTGCCTGTAACTTTCCTTCCCCTCCATGATCGGAAGCCTCTCAAAAGAAAGCCATTGCCGATGGTCTTGCACCATGTACATGGGTGCCACTGGACAACAATTAAAGTGAAGCCTCATGTACATCGGTCCTGGCCTAAGGTAAATGCGCTGTATTTTGATGCTATCCGTAGAGGGAGTATCATTGACTGCTTTTCCACAAGTTGGAATCATTGGGGTCAGTTCCCAAAGAACAAGTCTTATCTTTTACCCTCCACTACTACAACTACTACAATTACTACTACTGCCACTAAATCTCCTACAAATTCTCCCGTAAATTCTTCCGATATTATTGACCTCACACATATATAACTTATCTATCTTTCTATCTTTTAATATACTTTACTCCTATTTTTTTCTTTAATTTTTTAACAAACACAATTGCACCCAGTCTGTCTTTAATTTTAATGTTACATGTAAAACCCAGATACGAATATTATTGGCATCCAACTAATTGGAAGACTATATAATTGGCTTTTATTTTTTGGAGTACAAAGTCTGTGCATTTATAAGCAATCTGATTAAGATCTTCATCCAATCACAGACGTGAATTTTACCATAAAAGATGTAAAACAGAAACGACGCATAGCTTTTGATAGATTTCTGTCTTAATTCGAACGCTAAAGCTTGGATATTTTGCCGTATTGCTGAAAAAATACGTACATCTCTACATCCAAAATTTGAAGTTAATTTATTATGTTTTGGTTGAATAAACAAGCAAAATATACACTTTTTTTCACGTTTTTAACCATTCAAGATAGATTGTTTTTGCTAATAAATACATTTTCTACATAATAATATGGTCTAAAACTTTTACTGAAACAATTTTTTACTATTTTCTATTGATATAAAGCATTTGCAAGTGATTTTTACTAATATTTTCAAATTGTTGTTTTTTTGTTCAATCTTTCACAAATGAAATGTACAGAACTTTTGTAATTCACTCATTAAACGTGATTCAAAAAATATTACAAAACAAACAAATACTCACTTTATGCAAAAAAAATCAACGAAACCAACCATCTTACTCTCATATTTCTATCTATTTTTTTGAACGAGTTATGAATTTTTTAAAAATAAATAAAAATGAAAATGAAAAGTTACGGACAAATGTTCTTCCACTTTTGCATGATTTTTCTTAGTGAATAAAGACAAGTGATTATACTGGATGGGGACAGGGTGTTACACACAGAAACGATGGATGTCTGCCGGACAAGTAAAAAGTAGTCACGCCTCTAATTATCTGCCGGACTACTCACTATAAGCTTGTGTAACACCCTGTCCCCATCATCCAAAAACCCCCTGTCCCCTAAGATTTACGTTTTTTGATCCCTGGAATACACAAAAAAATAAAAAATAAAAAAATAAAAAAATAAAAAAAATATAAAAAAAATAAAAAATAAAAAACAAAAAAATGAAAAAAAATAAAAAGAAACAAAACAAAACAAACAAACAAACAAACAAATGGCAGTAGAAGAAATATACAAGGCATATACCAAATTACTTTCTACTTGATAACAATTTTTTTTAAAAAAGTATTTTTATTATGTTTTTTATAAATGTCACTTATAAAGTTCAGTATTGTCTACTATAATAAAATAAAAAACAAACAAACAAAGCAAAACAATTGATTTGTATTAGTTATGATCTTATAAATGACTTTATATTTAAAAGTAACTTATGTTTTATTACTGTCTTCCACTGGAGACAGCAGTTCTCCATCTCTGAGAAAACACAAAGATAGACACCCAGAAATTCTCAAACCTATCAAGAGCAATAGTTCTTCTGGCTGCTCTCTCCTCAAGGTTTCTAACCAGGATGTTTCTCTGGTTAGGTGCAAGACTACCCCACAATGGTATAACTATACCATTTGTATGGTAGCATGACATTGTTACCTGTACAAGCTGGCAAGCAAGTCTGCCAATGGCACTGTAAAGAAGCCAAGCTTCTTTGGTGTTACCCCTGGTAAAATGTAATACCAGGGCTGCAGTAACACTTTGGGTTGAGAGTACCCAACTGTTAGGTTGTCCTTGGGGGGAAGGGCGTGGGATGGTGTTGCCACCAACAACCGGCTGCAAACAGTTCACATCAGGAGGGTTATCTCAGACGGGCTGTTCAGTGGCGGCCTCACTGCCCTCAAACCTGGCCTCAAACCTGGCCTCAAGCTGGACATATGCTGTCTCCAGCATCACCAGTCAAAGGTTTAATTGCACAATGTCGAGCAATGACATTTTTAGAACTGTAAAGAAGATGTAAAATATAAAAAAAACAAAGTTAAACAAAAGTAACAAGAAAAACTGAAAAATAAAAAACAAAAAGCTAGATGTTGTATCCAATATAATTGTAGATTCAAATAGAGCACACAGACAATAAGACAAAGACATATTGAATAAGCGACCAGTATCAATCATACATTATTTCTCACACTATCATTAAATAAAGAATATACCAATAACAAGGTCATACACCTTAGTCAACATCACTAATCACTCAAACAAGAGTGTGGGTAATAACTTAACAATATATTATCTATGATATAAAAAAACAGACATCACATGATATACTCATATCATTATCCTAAATACACACGCAATGGCTATATATACTCACATAGCAAATAGCAATAGAAGATCATCTCTCTTTTCATCAATAAACAAAGTCTCACTATACTTCTCGTCTGCACTTTGTTTTTCTTTCTTTTCTAAAAATATAACACTAGAATCCCTTTAAAAAAAATTTCATGATAATTAGCACACTTGTAATTTTTCACTGTCAACTGATGGAATAAAAATTAATATCACATCCCAAGTGGTTTTTTCGACCTTACACCCCTATTTTTTTAAAATACAAAACAACAATTCAAAATGAACATTAACGACTTACTTAACTCTATTACCAAAAACGAAACAAGCAGTTATATGCTTGCCAATTCCTTCTTTGAGCAACAACCCACTCAAATGGATATCAATGTCACTTATCCAGCTTACGACATGATGGATATCAATGATAAAGCCTCTGTCAATGATTCAATTGACTTTGATGGTTTCTTGGCTGCTGCCACTAACAACGTTGAGGCGGATGAAGAGGACGCTTCTCCTATGGAAGCCAAATCCAGCAATGTTGAGGTGGAGTACACCTCTGGTAAGAACAATTAAAAGAAAATGTTAATAATAACATTATTACATATGATTATGTTTATGTTAAATATTAACTGTGTAAATATATTAGAGAATGGTCCTGGATTCACACGTGTCCAAAACCAAGGAATGGCCCAAGCTGAACCAGAGCAGGCTGACATTGAGTATGACTAGTTTGTACCAATGTACACTCCCAACAGCAGTGCTGAGGCCGTTAGTCTGGAGTTGCTCTCCTTGTTTTTTGAGAACAGTGTTTCTTGTGAAATCTACAATCAGTCTGTCAAGATCGTAAACAAGTACATGACAGAACGTGAATCCCGTAAGTTTATTACTATCACATATCTACTATATCACATATACTTACTATTGTATTAGCTAAAACGGATTCACTTCTGTCATATTACAAGGTGAATACCTTGCTCAAGCAAGAATACACAGTCAAGGCACAGATATATGACATGTATGCCAGTGGGTGCTTTTGTTTCTCCAATGTCGAGCCTGGAAACTCAATCGTTGAGAATGAGGTGTGCCCTCACTGCAATGGACCGCGGTACCAGTGTGAGAGAGGCACTATATCACCTGTACAGACATACCAGGTAGTGTCTCTCTCGGAGCAATTACGCTTCAAGTTAGCTCACCCTGAAGAATGGGCAAAGATCGCCTATGGCATGGAGGTTTTGGCTGGTGGCCAATCGAATGTCCATAAGGATATCCTTGATGGAGATGGTATCCATAGACTGCTCGCAGGTGGGATTGTTGTCCAGAGTGACATGGTGGTGTCTATGTTTGTTGACCAGTTCAACCCCTTCAAGGACGCCGCCATGTCAGCTAGCATCATTCATGTTATTAACATGAATATCAACCCTGCCAAAAGGTAAATAAAACACATTGATTTAGATGTATATTTATATATACTAATATAATATATTTAGGTACAAGAAGGGTAACATGATGCAGCTGGCCATCATCCCAGGACCTAAGCACCCAAAGAACATTGCTTCATTTTTGGAGCCCATCCTTGCTGACCTGCAATCCTTGCAGACAAGTGGAGTGAAGTGCTGGGACGGAGACCAGTATGTGGTGCGTAAGGTTCATCTTGTCATGGCAACTGGAGATACTCCAGCTGTCTCTGACTTGATGAACCTTATGCATCACAATGTACAATACGGCTGCTGCCATTGTTTTGCGCATGGTGAAAGCATTGCCAAGACCATGTGCTTCCTGGAGAGCGAGGGTCCTGCCCCCATGAGGGACGTAGGGAGCATTTGCAGAGCCAAAGGAAGCGTAAGTTATGAAATATCAAAAAAAAACCACTAACATCATTTTAGAGACCTGGTGGTGGGAGATACAATGCCTTTGCAGAGTTACCCACACTCACCAGTTCTGCTTTCTTCGGTCAGGACGAGATGCACCTCCTAGGTCATGGAACAGGGCATCAGCTCTATCAAGCCCTTGGTGGCAAATTCTGCCCTGGGACTGCAGGCCCGGGCAGAAAATCCCATGGAATGCACCTCCAAGAACGCCTGCAACGACTTGAGTACCCCTTTGCCCTGGATGTTAGCCTAGATGACATCGAAAAGCAGTCAGCACATCCAGGGCAGATATACCAATGGTATTTACTGGTACGTGGAGGTCAATGAAGGAATCGAATGGCAAGAGGAAGGCCGTCAATTGGATGGACTTCCTCTTGTTCATTGTACCAACTGTGGTAATCAATCACCTCTGCTTTGCAGATGCAAAGCAGGCCGTGAGAGACCTGGTGCTGGTGTGCTCCATTGTTCAACAATGGAGCATCACCGCCAGCAACATTGTTGCTGTGGAGCAGTAAGTTGCTTAGATATATATTTCTATCCGGTTTTTAATGAGTTTTATAGGGCAATTGGCCGCTGGCACTCCTTCCTGAGGTGCAAGATTTTGGACAGTAAGCTGAAATCCAACATATTCGTGATGAACCAGCACATGCTGGTTCATCTTGGTTTCATGTTGCGGGAAATGGGCCCTTTGCAGGCTTACAGCTGCCGTCCAATAGAACGCATGATCGGTGCCTATACATCTGCGATCAAGTCCAGGAAGGAGCCTGGAAAAAACATGGAAAATGTTCTTTTCTGGATGGCGGCCATCAGCCACTGCTGCAGCAACCGTCCAGCCAGGACAGGACCAGCTGACAGAAGGACCAGCAACTTCGAGGTTGCAAGTGATAATGTTGCTGGTCCTCAGCTGTGGTCCTGTCCAACCAGGTATAGCATGGCCGAGTTGGCCAACACCATTGGCATGGAATGGGAGGACCTTGTCCAACAGTTGTTGCCTTTCTGGGCAGGAGAAGGAGTTCCCTCCTTCGAGGAACAAGACTTAGTGGTTTGCACCACGAAGATGTGGAAAGACTCGGTGGTTTACAGAGTCCAGTCCTCCTTTGACAGTAGACATGTTCGAGCTAACAATCTTGTTGTGCTCAAACATATGTGGAAGTAAGTGTTGTTAGTTATATTCTACATTGTTAAAAGTTGATATTAATCATAATTTAATTATGTTTTTTGAAAGTTATGGATTTGTCTGCAAATTTTTTTCCCACACTGTCAAAGGAGTGACCAGGCTCTTTGCAGCCACTGAGAGTCTTTCCGACGTCAGGCCCTTGCCGGGCATGCTCTTCCCTGTGTCGAGCAACCGCTCACAGGGCGAGATGAGGATAGTGGACGTGAAGTCCTTCAAGGGGATGGCTGGCCTCATCCATGATACTAAGGACAGGGCCATTAGACATATCGTCTGGCCCTCGCCGACCCACAACCAGTAGTTTTTTCTTCTTCTTTTTTTTTCTCTCTTTCTTTTTAATAAATGTATATAAACCTTTCGTCTTATTCAGATATTACTCAATGAAGTTGATTGTCATTATCATTTTATTTAAAATTGCACATCACCAGAAAATCCGAATTAACAGTATATCTGATTGATTGGCTATATTTGTAACCTTGATCAAAATTGTAAACAAAAAAGAACAGTTGTCTTTTTTTTCTCACTTAAAATAGACGTCTGAGTTTAACACATGAAAAAAAGATTAATCGCGGGTCCACAGCTTCTAAAAGGAGCTTAGAACACTCTAAATTTAGTAAGATTGATATGATTTTTACAAAGTTACACGGATTTTGCAGATATGCAATTATTTCTGCGAGTACTTGCACTTTTTTTTCTACAGTGTGTCCCCATCATCCAAAAACCCCCTGTTTCCTAAGATTTACGATTAATTAAGGATTTCTAATCAGTTTATCATGTACCATGTTTGGTAACAAGTTAGCATCTATACTTTCAGGAAATTTTTCAAGAAAGGTTACCAAAACTACAGAACATTTCTTGCTCATCTATAAATAAATAAATATATATGTGTTAGAGTTATTGACATGTTTATATCCATGGCTGTACTAACATTCATGAGCATATCATATGACATGATATCTGGATAGAGCAGTAGAATATCAGACTTTAAGGCCTGGTTGCATTTGAGCAACACTTTTCCAGCTCGGTGAAATGAAATGAATTTCTTCAAACTCTTCTCATTTGGCATAATGTTGGAACCCTTTTTTTAGAAATAATAATAATAATAATTTCATTAGTTTTTCTTTAAAAATAAAGAAGATTAGTGATTTACCTTTGAGTAGGACACTCATTGCTTGAACTGTCGTTTTAATGTTTTTCAAAACTTTAATTCTGGAAATGCAAGTAACCAGATTTACATCTGAAACCAGCTTTGCAACATCCAAAGCATAGCTTATATTGTCTGAGTTGATAAGGTTGGTCAGAGCTAACCTTCCAAGTCTAATGCTGTCTTTGAGATCCAACTCATTCAATTCTTTAACCAATGACAGAGTGGTTACCCCAAGATATGTTTCTGCCTTTTTCAAATGATGTATTCTACCATTGAATTCATCCTGAAATCTTTTCTTTACTGAAGTTAAGTGAAATACCCAGTCTATCAATTCAATAATATATATATATGTATATATAGGTGTGTTAATTAGAATCATGAATAACTAAATGTATATTATTTTTATCTTGACAAGCACTATCAATAATTTTTTTGCATTGTTGTTAAGCTCGATAAAACCTTTTTATGAGGGTACCCTTTGTAGTTGAGGATGCCTTCATCTAAAAACGTTATTTAAATAACTAAAGACAAAAAAAAAGTATGTATAATTTCAGCAGGTAACTTACCACCAGATTCGTAGTTCGTTTTGGCAGACTCCGAATCTATAAAGAAATATTTAAAGAATAAAATTAATAAACGAATAATGTGTATATATGTATATATATTACCAGAGTCTTCCTGCTGATCCAATACAGAAACTTGCTTTTCTTTATATGAGTCCTTAGACGGCACGTGCTTTGAAACAGAACAAAACAAGACAAAATGAATAAAAATTGTATACATATATATATATATTAAAGAAAAATACCTTAGTTTTTGGTATCTTTGGTGGACTGGTTTGGACATCTTTTGCTTTACGCTTAAGTCTTGTATGTTTTTCTTTTGGAATTAATTAGATGTTTTGTTAAAATTATAATCATATAACATGATAAAAATATAAAAATATAAAGAAATTAAAGAAGTACCTGTTGCAATAACAGGAGGAGGACGTTGTACATCTTTGGCAATCTCAACACAGGCATTTACTGCGTCAGGCAATTCCGGGCAGGGCTTGGGCTCGATCAACAAATCGCCTTAAAAAATAATAATATTTAAATTTAAATTTAAATTTATATATATATATATATATATATATAAAATAATAAGAGCATCTTCAGCAGTGGGAGAACTTTTAATTTATCTAAAGTTAAACACTGCTACTTTAGCTAAAGAAAAAATCAATTTTCTCAGCAGTTCGATTTATTTTTTTCTTTAAATAAATTTTATCTTTCTATTAAATTTAATAGGAAGATAAAGAAAAGGGACTGTCTTTTATATTTAAAGTGAATTTAATCGAACTGCTGAGAGGACAAACTTTAGCTAAATCTTTAAATTTAATGTAAAAGTGGAGATAAAGTGGACAGCTGAAGATGCTTTAAAATAATAAAATAATTTTAAGATATACCTTGTAGCTCTTTAGAAACCTTGTCTCTGTAAACAGAGAGAATCTTATCCATGACGTGGGCAATTTCTCTTTCATCAGCTATGCAACACTGTTATAATATATATCTTTATATTTTTATATACATTACTTACAGACTTCAAGAGCATTCAAGAACAAGTGTGCAGCCCGACTGAGCTTCCTATTTACATCAGGCATAAATTTCTCTATAGCTTATATTATTATTACTGTCATTTAAAATATATATATATATAATTAAATTACCTCGAGACATTTTTAAAATCACAGAAAAAAATGTAAGAGAAGAAGAAGCAAAAAAAAAAGAAAAAAGAAAAGAAAATTATAAAGGGCTTTTATATGTAACATAAAGCGCTAATTCTAGAGAGATGACATTTTTCTGGTGGGAGAAATTTTGATTCTCCCAGACTAAAATTGTGACTTTCTTACTGCGTTGAATAACTCTATCTGGTCCTTAAGGATACAGAGTTATATAGATACAATAGCTGAAAGAAAGAGAAATGCACAATACACATAAGACCAATGAATAGTAAAATATTTGACAAGATTGCATCACAATCTAACGAAAGCAACTACGTATAATCTGCATAATTGACTAATGATATTGACCCAGTCTAAAACTAGGGCTATTAATTGAATACACAACATTCCATTATTAAACTGACCAAAGAGAGGCTGTGTTTCCTAGAACAATGAGAGTTAGGTGCCCGGGGAAACATTGATGAACATAAAGTGTAAGGACAAGGTAGTAAGCCAATGCATACAATAGGGGGTTTCACCAGCTTTGGATGTTGACTGTTGAATATAGCGGTAGTTTAAGCACTAGCCAATAATAATAAGTATCAAAAAAAGACTGGTGAAACCCCCTAATGACCCTTGGTTGATATGTTTTCTCTCATATACAACAAAATTCATATGTACAATACGCTTGATTAGAGTACCCATAAATATAGTGCCTATGCCCAAATTCCTCACAAGTAAGTTAGACTTCTATAATTTGATATCAAGATAACTACTTTTATATAGATTAATTATGTTTTATTTTTGACTTTGCTTCTATATGAACTTCGCTATCAATCGTACATAAAGTACAAAATTTACAAAATTTTGGCTAAGTCACGACATCTAGAGTATCAAACTATTTTTTTAGATGCTTGGATGCTCGTTTTTCATTTTTTGAAGATTCGTTACAGCCAATCATTTTCCGAATTAAACTACCGCTATATCCAACAGTCAACATTCAAAGCTGGTGAAACCCCCTAATGAATATATTGTATTTTCTAGGGCGCACTATTTTGTCCTAAAAAACCAGAGAAAGAAACCGGGCCCCCGGGCATAGTCCAGTTGAATAGAAACGTCGGTCCTGTAGGATCCCTGATAATAATCTTTTATAGGCCCGAGTTAATTTTTATTATAATAAAAATACTTATGTCGCTTTCCAAAAATCACCATTGGTATCACCAAGCATTTTATATTTATATATAGTGTTACGGCTATAAGAGAGGCCTCAAAGTGAAACGATTTTACTTGAGGAGGCTTATTTTTTCTAGTCCTTGCGCAATGTGCCATATAGGCAAGTCAATGGGAATTACAACAACAACAAGAAAGAAAGAGAAAAAACAATGGGGGTACTCAGCCAGATTGATCGATCAAATTTTAATTCAGAACGCGATACTATTGGACTAAAATTGTAATATCGACGATCAAATTTTGATTGATTAACGTATGGCTCTGATTGCCTGAATCCTCACTTTTTTATATGTAATACAGTAGTCCCTCGATAATTTCAAGGCCTAGGGAAGGCCAGATGCCTTGAAATTATCGAAGAGTGAAATTAACGAGTTCGGAGTATATATTTTCCGCCAACTATGGGCGGAGTTTACATTATTCTTTAATAGAAAAAAAATATATCAAGTAATGATTCGATATGATTCAATCCTCTGTTTAAATTCATTCTAGTTAAATATAACCCCTGGCTGCATTACTGTTTTCTACCCCCTCTGTCTCGTAACCAATTATTGTTTCAAATTCTTATTCAATCAAATAATAACAGCTTCTCGGTATGCTTTTAGCTTATTATATAATGCTTATCTAATATCATTTTTAATTTTTTTGATACTTTAATAAAATCTATCAAATCCAGAACTAAACAATAAATATGACCAAAAAAAACGTTTTGCTTAATATTGCAAATCATCTTGAGATTTGCGATATGAAAAAGAAAAAGCTGTCTATGAGTAACCCTCAATTGGCTGACTGGGCAAAGAAAACCTTTGGCCTTCAGAAAGCTCCTGATGCTTCTACAATCTCGAAGATTTTGAAGAGAGGAGACCAGGGCTTGATAATGCAAGCCAACGTAAAGAACAGAAAGCGTGTTAGAAAGGGAAAATGGCCTGTATGTAATATATCTCAACATTATGCATTTTTGCTCTATATAAAAAATAAAATTAATCTTATTATATTGTCACATAACTATAGAAAATCGAAGAAGCAGTGATTCTTTGGATCAACATTGCTGAAAATAATCAGATTCCCATCACTTGGGAATTGATTAAGACTAAAGCTACTATTTTTGCTGAAAGAATAGGCGTTAAAGATTTTAATGCTTCTCAAGGCTGGATGGAGAAGTTTGGAAAGCGTCATTATATCAAGATGAATCGAATTCATGGTGAGGCTGGTTCAACAGACATAGAGTCGCTTCAGATTGACAAGGCTGCTATCAAAGAGAAGATAGAGGCTTATAGTGCTTGTGACATCTATAACTTTGATGAAACAGTACTTTTCTATGCCGCCCCACCAAGAACAACGATTTCCTGCCAGAAATTTTCTGGTTGGAAGGAAAATAAGAAGCGGCTTACAGTAGGCCTTTTGTGCAATGCCGATGGAACAGACAAGTGGTCTGACATATTGATGATTGGTCATGCAAGAAGACCAAACTGTTTTAACAAAAACAACAAAAAACAAGAGGCAGTAGATCATGGATTTTCTATGTATCATTACAACAGTAATGACTGGATGACACGATCAATCTTCCATGTTTTCCTCCATCGCTTTGATCGTTCAATGAAAGCGCAAAACTGCAAAGTGCTTTTGATCCTTGATAATTTCTCTGGCCATATAGTAGATTATGCGCCTACAAATGTTGAGCTTCTTTTTCTGCCTCCAAACACCACGTCCCATCTTCAGCCATTGGATGGTGGTATCATTTGGGCTTTTAAGGCTTATTTCAAGCGTAAACAGTATGCCAAGGCATATCAGTATATTGGCATGATTCAAAATGACCAACAAAATAAGATTGGGGCCATTGATAAAATCTTTGAAATTGATCAATTGTGGGCCATGAAATGGATAAGAGAGGCTTGGGAATCTGTCTCAGCAAAGACTATTGAGAACTGCTGGAATGCAACAATCTTTCACTTCATTGAAGACAAAGATAGTGAAGGTATTAGTAAAACAATTTATTGGTTATAATAGTACTATAATCTTTCAATTCCACTTTCTTAATATTCTAAATATAATTTATAGATGTAAATCAGGCTATGATTCAGCAAAGTCTGGCTGAAAAGGTTCTGGTTGAGGGCTTGGAAGAAACCCTAGACAAGATTGCCGGATCAGATCTTCTGTCTCTTGAAGATTGTCCGACCAGCGAATCAGATCCACTCTATGAGAGACAATGCACTCATAGAGTGATCAATGAGAATGAGATCGCTGACATTGTCATGAAAGAGTATGACGCAGACGACAATGCAGCCAACAACAACAGCAATGAAGAAATTGCTGAAGTGGAATCAGCAGTTCCTTTCAAGAGAACTTATTCTGCTTCGGAAAAGTTTGAGTGTGTTTGCACGCTTTTGGATATCTTGGAAGACGAGGATATTGACAGAGACTTCGTCAGTAAGGTTGAAGGCCTTAGAAACAAGTTCCAGAAAACCGCGAACTCAAAGCAAACTAAAGTAACCAGCTTCTTTAAGTCTTTTTAAAATTTATTCTTTTTCAAATAAAATAAAAACAATTTTCTATAAGAAATATATTTTTCTTCATTTAAAAATAGAAAAAAAAAGTTAGCAGCCAAGTACAGTCAAAGCTTGATTTCGTAATATGTTTGTAAATAGTAACAATTGCAAATAACAATAAATAGTAATGACAGATAGAAATAATAAAATCTACAATAAAAACTTTTATAACAAACAAATTAGAATTATATTTATATTTTTCAAGTGAATAATCTTTACTAAACAATTAATAAATGAAACTTAATCAAAATATAGCACATATAGTTTTATTTTATTTCTGAAAAAAAAAATGAAAAAAAAAATTTTAAAAAAAGTAAGATGACAACTTGATAACCCAGTGTTTGGCATGAAAACTTAACGCACTTGACATTGATGTCAATTACAAAATCATGAAAAGCTAGAATTAAAAAAATTTAAACCAAGCTGTAACTATATTGCTCTCGTCTGATTGGCTAATTTTTTTTCTTTAAGGATTCAAGGCCAAAAAATTTCGTGAAAGTGAAATTAACGAGAATCGTGAAAGTTAAGCCCTATTTTTCGAGTTGGGTCTTCAGAGCCTTGAAATTATCGAAGCGTGAAATTAAAGGGGCGTGAAATTATCGAGGGACCACTGTACGATACTGTTTTTATCTTTCTCCTTAATAACTAATAGAATTTATTGCCAACAAAGTCATATAATACTTCTTTCTCTCCATCTTACATAAAAAAATACAGTACAAAGTAGCAAACAATTGATGCCTTGAAGAAATGGCATAAAATCAGGAAATTTATCACTACGACAAATAGGGGCGGTTTTTTGTATTTGTGACTTTGTTTTTGGTCTATAATAATTAAAAAATCACCAAAAATCCAATTTGAAACTAGAAAATCTCTGTTTTTTGAAAAGGTTGACAAAAAGCAGATTGACCACCTAAAATTAAATCTCCTGATAGACAAAAGTACATTTTAACTACAGATTTTACATTTTTAGTAAATGTAGATTGCAATTGATGACTATTAAAAGTCAGAGGTAAAAGAGAGAAAAATATCTAAACTTTTTGCTGGGAGGATAAAATATGTTAAGACAATTTGAAAAAAAATAATGTATTACAAGAAAAAAAAAATTATAAGTCTGCAAGAGAACCAAGTGACAGTTTTGGGCCGCGGTTAAGCTCTGGCCACACTACATATGTTGTTGCTGTTGTTGTTATTATGTTTATAGTCGCGTCCGACTTCACCAAACCAACTAATTCTTTGACATCTGCCAGGTGAACTACCATTGGCTTCATTTGCCCATTGTTGATTGCTGGTATACTATTTACCAAACGAACTGCATAAACATTGACAAGGACAAGCGGCCACCTCTTGTTGTTGAGCTTGTGCTCAAAGAAAACGACGAGCTTCCCAAAGAAATCCTTGTAGACTGGAGAGTAGCTTTGCCCAATGTTGCGGTTCTCATCAACCTGAACCTGAAGTCTGACGTTATGTGCCTCTCTTACACAATTATGGTCGAGTGCAGAGTCAATAACACAACCATTTACAAATGCCTTACGGCTTGTTTTAATGGCTGCTTCAATCATACTACACTCTTCCCCCTTTGATTCGTAGAACTTTTGAAGAAGCTCTGGAAGACAAGAAATGCCTCCAAAACTATCAACAATCGTTCTGTTCCTCAAAGGCCCCCAGAACTCAATGTCAGAATCAGTACCAACATTACTACCTTCTCGGTCAATTGGCCAACCAGCAGAGGGATCGTCATACTGAAGGAGAGTTGTTGCTGTTACTGTTGCTGTTGTCGTTCTTGAATTTTCAACTCTCATCTGTCGAATCTGTGTCAAGCCAAGCATGATGTTGCCAGCGTTGATTCCAATTGCCGAATTACTCTTTATTGCTCGCGAGTATTCCCCAATCGCCCTCTCGACAGATCGTGCACTATACGCTCTGGGGGGACCATACGCTTCTATCATTGCGGGATAGTGCTGCAGGAGGTGCTGGTTGATCGTAAAGACCTTGAGCTGGACCTCTCCTTTAGCTAGCGAGGCTTCCAGATACGCATTCCATGCGACGAGATTTCTAAAAAAAAAAAGATAAGTTAACACAAGTTATAAAATAATAATATTAATTATAATTAAAGCTTACGTTTTGATCAAGGTTTTCTCCTCTGCTGATAACTCCCAGCTCATGAGTAGGTTGCATGTCTGCACCAGGTCAAGCAATGCCTTACAGGCAGCTTGGTCATGGACACGCTCTGCCACAAGCGTAGGGATAACAAACAAGCTGAAGTCAGCCCAGTCCACAGCCCGGAAGTACCCTGATCTTGTTGCGATGTTGATCCATGCACTGTGGAAAGATGTTGGAATACTTCTTCTGGTTAACACCATGGCAGTACCAATTTCTTTCTGAGCAGCAAGGGAGAGAGAGAGAGGATGATCTTTTCCATACTTGCCACACATGAGCCCCCAGACCTGTTTGCCAATGCCGTGACAAATGCCGTGCATTTCATCCAATGCAAAGAAGAACGGACCAGAGAAGGAATCCAGTAAGGAGAAGGGAGATTGGCCAGTTAACCCTTTTTTGCTGGATGAGGCCACCTCATCAAAGTGCTTGAAACTTTCCGGTGTGCGCATGGTGATGGCAGATGGCATTCGGAAATATTGGCCATGGCCAGGAGATTGACCCACAACGTGGCAGATGCGGCAGCCATCCTTACTCATATGGCCCACATGACAAGCCATCTTTCCCAGAGCTGGGATGTCGCCAGTTGTCATTAGTACATGGACTTTTGCACTAATATCTCCAGATGGTGTCTTCACAACCATTCCACCGGCTTGGAGAACCCGAAGTTCTTTCAGAACAGGCTCCAGGAATGACCAGAAGTCGGCGGGTGCTTTGGGACCAGGGATGATCGCGACTTGGATCATACGGCTGCGCTCGTAGCGGATCATTGGGGGAAGGTTGAGGTTGGTAACGTGGACAATGGTTACCGAACCCGGAACACTATGGGGAGCAAACCCATCAACAGACAGCGAAATGGCGATGTCGTTTTCACCCGAGAAAAGATGCTTCTTTGACTGGTATGCCTGTCCGTCAAAGACATCGGAAATGCTGCCATCAGCCTTTTGCGTATGATGGTGGCGATACAACATCTCTTTTCTGGTGCGGTCGTTGGCCAAAGCAACTGCAAGCTGTCTACCCAGAGGAAGCTGTATCATTGTGCTGGCAGGAATTGGATTCTCACCAGCGATGTGATCGAACAATGATTTGCAATAAACATGCAAACATACTTAAGAGGGTTGGTATAGATTTCACCAGATGCCATCAAAATTGGGCATCCACTGCAAGAGTCAGTCATCTCTGCAAAGACCGTCAAAGGAGGCAATTGTAAGTAACTATCCACTGCAGTGTAAAGTAGTATATTTAATATTGGAAGTATATGATGTATTTGACTGTTTATAACCAATAAAAATGATGTATAAAATGTAATGTCTATCATAACAGCCAATAAAAGTGATATATAAAATGTAATTGTGTAGTGTAATAACCAATAAAAACGATAAATAAAAAATATATCCATTTGAGAAACCAATAAAAATGTATTTTTATAAAATACACTACAGTGCAATTATGTCTTATCCAATAAAAACAATGATTAAGCAAGAAATATTTAAAAGAATCTAAATTAAAAGAATAATGAATTAGTAGTAACCAATGGCATATAATATTTCAACTATACTTAAAGAAGTTTTGTCCAATTGAAAGACAAATATTAGCAAAAGAAAAGGTTATCAATATATTAATAGAATCTTAAAACTACCGGTAAGCGGAGATGTATTAAAATGCACATGAACTCAGGGTTGGAAAAAAGGGGGGAGGACACAAAACGCGCCCTGGCTTCCCCTCCGGAACCACCTGTGAAACCACCTCTAAAACTCCTATTTTTTTGGTGTAGTGTTATATACAGACCAACAATGATCATACTCTTGGCATGGCTTTTGTATTGTTAATCCTTATGTTCAATTTAACATATATTTTTTTGTCGATTCTCCTTTTGCATCAATACAGTTTACTTTTGTAACACAAGCTGTTTGAGTTCAAGGTTAGGGTTGTGGGCCCCTGTCGGATTTCCAATGATCCGAGAGTTCAAAAGATCAAAATCGGCCTTCACAGACACATACCAATATCTGTGAAGACTTGAACGATCTTGTTCTTGAATGTCTTGTGCACAATGATAGGGCAGAGAATTGGGTTCCGGGAACCCACTATCCAAAAAAAAAACGGGACTATTGAATCTTGAGAGTTACTTGAGGTGGTAAAGGCGTGGTGGGAAAGGTATAAAAATCAATACGCAGATGGTTCACTTTCAGGTTGTATGCTGCGGGAGGCTTGGAGAAAGAGATGGTGCTGCGAGCATTCTTATTTTACTTAATACTGTAAGAAATGGCAGGATCTAAACCACCGGGCAGGCAACATTCTCCCAAGTCAAGAGAGTTACGGTGTTTAGTCACTAGTTTTACCTATTTAAGCAAATAAGAAGTGTAGATTTTACAGGTTTGAAAGCTTATTTTAACCCATGGCATTGGAGAATGGCTTTCATATATATATATATACGGGAAGAAGTATTCTTATTATGGAGTTACAAACACTCGAATCTCTTTATTTTTCAAGTTGAAAATACCGGGGCTAAAGGGCCTCAGTATGCGTCCAAGTGCTTGATGACTTTTTAGCAATTTTGTAAATGATGCTTCCTACACTATACTCATACTTTTATTTTGAAATCTCATACCTTTAATAGTCTAGATGATGCGAGCCTAATTGTGGTCGTGATTAGGTTTGAGTGGGCAAGCTAGGAGATTTGAATAATTATATAATCTTTAATTTTGTAGTGGGTTGAAGAAGTTGAGAAAAAGGTGTTTTGGATTGACTGCAAAAACATGGTGGCGTAGAAAGTGGAATATATTAAAAAAGAGAGAAAAATCAGTGCTTAATTAATAAAATTCCACTATAAAACACACTTTAAACCCTAGAAAACATGCAACAATCTCACTAAATTCACCCTTTTTTCTTCTTTCTTTCTTTCTATGGTGTAATGTTCATTTAAACATAGTTTGAACTTTTTAGTCTGTCCTCCCCATTTTTTTTTAAAAGAAGAAAATTACTTTTCAACGACCCCTTTATCCTCACACTTCGCCTCACACTTCCAGCTCCTCCTTTTTTTTGTGCTTTTCATCTCCACCTCCCCTTCTTTTACACTTCATTACCCATTTGCTTCTCGTTTCTTATTTTTATGATTTTTCCCCTCTTTTATAATATAGTTCTTTAGATAATCATTATCAGTGGGTTCCTACTTCTTCTTGCTTCTTCTTGCTAATATTGCCGTTGGTGTTATTCAATAGTTCAAACACGTACACAGTAAAAGAAGAAGAAAGATAAAGAGAGAGAGAGAGAGAAAATCAGGGCAAAAACAACGAAAGATAAAGAAATAAAAAGGTGGAATAAATTAATATATAGATCTATAAGAAACTAAAAGAAAAGTTAAGCAAGCCAAAGATACATTTTTATATATATAGATTTATATATATATATACATATATTTTAATTTCAATTTCAATTTCAATTTCAATTTCAATTTTAAATTATATTATATTATATTTTATTATTTTATTTTATTTTATTTATTTATTTATTTATTTATTTTCTCTCCCTCTCCCTCTTCCTCCCTTTCTCTACACCTTTCTTATTCTTACTCTTCTTCTTCTTATTTGATCCTGAAACAAATCTACAAAAATGGAAGACGATGAACTTGATTTCGAAAATTTTGATTATGGAGATATTGGCGACTTCGATGTTAATGACTTTGATGTCGAGGCGATGGATAAAGAGCTTGGGCTAGATTCCCCTTTGCCCACCAAACTAGAGATCACAAAGCCATCCTCAACATCAAACAATTCCACAACGAATCCGATAAGCTCAACAGCAAATACAAACTTTGGGTCTTCTACTACCACTACCACCACTACCACAACGGCAGCAGCAACGGCAGCAGCACAAACGGGAACGGGAACGGGAACAGGAATTATCAAAACCACAATAGGAACAGGAGTCGGACCAAAGACAACAAAACCATCAGAATCTGTATCCTTGTCAAAGGCTACGCTAACAGACTCTAACAAAAAAGAAGATGGTGAGGTGGAAAACACGAATGGAAAGGGTAGACCAATGTCTTCAATGAGAGAATCTACCGGTCGTCCTAATTACCAACGTCCAATGGCTCCAATGGCACGTAACAATCAGTCGGCTATCCATCTTCAGCATCAACAACTTCAGCATCAACAACTTCAGCATCAACAACTTCAGCAGCAGCAACAACTGCATCAACAACAACTGCAACAACAACAATTGCAACAACAACAGCAACAGCAACAGCAACATCAACGTATGCAGAATATGTATATGAATAATCCTGGCTTCGGCATGATGGGGATGAAGTACGCGAGTATATACTTTTCTCTTTGTTTCTACCATTGTTTGTCTTTATTTTTACATCCTTGCTTGGCTATACTTTCTTTCTCTTTTACCTCTTCTTCATTATCTTCTTTTTATCCTTCTTCTTCTGGTTCTGGGTTCTCTGTTTTGCCTTTCTTCTCTCATTGCTAAAGGATGTAAAAAAAAAAGACAAAAGATAGATATATATATATATATATGATATTCAAGACAAAAGAAAGAAAGAAAACCAAAAAAAAAGACAAGAAAAAAAAAGAAGAAAAAAAAGAACTACATTATAAAAACATTTATATTTATAATATGTTATGATCAAAAATATCAAAAAAAAGCAACCAAAAGAAAAGACATGAAATGAAAGAAGGGGGAACTCCTTTACGATACTTTTTAGCTTACATACTTACCTTTAATTAACCTTCTACTTCTTTTGTGCTTTATTTTTGGAATTCTTTTCGTGTTAACCATCTTTTCTTCTTTTTCTTCTTCTTCACTTAATTTCTCCCTTTCTCTTTATACCTTTATACCTACCTATCTGTCTATCTGTCTATCTATCTATCTATCTATCTATCTATATATCTATTTATTTATTTGTGTGTGTGGGTGGGTGGGTGTGTGAATGGTGTTTGGATTTGGGTGTAACTATCTATCCCTATATATACCTGTATATATATATATATCTCTTTTATATATATCTTTAATTTATTTTTACAGCATGATGCCAATGAACCCGTACGGTGTCCCGATGATGAATTATTCAGCCCGTCCAGCACACAGAATCCATGTAAACCCAAAGTTCGCGGGCGCGATCCCAATGCAGTCAACCATACCAATCCACTCGGACCCTCATCGTATGCAACGGGAACGCGAATTGGACGAACAAAGGAAAAGACTTGTCGAGGCCCAGAGAAAACGACAGAACGAACGCCAGCAGTTCCATCAACAAGAACCCCAAGGTAAAACACAAATATATGTATATATATATGTGTGTGTGAGGGTAGAATTTGAAGTGGGAGTGTAACAAGGAGAGAAGAAGTATATATATATATATGTATGAACTTACTTAAATCTTAATAAAAAAAAGATGGACATCGTTTGCAAGAAAAGCGCCGAATGGGACAATATGCTCCCGAAAACAGAGCTCCATTCAACCCTCCTCATACAGAAATGATCGATTTACCATCACCACAATCACCACCACATATCACTCATGCGTCACGCTCCGAACCACGGCCTACTATGGGACTGTCTATCAAAGGATCGGCTGCTGCTGCAGCCAAGGCAGCTGCTAGTGGTGTCAGAGGAAAAGCGACCGGAAGAAGAGGAAGCAGTAATCATAGCAATGGTGATATTGATACAAGTATGGTTATTGATTCACCCAAACATGTGTCTCCCTCAACCACTGGACACAACAGCAACAATAGCAATGCTGGGTCTGGGCTCGTGACTAACCATCGTACCCAAGACCGTCGCCCCCAAGATCCTGCAGACACTGCTGCTTCGCAAAACATCCGAAAACTTATGCACCAAGTCACTGGCCGCTCAGCTCACGAGATTAACAACCAACATCAACATCAACATCATAACCAACAACATCCTTCTACAAATACAAATCATATCAACAAGACTTCACGTCCCCTAAAGTCCTCGACATCGCCTTCTCCTCCTTCCTCTTCCTTATCCTCCAACCATAACAAGAATAGCCGACCTGCTATTACAACGAGAATCTCTGACCATTCAAACTCCAGGCACCTGGACTCGTCCAAACCAAGCCAATCGACCGCCAATTCTGGATCAAACACACAACGGTCCAAGTTGAAGATCAGTAACCTCAGTAATAATGTAACCGAAGCTGATATTCGGTCAATGCCTCAATCAGGAGGAATAGAGGTAAAGATGCAATAACATATAGATTTGTGTGTATGCGTAAAGGATTGGATATTGACTTTTTTGCTGTTGTTATTTTTATATACTTTACATAGAACTTGCAATTGGATTCATCATCACAGACAGCCATTCTGACCTTTAACTCCAAAGACGCAGCCGTAATATTCCGGCGACAGAACAACAAGTATGTATAATTTACCTTATATATATATATATATATATATATATAGTGTGTGTTTAGTATGCTTAATATTTAGTAAACTGACTATTTGTATTGGGGTTTTCTTTGTGGTATAGGGTTATGGTTGGAGGTAACCACATTACGGTTTCCTTTGCATAAATCCATATATATATATATACAATAAAAAAAAGGCAGAGATTTCGTTATAATTTTCTCTTTTTCTTCTGATTCTTTCTTTTTCTCTCTCTCTTTTACTACCAATGAAAAGGCTGACCTTTAGAAGAAGAGGAAGAAGAAGATGTGACTCTGACCAAATTCAAACAATAATGATAATTGATAAAAAAAAACCCCCTACAAGGAGGACTTTGTATATTTATAACAAAAACAAGAAAGTGTGCGTACGTGCTTGAATGTGCATATATGTAAGAAAGAATAAAAGACAAAAAGGAGAGGATAACAAGAATGGGAACAATAATGGCAGGGTGGGACAAATAAAACTGAAAGATAAAGTCAGAGGAAGATGTTTGTGAAAATGTGCAATTAAAAAGGAAAAGAAAGAATAAAAACAATAGAATATAAAAGTTAAAGAGGTGGGAGGTTTGTTAAGAAGACAGATAATATTAAGACATCTAAGTACACTTGGCCGGAACTTCGTAGCTCTCCACACGTCTTTCGAGCCATCCTTCCTTTGTGAGTTTGGCTCCGTCACCAAGACCGCGTCTGGCAAACGCCTTGTAGATCAAACAGTAGTTCTCTCCGTTCGTCAAGGCGTGATCGGCCAAAAGGATCGCATCACGGGCATCGGTGAAGCTTGGACTGCAGGGCTGCAGTTTGAGACCATCCATGACCAGCTGGAGGGCAAGGGTATTGCCATGTGAGACAACATGAGTTCTGACCCGCTCCAGGTCACTCTTGGACATAAACAGATTTTCGTCCTCAGGGGTTGGAGGGAACCAGTCTGGAGTAAAGCCGTGCTGGTCTACAAGATCCCAGTAGACTTCATAGAGCATCTCGGCCCAGACTTCGCCCTTTGCATGGACACCCCAGTAGTCAAAGCGGTCCATGATGCGGTAGGTGCTCGGGTTGGTCTTGATGTTGGTTGAGTAGTTGTACTTGCGGATTCCTTTACCGCCATTGGACCACCCACCCATTGCGAAATCAACCTCACGCGTGTACTCGCTCTTCATCTGGATGATCGTAGCCACAAAATCTCCCCAGCCTTCGCCCATACCACCGGCCTCACCCCAGCCAAGACAGTTGCTGTTCTTGGGACCACCCGTCAGACGGGTCGATACACCGTGCGTGTACTCGTGGATCACGATGCCACTCTCAAAATCGCCGTCGCGCATGGGCTTGGTCTGATCCCAGACGTACATCCGCATCTTGCCGTGCTTGCCGTCAGGTGGGGTGGCAAAGTTTGCATTGTTTTTACCAGATCCGTCCTGGGCATTGGCGATCACGGCATCATCCTCGCCGTCGTCTTTGTCTGGGTTACGGCCACGGCCAAGGTTGTCCTGCTGGAAGTTTCCGGCCTTTTCGTCAAATCCGTAGCGGTGGAAGAGGTCGTGGGCGGTGTTACACCAATAGAACAGATTGGTGACCGCAGCGTCTTCGTACTCTACCGGCTCCTGGTTTTCAAAGTCGGCCTTGTAGTTGAACACAATGTCGCCCTGTTCATCAACGATTCCCTTGGGGCGATAGTTGTTCTGCCATCCGGAACCACCGTCTGGGTTGGTGTGTGTATAGGCATTGTTACCGATTGTGACATTAAAGGTAGTAAAGACTTTCTTGGACGACGAAGAAGCCTGGACATGCCATCCGACCGGACTAGCGAAAGTGTCGTGTGGATTCTTGACCAGGACCTGGGCCGAATCGGAAGGATCATTTTGGCCGAAAGGAATGATGTTGTAGTAAGATGCCTGGGAGACCCAATCGTGCAGACCGATTACAGAGCCATCGTGGGCATTGATCTGGGCATCATACCAGTGGTCGTCTAGTTCGAGCTGTACAGTCCAGACCAGTTGGAGATCGCCATTGGACAGTTGGAGATAGGACTGGCGGACTTCGACTGGCGAGAGGGCAAAGGGAACCTCATCAAACAGCATGTGCCAGGACTCACTGCCATCGTCTTGCAGAGTCGAGACAGGGATTGGCTCAAAGGTGGAGGGAGAGAGTTGGTCGATGACACGAGGGTCTGGGAGGTTTTTGCGGACAAAGGATAAGAGAGAAAGGACGGCCTCTGAAGGATCCAAGACAGGAGTGTCTGGTGAGTTTGTGATTGAGTACTGATGGCCAGACTGGACCTTTGCTGGACGGGGCTTGTTGAAGAAGACCTGGGCAGGATTTGTGAATGTATCGACTACATTGCTAAGCTTTTGCTACAGAATCTACGGATAAGTACAAAGCAAGCATTTGTGTTATATGTTATTTACCCATGAAAAGGACTTTTGCTGTGCTTTGAATAGGGTTGGGGCAAATGAGTTTCCATAGGATAGGATACGGCCATATCTGTCGACGTTGATATTGATATCAGCATTGGCAACCTCGATGCCGTGGACTGTCTGGCGGAGATGGATGTGAGTAACTCCGTTGAGATCGGAGACATAAGAGCTCTTGACAACATAATCGCTACTGGTCAATTGAGAAGAGACAAACGAAAGAGCGATATCAAGAGGGCTATCTTGAGTCAATGGATGATATGATTGCTGGTTTGTAGGGTTTGTGACAAATGTCTTTTGGAGTTCAGGACCAAAGCTGCGAGAATGACCGCGATTGTACTGGTGCATACTGTTGGCGGACAGAGGAACTGTGGCAGCCATGGCAGAGGATGCAGCCCACAAGAGGGAAATGGCTGACGCAATTGGGTATCTCATTGAATAATTAGAGTGTAGTGATTTGTTGTTATGGTAACAGGGGGAGTTATTAGATAAAAAAACAAGTGGATAATATTAATTTAATGATTTATTTATTTATTTTTTTAAAAAAAAGAAATTAATTAGGAAGAAGGGAGTTTTTTTTTTATTTTATTTTTTTATTTTATATATTTATTTATTTAATAAAAAAGAAAAGAAAAAAACCAAAGAGAGAATGAGCCGATTGCCTATCTTTGGCACATGATGGGTTTATTTTCTGTCTCTGCCCTTCTTGTCTCTGTTTCTGCCTATGTTTCTCATTTTTTATTTAATTATTTATTTATATTGTCTAGTATTATATTCTATAGTCCAAAGAAGGAAATAAAAGAAACAAATAAGCTTGATTTCAATCTGTCACACTTTTGTATGAGAAATAAAAAAAAAGAAAATAAAAAAGAAAAAGAAAAAGGCTGTGAATAGAGAGGATTGGCTGTGTTGCAGACTAACAAAAAAAATAATAAGAAAATTGGGAGGGACAAATAGGGCATTTCAATCCCAAAGTAGGCTAATTGTAAAACCCACACTTTGGCATGTTACCTATCGTGAGACTGGTCTTGGAGTCCAAAAAAAGAAAAAAGTGCTGCGGATATGGAGTATATGAAGATAGGTAGACACAAGCATACACAGATACAGACACAGACACAGACACAGACGCACACGCACACGCACACTGCTACTGTATGCTGTTATATGCTGTTATGTGCTGTGTTGAGTTGAATTAGGTTGAAAGTAAGTAGTTCAGCAGATCAGGTCATCTGGATGGGATTGGCTTTAGAATATGGTACTTCTTTATTCAATATCACTGCAAACACCTGCATTTATTATCATTTTGTTCGGTCTACAAATCCCTGCTGATTAGTCGACTTTAATATAACGATAATTATATGTTTGGCATAAATGAGATTCACCTTGATTGATAGGGATATTATGTATATATAATAGCTTTATGCAATAGTGAGTGGTATTCAAGATAGAATTTGTAGACTGTCTTATAATATGGGAATAGATAATACCATTGACAATCCGTATGATGAAATACAGGGAGACTGATACCAATTGGCTCGTTATCTTTGTTTGTTTGTTTGTTTGTTGGATTGGATTTGCCTTATCTTGCACATAATTTAAAGGGGGGGTGGTAAACCAATAAATCACTGAATATGATAGCAATAGTAATAATAAGGTGCACCTTTTGATTATCTAAATAGCCAACGATAACTAAATCAATAAAGATTATCTGTAAACGGCTTGTACGATCAACAAACAAAATGGCAAAATAAACAAAGAGCCTGTTTATTCGAATGACTCATCAAAAGGGTACTCCCTTGAACTGAATTTTATCCTAATATTCCCTTATCACTCATTATTACAAAAGACTTGGTCCTATTTTGTTTTGAATGTTGATCATACCCCACACAAGTACTTACTTACTTACTAACAAGTACTCGACTCTTAAAAATCCTATTCACCAATTAAAGCAGGGTAAAAGGTCAAATATACAAAACGTCATTAACAGGTGGTACTTGTACTACAGATCCTCAAAATTAGTAATACTTATCCATATAACGATATTTTCATTTGCACACACACACACACGTATATATATATTATGCTCATAATCAAAGTGTCTGCTGAGTACCATCATCCCAACCAAACCAAACCCAAAAATCTAAAAACCTAAAGCCTAAAGCCAAGCCAAGCCAAGTCAAGTCAAATTGATTAACTGAATAATCGTTTGGTAACTAGATAATGATTATATATATAAAAGAAGGAATTTCTTTGTTTTTGTTTTGCACACATCTTGTTTGAACCAAAAACCTAATTCCTCATCTTCCAAATTAAAGAAACTCTTGTCCTTAATAAAAATAATTCAGAAATGTAGTCCAACTTTCTCGTCTTCTCTTCAATTGAGTCAAGTCAAGTCGAGTCAAATCGAATTATCAATACACCCGTATTTACATATTTACATATTTACATATTTACATATTTACACCAACTTTTATATCCTAAATAATATTAATAATAATAATAATAACCATTATTGTCATCATCAGTCTTTGTCCACTTTGCCTCCCTTTTGCTCGGCTGAATTTTTTGTACATCCTCTAGGCCCCAAATTGAATGGATCAGCGTAAATATCTATATCTCTTGTCAGCCCATGGATGCCTATGGTCTAAAGCCTATATTATAGTACCAGCTGTCGGCAATTCGACCATGACTTTTGGTACATATGTACAATCGACTACGAGAAAATGGGACAAAGGCTAGGGTTTTGTTAATTCCAATAATCACACACACACACATATATATATATATATATATATACATTCTAAATCTAGCTTTCAATAACTTCAGTTCTACCTGGAGCTACTATGAACAAAAGTGTGTAGACGTAAAGGCTCATTATCCAAGCCAAGCATTATATCGATTTCAGTTTCATATACACAACTTATATATCTATAGTAGCTTGGTATATTCATCATAATGTTCTTCTCTTTATCTTTATACTCATATGGGTTGAGCAAGTTACTGGGTTTTGTGGCTGGTGATTTTGGAATAGTGCTTGTTTCCAAATTGAAACAAAACAAATTCGAAACAGTTTTTAATAAACATAAACATAAAAACATGGATGATTTGCAATTGTCGATCCTTACCTTGTAATTGTGCATCTTTTGTGATATTGACTTGTTACCTTTTCTTTCGGATAAATTATTTAGGATTCGTTGAATTGAACTGTGACTACCTTCATTTTTATAATTTATCAGGAATAGTTTAACAGGTTCTTGCAGTTGCTATGCTTACACTTATGAGGTCAAATATTCAACCAAAAATATTAGAAAAGTGTCGAGATTTTTATGAATACCCTAATTTTAATTTATTTATTTTTTTAAAAAAAAAAGATCTAGAGATTGTTGAACTCTTTCTATTTCCGAATTGGTTGATTAACACTTCATACCGGAATCAACCTTAGTATATAGTTCGTTAACCAGATACAGCTAAAGAATAACCGGTATTTTATGTCCTAGAAACAATCGAGTCAAGTTGATACATTTTACTAGACCAACCATTACTTTATATATGTATTAGCTTTGTTTCACAAATACTTACTACGGATTGTAGGTCTCTGTCCTACAAGGCACCAATTTCTTTCTATTAAACGTTTACCAAATATATAAGTGTCTTATTATTATTATTAATATTCTTATAAGATAACTTCTTATTCTTCAATATCGCCCGCTTTATGGGCAACCAAGACATAGCCTCGTGATATTGTGTCTGTAAGGCTTGGTACCCACCACCTCGAGAATCCAGGTACCATAAATTGCAAACAATCCGTAACCAACATTGAAATTGATTGACTTTGAACCTATCCGCACACGTTTTCTACATCTCAAGCACATGGAAATAATTTCTGGATCATTGAAGTTTTTGTTTGTTTTTTGAAACTAACGTTCGACATATGAAACAAGTTTCATAACCAAAGAGCACAGAGTTTTTAAGGATACTATCCGAGCATACAGATCATTAGTGACTATATTGTTTTGCTCGTAAATATCTTAACCTTGAGATTCCAACTAACAACAGGGAATAAAAGAGTCGACTTTGAAGAAGAAAGAGCTAATATCGTATCTCTTTCTCAGAACCTGGACTAATCCATTTGAGCATCCAAGTAAACAATATATTGGAGACAAGGTGGTGTCTTCCTCAGAATATCTGATTTTTTTTTAGGATAATATTGCTAGTTTTAAGATATCTCTGGGACTTCTACATGTGAACACAATTCGGTAGCCTACAGCAGATTTTCTGGTGATAACGTAAATTATGTAATTATTTTTTTTGTGAAAATCAGCTCTAATAGTTTAAATGAGACCCTGACCGACTTGAAAGTCAAATCCTTAAAAATCATGGATATTTCACCATTACTGATGAAAGGATATCCTGGCAATCACCTTTATAGTCTCATGTTAATATCGATATTAGTTTCAATGTTCTGACTGATGCAAGAAGACATAGGTTACGGAAATTTAGAGTGACCAGTTCAATTATTAGATCTGATGTACTCCGTTACATATCATTTTGCTGTAGAAACTTGGATCTATTAATTTCACACCAGGGTGTCATTTTATCGATATGACCTACACTCGACTCAAGTTACTACATCAAGACAATGTATTCTTTACTATAAAAGTGTTCCCAAAAAAATTCTTAATCGTAATACTACGCTTATCGCTCGCCTGGTTGATGATATTCCTCCAAATAACGAGGACGGCATCGAAACGTTGGCAATATGTTTGGAGGGTCCATTAGTCAGGGCACATTATCTTTGTATCTATACAGGCCACTGTCCCTCGGATTGTAGATTCTTAAAGACTCGAGGCAGAAAAGTCAGCAAGTTTTTTAAGTTTAACGATAACAGTCCAAAAAAATAAAAAAAAGATAATCCAAGGGATCACTTTTGAATGTAAGGAAAATGATCTACAAGACAGACGCACATAATATACAGTATATATACTGGTGGGGAACACTTTCTCACTCTTGGATTAATTATTATGATATTAATACTAATACTAATACTAATACTAATAGCAAGAGTTAATTTTTACATTTTATTGTCTTTATCACTGAATAAATGTTGGATCTGAAAATAGACTTTTAAACACCTTTATTTTGTCAAGTATCAATTCTCAGTGGTGGTTTGATTTGAATTAATTAATGAATTAAGTAAATAAATAAAAGGTGGGAAAAGGGGTTAAAGGTTGGTCTTTCGAGTTAAAAGAGGTTAATTATAATACCAATATAGTTAAGAGTTGAATAATGCGTGTTTTTATTTACGCTGGTAATTGCCCAATTACCCTTTAAACAAGGTAAGTAAGGAGTGTCTTGAATGATAAAGGTTTGTATTGGACCAAGAGACAGTGCTGTGTTGAGACTTTGGGATTATAGCTTTACATATATATATATATATATATATATATATATTGTATATGCAAATTGATCTTTAACTGCTGTTGCGTGCACAGGCTAAAAATATATCTATATCAATTCCATATATTATTCCAGTTGAGTATCTACCCTGGCCAATAAATAGAGAAAAGAATATAAAGTCGCAACTATTGTAATCTGTGATTTGTTTCCTCTAAAAGAAATAGACTGTTATCATTCTTCTGTATGTATATAGAGAGACTATATAGTTTACTTTATCTATTGATAGTCAAAGCTTTGGTCTTTGACAGTGGCAAAACATATAAAAAAAAAGATAGATAGAGAGATTCACTTCATCGCCATAGTCAATAGTATCATTAGTATTATATGAATATATAAAAGTGGATCAAATCTATATTGAAAAACTCTTTCCTTACTATTTTCTGTGATAACAAAGCTCAATATATTCTACTCAAAAAAATTTTTTTATCAATACAACAACATCCCCCTTTTCATCTCTTCAACCATGTGGGCAAGTCCCATTCCTCGTATATTTTTTAAGAACAAAAAATTGCTAGGAAATTAAGACATCACGTGATGTGCAGCCTTTATCTATTTCTCTTTTATTATCTGTGTATATATATTTTCAATTCACATACATAATTGATTTTCATAGACTCAAGAGGTAGTAGCATTGTAATGATAAAATTAATTTTAACAATTGTGACATATAGAATGTGAACTTTCCCTAGGGATGTGCTATATAAAACTGTTCATAGAATTAAAGGGGCTCTACTCTCCTCTAACTCCTTCCATCCCCCCAGATGAAAAAGAGAGAAGGGGGAAGGACCCTCCCCCCAAAAGAGGGGGGAAAAGAGTACATCTCCCTAGTGTGTATGTGTATAATACTAAATGTACATTATCACAATTCAACTCTATAGCTTAACATTTTATACTCACAAAATCCAAATAAACCAAGCCATTAGTTCACCAACTTCTTCTTCTTCTTCTTCTTCTTCTCCTTCTTATTCCCCTTTTTCTTTTTTTTTACTCTTCTTTAACTTCTTCTTCTTCTACCTCTATTACTCACTTGTTTACTTACTTGCTCAAACAAACAAACAAACCTCTTTAAAGAGAGCGCGTTTATTTATTTATTTATTTTAGTTTTCTTCTACACCTTTAAAGAAGAAGAAGGATATATCAAAAAAAAATTCCCTCTTCTCTTTCTCATTTTCTTCTTCTTCTTCTTCTCTCTCTCTAACTCACTACTACAATTATTACCATTATTACCATTACTATCGCTACTGCCATTATTACAAAACCAAACCCAAAAAACAAAATCAGTATCATTATACCAAGTCACAAGTCATGAACACACAACGATCTACCTTGACTTCCTCCCACTCACCTGCTCAACAACAGCAACAGCAACAGCAACAGCGACAGCAAAATATTGGCAATAATAGAACTCAACATGACAAGATTCGTCAAAATACCTTTTCCTGGTCCTCCACTTCTTCCACCTTTTCTCTCTCATCTCAATCAACCTTTTCATCCACAGCAACATCGGTCATGCAAGACAACCTGGATCTGTACACAATCGAAGACTCAATCAATGACATTGTCGACACTTGGAATCTCTCTCCAGCCAGGGTGATTCGGGCTCTTGCACAAGCCGCCTCGCAGGGAGATTCTTCTCTTGTCAGCCAAATCCTGTCAGACACAAGACTCAGACCGTTTCTCAACATCGACAGTTCAGACGACGATACAGTTGGTACCACTCCACTGATTTATGCAGCTTGTTTTGGAAAACCAGACGTTGCACGCGTTCTACTCAATGCTGGAGCCAAAGTTGATATCCAAGACAAAAGTAAGTTTTGAAGTTTTATTTTCTTTCTTCTTGTCCTTGTTGATCATAATTGTCATTAGTATCAAATGCATCCACAATTGAATTGAATTGAATTATGTATTAATTTTACTTTATTAATGAATGAATTAATATATCCTTTTATTTGATTTGATTTAATTTAATTTAATTTAATTTAATTTAATTTAATTTAATTTAATTTAATTTAATTTAATTTAATTTAATTCAATTTAATTCAATTCTTCATCTTCTTTATCATTTTTCTCTCTCTCTTTTATATAATAATAACAACGCTTTATTTTATTTATTTATGTATTTATTAAAAAAAAGTGGGTTGGACTCCTTTAATGTGGGCTACTACAAATAATCATCCCGAAGTAGTTCAGATCTTATTGGAAAATGGTGCTTCATTTGCCACCAAATCAGCGCGAGGACGAACTGCGGCTGATTTTGTAGACGGTGCAAATCCTACCATGGTCACCATCTTGTCTCACAAAGAAGGTTCCCGAACCCCCACAAACAAGAAACAAATCAGACGCAACTCATCCGGAGAGAACAACCAACTCGCCGATTCTCAACAAAAACAAAGACAAAAACAGAAACAGAAACAAAAGCAAATATCAGTACCAGAATCTATACCAGAATCATTATCAGCATCAAAATCATTATCAATTTCAGAATCTTCAATATCAACATCAACATCAGAATCAGAATCAGAATCAGAATCAGAATCAGAGTTCTCCGCACAAATAAAAGCAAAGACAAGGACAAAATCAAAGGCTCAATCACAGACAAAAGCACAAGCACAAGCACAAGCACAAACACCAGAAAACTTACAGCCACAGACACCTGTAAAAAAACGACAGCAACAACAAAAGGAAAAAGGAAAAGAAAAACAGTACAAACCCAAATTTGTTCAAACAACCTTTGAAAGCAACAACAGAAACAACACCAATGATGATACATCAGATACATCAGATACATCGGATACATATGACTCGGACCTTGGTTCTTGTACAAATAGTGAAGATGAAGACCTTTCGATGTGTGAAGCAATCTGGGAATCAGTCCATCGATTCAAATGGGACGTCTGCTTACCTGACCAGATGTTTGTGTTTGCCGAAAACGATATGGAGACCATCCTGAATACAGCGATCATTGGCTTCAAGCAACCCAAATCTCATCTAGAAATCTGGGTGCCTGCAAACATTGTTTTCCTCAGTGCTAGATATGCACATTATGTATCGACTGCAGAATTGCTAAAGACCTTTCTCAGAGCATCCGTAGCCAAAATAGCCATGGTTGTAAAGGTAAGAAAGATAGTTGGCAAAATATGGATACGAATCTACAATGATTTCTGCTTGTTCTGTATACATGTATAAAAACATAACCATCTGTGCTTCGTTTTTAGATGGCAGAAAAGGATATCCACATGCTGGTGTTTTGGATTTCCAATCTATCACAGCTACTATTTTATCTCAAAAAGGATTTTGGATTGGTGGTTGCGACTGCAGAACACCAACTTGCCATTGCCGAGCTGATTTCCGAAACCTACACACTCTTGGTCAAAGACTCTGAGCAGCGACTGGACAAGATCCTAGAGCCTGCAATGTTGGAGTACGAGCAGATAACCGGGCTTGAGCCGGTTGATTTTGCAGATGACTGGTCTCGCTACTTCCGCAGATCACGCACACGCAAGCCTACTACAAATAACCTACTACAGACAGTCGAACCAATGAATTCTGACAATAGCTGCAATAACAATAATTATAATAAAAGTAATAACAATAGTAATAATGATAATAATAATAATAATAATAGCAACAATAAAAGTAATAACAACAACAGTAATAATAATAATCAACAACAACAACAACAACAACAACAACAACAACAACAACAGCAACAATATCTGCCTCATACATTGACCCCAAATTCAATCACATCCATGCTCACATCCATCTTGCATGTATTTCGATCATACGAAGTCCATCCGCTCATCACTGCCCAGGCAACCGCCCAGTTTTTCCATTTCTTTGCATGTGAGATGTTCAACCGGATCCTGATGAACAAGAAATATGTCTGCCGGTCCAAGGCTCTCCAGATCCGAATGAATCTGTCGGTTGTGGAGGAGTGGGTGCACGACAACGGGTTCCATGGCGCGGTCGGTCCGTTCTTTGGGCCACTGATCCAGCTGCTCCAGCTTTTGCAGTGTGTATCTCAGCTGGATGACCTTGAGCTGTTTGTCAAGACTACAAAGGCCTTTGACCTTCTGAATCCGCTCCAAATCAAAAGGTGTGTGCTGCAGTACCGCTATGAAGTATCCGAGACACGTTTACCGGACGAGATTGAAAAGTACGCTATGCAGATTGCGCAAGATACGGTGCGATCTGTTTATCAAAAGTCATTAAGGCGTCAATCAAGTGAAAGCAACCATACAATCAATGGGAGTGGAAGTGGATCTGGAGGTACAAATGGAGGTGGACAACAGAGTGAGGCTGCTTCCCGACGCAGCAGTTTTCTGTCGAGTGGTATGCCGAGTGTGGCCCGACAGAGCCGAGGATCTCGGCCGAATAGTATTTCGAGCATCAAAAGTTTGCTGATGATGTCTCGAGAGACTACGGAGACAGCCGAAGACGTGGTAGTGACTGGGCCATCTGATGAAACAATTGAACAGGAACGGTATATAATAAATGACGAAGACAAGGATGAAGCCGAAAGTGCGAGAGAGTGGGTTGCCGAAAAGAGGGATTCCAGTTTTCAGCTACCATTCACTTTACCTACCAGCACACCAAAGCGAACGGCTAGTCACCATAATATAAACAATAGTATTGGTAGTGGTACAAACGTTAAGAATGTTAATAGGAGGGGTAGCAGTAGCTTGAATGGAATAAGCCAACAGATGGAGATGGAAATGGAGATGGAAATGGAAATGGAAAAAGAAGTACCTATTCGACACACCTTATCCGAAGGAATCTACCGAGCTCTGAAGCAAAAAAGAGGAGCTGAACGAGAGAGAGATGCAGGAGAGCGATCGGTTGTGCCAAGTATTCCAGAAGATTGGCTGGAAATATTGGATAGTAAGATGCACCACCAACCCATCACACCGCGTTCAGGAATCGATGTAGTAATGTAATACAAAAGAGCAGGAAATAAAATTAAAGAAATCTCTTTCTTTATACTTCTTTATTTTTTTCTTCTCCTCTTTATACGATTCCATTAATAAAAATATATTGCCAATTTCTACTGCTGTTATTTCTTTCATTAATATTGTTGTAACCAAGTACTTAAAGATGTCCAACCTAATTGATTAAACGTGCAAAGTACAAGTGAACACACACATTTAAAAGAAGACATTTTAAGGAGAGATTTCTTGTAAATCGTGCAAAAAAAAAGGCACAACCATTAATAATAATTAATTGTGCACCCTTTTTATGTACAAATTTGTGCGTGCTTGTGTGTGATTGTTTCAATTCATTGTTCCAGTAACAATAGCAACAGCAAAAGGGTAATCCCTACCACTATCATAATTGCCATTGTATTCTTATGCTTTTACTCTTCTTCTTAAAAGACTTTTTAACTCCTTGTAATTTGCATTATCATTGCCTTTACCATTAAGGTAACCATTGCGGTTACTGTTAGTAAAAGTAGTACTAATACTATTATTCATAATCACCTTAAAGAAGAAATCAACCTCCTTTAATTATTCAATCGATCATCCTTTTTTACCCCCTTCTTTTTGTTCATTCATTCGTTTATTCGTTCATTTAACTATTGATATTATTATTTAGTAAATCCCTCAAGATCCATCTCTTTCACTTTCACTCTCTTTTTATACATATACTAAAGGCATACATACATAGTCATTTCTGAGCCTTGGCAATATTACACCCCCTCCCCTTTTCTGTTCTTATTTCCTTTCTTTTCTCCATTCTGTCTCTCTCTTTTAAATATATATATACGTTATTTTTATTGCTATTGATATTGCTATTACTATCATTACTTTCTGTTTTTTATGAACATTTCAACAAGCAATGCCACAATGGCATTTGGAAGAATGTTGGCCGACGATGGAATCACAACACTGACTCAAGTAGATTCCAATACCGTCGTAATCACACCACGATTCAACACGGCTAATAAAACCGAACTAAAGGCAGGCAATAAACAAACAAAATTATATAGCACAGCACGGCAATACAGTACAAAAATATGTACTTATATACTTGCATATATGCAAACTTGATTCCAACATTCAACTCTGGGTTAACATGACAAGTTGCCATTTATAGATCGGTGTTCTTTTGCCGTTTAGTCAAACAGATGATAATTTCACAGCCCAGATTGTGTGGGGGTAAGTTAATTTTTTCTTATTACATATATATAAATTAAATGCACAGGCACAGGCACAAAGCACAAAGCACAAGCACAAGCACAAATCATACATAATGTTGTGTATAGTATATATTGTATAGTTTGTACTTACAAGCAGTATATAATATATATATATAAAATTAGTGGTATGTCTGCTATTCGAATGGCTGTAAACGACATCAATGAACAGGGTTTGATTCCTGGTGCATACATTACCCTGATCGAGCGAGACTCTTTTCCACAGGATTCAGCGGAACAGACAGCCGTTACTGATGCCGTTTATGCGTCGGTCACACTATTGCAACAGGGTGTAATTGGAGTCATTGGTGATATATCAAGTTCATGGACTAGTCTGAGTGCAATCATGACAAGTACACTAGAAATTCCACAATGTTCATTTACTGCCAGTGCAAGTATGTAGCATCTACATATATATATATATATATATATGTGTGTGTGTGTGTGTGTATGTGTATTAAATTTTCTCTTTATTCTTCACTATGTATATATCATTCAAAGTTTCTTTTTCGGACAAGACACAGTACAAGTACTTTTTTAGAACAATTCCTACCCAAGTTATTATTGCCGATGTCATGCTTTCATTTGCAGCAGCTCAAAACTGGACAAAGATTGGTGTTCTATACACAGACGACCCACTTGGTCAACAATGTAAGCTTTCTCCTCTCTACAGCAACTATACAAGCACCTACACAAGCATTTAATTGATCAATCGATTGATAATAACAATGATTCTGTTTACTTTTATATACTCAATAAAACATTATAGTCTATCAAAGAGCCGTGGTTCAGGCTGGTATTACTCACCTCCAGATCACTCAATTCCACGCAATTCCTTTGACAGGAACCGAGACTATCCGCAGTGATCTGACCAGCATGACATCGGCCGGAACACGGATTATGATTGTTGCGGCGTCGGGTGACCCACTGGCCAACCTGATGATTACTGCGGCAGATATGGGCTTGATGTCGAGTGAGTATGCCTGGTTGCTGATGGGCGAAGTCAGTGACAGTCTGTCGGATTCAATCCAGGCCCACAATGCCAACCACAACACCACACGGGCCATCGACTACAATCAGACGTTCTCTGGTCTGTTTATGTTTGACAACTGGCTGACATTATATGGATACCCACCCTTTGAATCGTTTCTGGATCTTTGGTCCGCGCTCGATCCATCTGCGTGAGTAACTGATAAGTGGATCTTAATTAAAATTTATATGAGTGTGCTTATATTGATCTTGGACATCATTGCTACTATTACAACTGTATAGATATCCGTTTGCTGGTCAACGGAAGATAACTACAAATGAAGGGTACGCTACATCAATAAAGACACAAATCTAGATACGATTCGTAATAAGTCCACCCACATATCTTATATAATGCTACTATTACTCTAATTATAATTATGCCTTTTATTTTATTTAGTCTAGCTTATTCATGTATGATGGTAATGGCCCAAGGATTCAGTCATACTGTGAATACAATTTCCAATCAATCCTACGCTCTTGAACAACTTGCGTCTGGTGAACTTGGCCAATACCTTTTGCCGTCAGCCTTTAACGTAGGCTATGTAGGACCTGAGGGACCAATGGTGTATGATTCTAATGGAGATTTAACAAACGGGTAAGAGAGTCCGGATACACAAGTATATCAAATGTCATGATTAATCTTTTTTTTTCTTCTTCTTCTTTTTGTTAGAAACTATCGTATCTATAATCTTCAACACGGAAATCAAGCTGTCATTGGCCAGAGTGTGGGAGGTGTCTTGACACTCACAAGTTCTCCGATCTATCATGACGGTACCTCAAAGGCAAACTTTCGTATATTTATATATTTATTATTGGGATTTTGATTTTAATTATTATTATTATTTTGATTATATAGCCTCCTTCAGATTCCCCGGCAATTACAGCACTCAATCCAGACATGTCTTCTCCAGTTGCACATGCCATTCTTGCTGTTGCAGCCACAGGTATATTCTTTGCACTCATTGTATTTGGATTGGTTGTTACGTTTCGTAAGCATGAGGTTTTCAAGGCATCAAGGTAAAGTAAAGTAAAGTAAAACAAAAGCCAAGAAGCGGTTGATAATATTCTAACAAACCAAAATATATGTATATAAAAAGTCCTTTGTTTTGTTGCTTTGAATTGGTTGGATTTGTTTTGACGTATCTTTCGGTAACATTCATGATCGGTACACCAACCCAGACGAGTTGTATTGCTGGACCATTGGTATTCAACTTTGGATTCTTGTTAGTTCTAGGGTAAGGATATTATCATTATGTAGATAAACAATTAGAAAATAAAAATAAATAACAAAAATTATAATAATCTACAGAAATATGATTGCAAAGAACTATCGTATCTACCGAATCTTTAATAATATATTTATTTCTCGAACGGTTATTACAGACCTACAGCTTATAAAGACCGTATCTGTTGTGGTTGGAATTGACATGGTAAGGTTCATACAATAAATCTGTAATATGTACTGTAAAGAAATAAAGAAAGGAAAGAGTTGGTACTAATGATTTCAATTTTCTACAATTGGTGACACAATAGATCATCTTGTGTATAGGCTTGATTGTTTCTAAACCTACTCCAACAATGGTTGCTGTATCTGTATCGGTTTACTACTGGGAGTGCCAGGCACAGTCAGATTATAAAATTGTTTTTTCATGCCTGATGGGAATCTATGTCATGTTTCTCTTGGTCTTTGCGACCTACCTTGCCTACAAAACCCGATTGGCCGGTAGACAATATTCTCATTACAATGAGTGTCGTCAGATGGGATTATCTGTCTAGTAAGTACATTGATATTCAAACAAGCAAGCAATCAATTAACTTTTATTTTATTTTATTTGTTAGTAATATTCTATTTTCTGCCCTGGTTGGATTTGCAGTTGGGTTGAACCAGATGGCAGACTTTTTCACAAAGTATTACATAACAGTCATAACAATCTTATGGGCAACGACCTTTTCGCTCTTGATACTGTTTGTTCCAAAACTCCAAGCATTCTATAAACAGAGAACAGTCGAAAAGCAGGCGGCCAACAATGAAGCCAAGGAGGTCGAGCAACGCAACATATTACAGTCTGTGTTTAATAGTACGAGTGTACAGCCAACAGATGGCTTTAGTGGATTCAGTAACACTGGTGGAATTGGTGGTGGTGGTGGCAATATCTATGGTGGTAACGGAAACGGAAATGTTGGTGAACTGATCAGCCTGGATCAACTTTTGGCATCTGATAACTCGGGGCTACTGGATCCGGCCCAGGCAGAACAGCGAAAGGCAAGTATAGTCAGTGCGTACCTAGAGTTATCGAACTCTGGGGGAGATTCCAATTGTGTAGAGGTTCACGAGGTGAGTTTTTGATTCATTTCTATATTCATCGAAAGACTTAATAAAAAAAAAAGGGAGAAATGCCTGTGCGTATAGTGTTTCGATATTTTCCATTTTTGTCTCAGTGGGAGATGAAGCACATCATGGTATTTCCCTGGCTTGGGTATTTTTCATACTTTTCGGTAAGTAAAAAAAAATAGCTTGTATTTTATATATTTTCGTAAGGGATCTACACATATATGTATATTTTTTTGTATATACCTATGTATATGGTATATGGTATAATGTGTATTGTAAATTAAGCACGCCATCGACACAATACATGCCGAATATGTTGCACTAAAATAGAGAAAGGGATAAAAGAATTCTAATTCTAATTCTAACTTTAATTATATGTATATGTATGCATGTGTAATTTCAAATACTAATAATTTGTTGTGTAGCAAGAGACTAGAAAAGGAACTGTTCTAGCGTATGCTCAGGCAGCCATTCATTCGGCACAGCTCAATGACTATGTAATCAAGGTGAAGGGACAGGGCTTGTACGATATGTACATCCAGGTTCCGGATCTCAAGGCTGTCGAGACCTGGCAGAGATGCTTTAACCAGAAATCCAATCCACAGACATACATTCAGACTGGCCAGCCCTCGTTTAACATCAATTCTGATTTGAATTCAAGTAGTCGTCCTAATAATAATCATCATAATGATCTCCACAGTCGTCCTGGTGGTTTATTGTCGGATGAGGATGACTCAGATACCTTGGAGGCTCAAAAGTCAGTTGTCCCCGCCAAAGATGGACATGCTCCGCCACCGTCTCACTCGCCCAGACGGCAATCCAGTGAGCGGACTGTGCAGGGAAGCCTTGGCCAATCCAGTAGTCGGCGTCTCAGTACAACAGCCACTTTGACCTGAATAGACTTGACTTGACTTGACTTGGCCTGACCTTACCAAAAGATAGAAAAAGGGAATATCCCGTTATTTCACATAGTACAAACCTAAAAAAAAAATCTATTCATATTTTTATTTGCCTGCTTACTTGCTTACCCACTCATTCACATATTAACAAACAAATGACAACTATATATTTAGTTAATGGGTTTATGGGCGTATTACTCACTATACCTTGAATACAAACATGTACACATTTCTTTAAATATCTATATATCGATGTATTAATATTAATAATCATTCTGTTGCTATGGATGATATAAAGTGGCGTTTTCTACATATATAGTATATTTTTCGCCTTGTTTCATATCCTTTACAATAATATAATATGATAAGATACAGTATATTTTTTATTTGATTTAATTTAATTTAATTTAATTTAAAATAATATTATAATATAAAAAAAAAGAAATAAAGGAGATAATAGGGGTCTAGACTTATTACGGATTTAAAAGAAAAAAATAAAATGGGGGGGGGGGATTGAGAGAAGAAGAGGCAAAAACATATATATATAGAGAGAGAGATTTAGATTTTAGATTTTAGATGGGGCAAGAAAGAGGAAAAAAAGAAGATTGGGCGGAGACAACCACAGTCTTTAATTTTTTTTTTATTTTTATTTTTTCCCCCTTGTTTTTTACATATATACTTGCTGTGTTTTATTATTTCCTTTTTTTGATAATGAAATAGATTATCCTAGCAACGGCAACAACAACATGGAAGAAAAAAGAACAAAAAGGATTGAGATATAAAAACAAAATAAAAAGGATAAGGATCTGATAACAAAAAACAAATAAATAAAACAAAAAAGATCAGATAAAAATATTTATATGATACAAATTTCAATTTATAGTGCAGATGATGATAAATAAATAAATTTTATTTTATTTTATATTGGTTTCTATTTGGATGGACTGGAAGATCTGATAAAAAAAATTTTCTTTTATTTATTTTAAAAAATAATAATAATATATATATATATATAATATAAAATAAGGAAGTAGCGGATGATGAAACTGGATTTAAAACAAGATTACTCACAATACGTTGACTCACATACACACGTTGACTCACCCTAATAAATAAATTATTTTCCCACTCCATATTTAATGGATAAAGAAAAAGTTAAAATTACGTCATTTATGAAGAAAGTAATAATGCTAATAAATAAATAAAGAATTAGATAATTAGATATATTGTATTATAGAATTGTTGGTTTGTGTGTTTGTTGGTAACAGAATAGCTGTATAGATACGCTAAAGGTTAGGTTAAAAAAATATATTAAAATAATTTTTATACAAGAGGCAGATAAAAGGGAGTAAGGAAGAGGAGGAAAGGGGGAAAAATAAGGAAAGATAAGGGAAAATCAAATCGTGCCTAAAAAGCAAGGATACATTTTTATTTTATTTTACTTTTTTTTATTTTCAAACTTGGCTTTTTATAATATATTATATACAAATTTCAGTTACTTTTTTTTTTAATTCATTCATTCACATTCATTCACATTCATTTACTGATTGGTTGGTTGGTTGGTTGGTTTATTTATATATAAATATATACAAAGGAGGTTGTGAGATAGATAGAGGGGGGAGGGAATATTGATTTTTTTTTGAGTTGGTTATTTTGACAGATGAAAATTATATATGTTATATAAAAGAGAGAATGATAGGGGAGGGGATATAAATAACAAGTAAAAAGTAAGAAATGCAAGCCAAGATGATTGATGAAAATGATGATGAAAATGTTATGTAAAGACAGATGAGATTATATAGAAAAAGTTAGAGATAAAAGACGGCTCGTCTCTTTGGTGAAGTGGGAAAGGCTTCCTTGTGGTGATGGATTATTGGGTTGAGGTCAAAGGCTGGTGGAGATAGACAGTGAAAGGAGTAGTTTGTTGGCTTTCCTTGTGGTAATGGTAAGGTGTATGATGGAATTGGAGACATATTTGGAGACGATACTGTTGATCCAGACGATACAGACGAGCAAGAAGAAGTCGACAGGATAACTGGAGATGATATTGGTGTCGACTGTACAGAAGATGATTGTGATCTTGATCGTTGTGGTGATTGTAAAGAATGAGAACGAGGGGAAGTGCAGGATAGGGTTGGTGATGATGAACGAGGGAAATCCTTGAGTTCTGCATAGTCGTATCCCAATAGAGGGTGGCGATTTAGAGCGTCTGAGCGAAGGCAGTCTTCAGAGCAGTAGAGAGAATTCTAAAATAAAATAATTAAGGTAAGTAAATAACCATGGTAACATATAACATATAACAAGTATAAATTTCTTACCGAAAATGCACTGACTGCATTGTCGCAAAAGGTACACCAGTTAAGATTACTCATGATAATATTTTTATATATATATATTTGTGTGTGGTTTGTAAAGACGTCCAATCAAAGAAGAAGGTGAAAAGATTAAAAATAAAAAATAAATAAATAAATAGAAAATCAAAAGGGAAAGGAGTGCAAAATGATGTTCGTTTATATAACAAAAATCAAACTCTTTATGACTCGGGACCCAATAGAAATAAATAAATAATAAAAGAAAAAAAAAATTCCTTTTCTTTTTTTTTTTTTTTTTTACAGTGATAGCTTAATCACCCGTCACAAGCACGCCAAAGGAAGAGAAACTAATATAATACAACATATAAAAAAAAAAGTCGCAATTTCAACATTTGATGTCGTTCCAAAAAAATGTAAGAAAGTTAAGAATCTTCAATAGTCACTTGATCCCTACAAGACTTGATTTTTGTGCTTATCGTTCAGTACTACCATTTTAGGGATTTGTCGTGTTTTTCTATTATAGAAATAAAAATATAGAATATAGATAGATATTATATGTTACAAATATGTATGATAACTTACCCCACTTTTCTTATACCTTTTATATATGCCTTTTATACACATCAAGATATTTACACCAATTGAATAAATTGATCTCTCTTTTATTTTATGTTATGTTATGTTAGGATATTTTGATGGTTCTTGAATAATGACACTAATGGAATTTGGACTACATTTGATTAAAGAATCTGTATACTTGTTACTTGATTGATAACAGACAATTCATTCGGTCAAAATAAATAAAGCACGCCAGGGGATAGATAGAGATAGAGTTAGAGATAGAGATAGAGATAGGTAAAATAAATTAATATTCAATGAGTGAAAAGTGATTCACACACAAATATAAATTTATCTATCTATCTATCTATCTGTTTATTTATTTATTTTTAGGCTAATGGGAAATACTCATGGACGATACTTGCATTTGATTGGCCAAAGATGGCGGAAGGAGAAAGAGAGAAGGATGTTTGTTCTATCAGCCAAATTTACCATTACCATTATTATTATTATTTTTAGTCCAAACTTAATACAAACACATCTTTGGATTTATATATATATATATATCTATATAAAAGGTACATTTTTATTACTTGTATTATTTATTGCTCTTATCTACAATTTTTATTCGAATTCAACACCCACAAGAGCAGTAGAATCAGCGTTTGAACAGATAGCCTTGGACTAAGAGAAATAGAAATCAGTAAAATTTACACAGATTTCAAATTTATAATCGTAAAATCTAGAATCAGCCTACCATTTGCCAGACTTGAATGTTATTATCTTGTGCTGCACTAGCAATCAACCACTGTTCAGTAGGATGCCATCCAAATTCTGTCACAATATCAGTATGTCCATTATGAACAAACTATAGAGTAATAAAGTTAGTACAGAGATACCAAATCTCTCTCTTTGTTTATTATTTGCTTTTTTGTACTTGCCATTAACTCGGCAGGTCCATCTTCTGCATCTTCAGCCGTCTGCTCCTCCCCAATACGTCTCAAATCCCAAATGTTGATCTGACGGCCGGCTGCAGATCCAATAATCGGATCATCTAAAGGACTCCACTCAACCTGACCAACAGCACTAGAGTGTTCGATCGAGTGCAATTTGTCGCTTAGTTTGCGAATGTCAAACAAGCCAATAGTCTATTGTAATACAAAGAAAGAAATAGATAAATAGATAAATTTATATATTGTTGATTGTTGATTGTGGTTACCTTGTCGGCTGAGCCAGTGGCCAACATTGTTTCCCTTGTGGGGTGGAATCTAACCGAATTAATTTCAGCCTCATGAGCCTGAATGCACTGAACAGCCTTTGTTGGTTGACGTGTGTCCCAACTACAAATCATATAAAATAAATAATGTTATCGTCATTATTAATAGATATTAGCGCATATATATATATTTACTTGCATCATCAATTTTCTGTCATCACCAACAGATGCAAACAAAGACACGTTTGACGTACTCCAGCTGACATCCTAAATATATATATATATATAAGTCAATCAGTCAATTGATTGGTTAATAAATAGATAGAAAGATAGGTAAAATATGCGTAAGAATTAAATAATACAATAGAGTATATCCATATCTCTTCTTGCTAACTTCATTGTCATTAGTCTATCGTGTTCTTTACCTCTACACAATCAGTATGACCAACGTATGTCTGATAAGGTCTTAATTCTTTACCGTCTGGTGTCTGTCCAATATCCCTTTTTAACGCACAGCAAAATACAATTTAATAGATATATATATATTCTTCTTCTTCTTCTTTTTACTCTTTGTCTTTGTCTTTGTCTTACCAATGGCACACTACTTTATCATAACCAGCACTCAGCAGGTGATTTTCCTTGACTGAGTGTGGATTCCACTGCAGACCATATCTATTTAGTCCCATATATATATATATATATATAAATAAATAAAAGGATTGCTTATCAGTTTCCATATTTGTATACATTTCTTTTTCTTTTCAACTTTACCCTTCACCTGAATGCCCTTTTAATCTCAATATTGGCTCTGATTCTAGATTTGTTGTGCTAGCTGCTGATAACGACAGCTGTCTATCAAATACAAGAACATCACCATCCCTTGTCATGGTGGCAATAATTGAAGGGTGGTTTGGTTGACAGCGAGCTCGATTGACTTCATTTTCATGTCCAATAGATTGCTTTGGAGTAATTGATGCCTTTACTATTGTTCTATCTTGTTAAATTTCTTGTTTATTTGCTTATCTATTTATTCTTACCTGTGGATTGGTTGTTCTGTGGTAATGTCACAGTCTGGAACAAGAGCGCATTTGGTTCTTGGTCACTTGTATTTGTGCCAATCATCAATTCTTGATAGGAAGCACCATCCTTTCTAATAAGAATAAGTGTCTTTCTTTCTTTTTTTTAAAAAATATTATTATTATAAATCATTGTTTACATACATTGTTTGACCAGGTAACCACTGACAGGTCAATGTTGGCCAGGCTAATGTCCGTGTCACTACAGTTTCATACAACATTGGCACAGTCTTTTTCCATTCTTGATACTCCTCTGCAATCTTGGCCTTGTCCATTTCAACACCTTTTTATGTATATAATATTAATAGGTACATTTAACAAAACATAACATGATAAAATAAATGATCAGCTTATTGATCCACAATTCAAATCTATTCAAGGCACCAAAAAGAAAGAACAAAAAGAAGCATAGCTGTAATAGTAATAATAATGTGTAAATGGTAATCAAGGTGTTGGATTCTATTCATAATCCTAATGGTAATTCTAATGATTAATGTGCTAATTAATATAAGCTGAATACATATTGTTATTGTTTCTTTGACTAAAAACAAAAACAAACAAAAAAAAAGACATATATATCTAAAGAGGTTTGCTTGTTGTGATTTTTGTACCAGATTCATTACTTGTCGCCATAATATGTTTTTTTTTTTTTTTTAAAAAAAAAAGTAATGTCAAAACTACAGTCTGTTTTTATTTTTCTTAATTCTTAATTCTTATATCACTGTCAGTCAAATAAAATACTTTATACTCAGATTATAAGCCCATCTGGTTTTCATACAAATCCAAATTGAAATAAAAACAGTAAAACACTTTTGAAAGGCGCACAATTCGAAAATTGTTTCAATTTCAATTTCAAGTGCTTTATCAAAATGAACTTCACTTTCTCAATGTCTGTAACAAGAATATGAAACGCAAACATGAAGATGACTCCTGAGAATTCAGCAAAAAGAAAAGAAGACTTTAAAGACTAAGTATCAAACTTTTACATTGCTGATGAAAAGAAGCACACGTTGTTTTCTGTCTTACTTGAAAAAAATAAAATAAACTTGAAGACCTTTATTTTTTTTGACAAATCGGTTAAAATGGGTATTGAATCCAGGTACAAAATTCACTATATATAATAATAATATAATAAATATTGATCTATTATTATAGAAAATCAAATCAAATTGAATATTCAATTAAAACATCTTAAACAACAACAATGATAACAATAATAATTAAGGATTCTATTTTATTTTTATTTTTCAATATTTAAAGTAGAGAGAGAGAGAGTTTCGGGATAATCCTAAATAATCCAACTTGCACACCTTTTTCGAATACCTTTTAAAGTAATTTTAGGATCTACAAGACACAAATAACGTGTGAGTGAGAGATTTTATTTTTATTTTAGCAGATCTTGTTCTTGTAATTGTAAGTTGCCAAAATTGGAAAATTTGCTACACAAAAGCTACACCAAACAAAAATATATATATATAATAAAATAAAATAATATATTATATTGTAAGAAAGTAATAGAAAGAGAGAGAAAGAGAAGGCAAAAATAAAAATGAAAGAAAAGAAAAGGGGGTATTCAAGTATCAAGACCCATATAGACTCACAGACAAATGTAAAAATCCGGGCCCTTGAAAAGAGATAGATAGATAGATAAATAAATAGATAAAAATAAGCTTTTTATTTTATATTTGTGCCAAGCCCTGTAAGAAGATATTTTTATAGACAAGAAAGATGTGTATTTGCAAATAGACATATAGATAGATTCATATGTATTTATTTAATATGTAGAGCTGTACTCAATTAAAATCAATATTCTTTTAATTCACAAAGGAAGGTGAGACAAATGGGCCGTTGAATATATACCATAGATCCCATACTTTATATTCTTATAAAATACAAAAATAAATAAAAAATGAAGGGTATTGAATTATGATCATTAAAGTAGATCTCTATCTCTATCTTGATTGGTTGGTGAAACAGATTAGAAGAATATACACTTTTTATTATAAAAAAGGAAACTCAATCCATAAAAGAGATCGACCAGAAAAAATAAAAATAAAAATCTTTTATTTCTCTCACTCTTTCTCTTCTTTTACTTTCTCTATTTTTCAGTAACAACCTCCGAGTGCTATTGATGCGTAGAGGGATTTCTTATATACTGGCCTTTATGGTCATCGTCACTCTTTACTTTGGATCGATTCACTTTGCATCTCGAACTGAAGAAGGATGCTGCTCACCATCAGATACCGAGAGCTCTGTACAGATCTCAGTCGACAACTCCCAACAACAGAACATCGATCCAAGCACTGCGTCCATCATAGTATCCGACTCTTCATCCCAAAAAGATGATCAACCTCAATCAGAACCTGAACCTCAACCTGAACCTCAACCTGAACCCCAGCCAGAACCCGAACCCGAACCTGAAGTCATTGTTGTTAACCCCGAAGACCTGGTGTTTGAGTCCTGGGTCAATCCGCTAAAGACAAATCCCGACTTTGAAAGTATTGCCGACCTGTCGACCGAAAGAGTAAAGGCTGTGATTGTCATTCTGGTCAGAAACAACGAATTGGAACCCATGAGACGAACCCTGCGTGAATTTGAAGAGTAGGTTTTTTATTTTATTTTAAAAAAAAATCATATCATCTTGTTTCATTTGACATGATTTCTTTTTTCTAACAAATAATTAATGCCTCTAGTCGCTTTAATCGAAAGTACGGTTACCCATATGTCTTCCTAAACGACGTCCCATTCACAAAGGAATTCAAGATTGCCGTCACTGCCCTGACTAATGCCCCGATCAAGTTTGGTCTGATCCCTGAAGAAATGTGGTCAATCCCAGACTGGGTGGATGAGCCAAAGGTCCACGAACAACTGGCTGACTACGAAGCCCGTAACATCCTCTACGGTGGCTCCCTTTCATACCGCCACATGTGCCGCTTCAACTCGGGTTGGTTTTATCGTCATCCTCTTTTGAAAAACTATGACTATTATTGGTAAGCAAAGCAAAGCAAAGCAAAGCAAAGCAAAGCAAAGCAAAGCAAAGCAAAGCAAAGCAAAGCAAAGCCTAGTATAGCCTAGCCTAGCCTTCCGGATATTATTTTATAGTACGCTATTTGGAGTGTAGTTTGTGGTATAGTGTGTACGACCTGCCAAGAAACCAAAAAAGAAAGAAGGATTCATATATTTGTAATCCTTGGCATTCATTCATTCATTCATTCATTCATTTATTTATTTATTTATTTATTTATTTATTTATTTATTTATTTATTTATTTATTTATTTATATTGTTTCTGTTATTGTAGGCGTGTGGAGCCTGGAGTTCATTTTTACTGCGATCTCAACTACGACCCTTTCAAATACATGCAAGATAACGGAAAGGAATACGGATTCACAATCACTCTCCAAGAAATCCCTCAGACCATCCCTACCCTGTGGGACCACACCATGAAATTTGCTCATGCAAACAACATCGATACCTCGTTTCTCAGCTTCTTTGGCAGTCCTGATGGTGGCTACAACATGTGTCACTTTTGGTCAAACTTTGAAATCGCCAGTCTAAAATTGTGGAGGGATGATCGCTACCAGGTATATTAAATTAAATTAAATTAAATTAAATTAAATGAATGAATTGCTGCTGCTGCTGCTACTGATACTGCTGCTACTATGTATAATATAAATTCAAATGTCTAACTTGTCGTGTTTTAAAAAGGCTTATTATGATTATCTGGATTCAACTGGAAACTTCTTTTATGAACGTTGGGGTGATGCTATTGTTCACAGTTTGGCAGCAGGTCTGTTCTTGAACAAGACTCAGGTTCATTTCTTCAATGACATTGGATATAAGCATGACATTTTTACCCATTGCATCGATGACGGAATCTACGGTAACTGCATGTGTCCTGGTAAGAATCTTTTTATTATTTTATTTAATTTTGACACTTTTAAATATAAAATAAAATAAAATAAAATAAATAAATTTACACACAAATTATGAAGCCGCGGGATGCCAAGAAAGAGAATATAATAGAGTTTTATTATCTTTTTATAACAAGCTAACAATATATTCATTCAACTCACTCTTATCAAATCAATTTTATCTATCTGTAGAGAGCGTAACAAACTTTGATGAAATGTGGGGCTCCTGCTTACCAGTAAGTTTCTTTGTCTAAATATAAATCTATTGAAACCAAATGATTTACAAACGGTTTTAATAATAGAATTGGAAAGAGTTCCCTGAACAAGGTAGACAATGGAATTTTTATGAAAATGGTACCCAGATCTACAACAACCAGGTCTACTCAAAACCAGAATACAAATCAAAAGCATATTAAGAAGAGAAAACTATATACATATTCATTAATAACCAATAGTAATCACACCAACAATAATAATTATCATTATACAAATCATTTCGCACTTACCTTTACCCTCACTACCCCTCACTCTCTTCACTCACTCAAAAAATATACACCTTGTAAGAATATAAACAATAAATATAAATATACATATATATATACATAAGTATAAGTATGACATACAACACCATTTTTGTATACCATATATCCAAACAAAAATATTGAGTGGGAGTAGACTTGCACAATTGCCAAGAAACAAAGCAAATTAGACACTTGACAAGTTTCCAAAGATTCTCCAGCGAACAAGGCAAACCACACCTTTGGAACTTCATGTATGGTATATATTCTATTGTGATCCAATCTCATAAAATAAAATATGAAACAAAGGATGAAACAAAGGCACAAAATGGGTTTATACAATAACATTAATCTTCTTGATCTGTCCACACCAAATAATTCGTAACCATAGTCCAAAAACATTATGCTTTGAATCTCTAAAGTTTGTTCAAACCTCTACTCCTTTCAGTTGTCCAATCTTGAACTCTTCGAAAACATCGTGTCCATAACATTCTGTGCATCCAAAATCAAAAGGTATTGTCCAAATAATTTATGTGTGTGTGTGCACCTTTTCTGTTTTTTTTTTTTTTTTTTTTTTTTTAAAAAAAGAAAAGAAAAGTATTGCAAGTGCCGACACTTACGTCACGGGAATCTGTCATTCGAAATCGTTGAACTTCTTCCTTCTCTTTCCCTAGTTCCTACATCTATACCGAACAAACCCCGCGCCGCCTTTAGCCACCGCACCATCACTAACGCACCACCACAATAATCTCCTAAAATCCATCCATCCATCCATCCATCTATTTAAAAACTTGGTTTTTTATCCTTCTTTTTCGTTTATTTATCATGCCCGCCACTACCATTGCCCACCGTCCCCAAACCATTCAATCTTTGATTGATGGTGTCGAACGCTACAACCCCGAAAACGTCAATGTTCTCGAAGAATACCTTGCTACTCAGTGCAAGAATGGAGATTATGATCTTATGGCCAACCTTGCCATCTTGAAATTGTACGTCATCATTTAATTCATATACAATTACAACTGTAAATTACACACAAACACACGTCGACACATACTTTTCTGTATTTCAATCGATGCAATAATGACATGCGAAACAAACGAGACCTTATATATACATCAGAGTTCCTTAATGCACATTATACAAACACACGCACAGACAATTGTTTTCTTAAAGCATCAATTCATTACCTATAATCTAAACTCAGTCAATTCAAACCGAATCATCATCCATTATTCATCTTTCATCCAAATTCAAATCGATTAGACTCAAACATGCAAACATGCAAACACACATACATACATACACACATATATATACATATACATAGATATTTATATAATTTATTTTATCTTAGGTACCAATTCAACCCTAACCTTGCCAGCACCAATGTCATCATCAACATCCTCGCAAAGGCATTGACTGCCGTTCCTGCACCCGATTTCAACCTTTGCCTTTACCTCTTGAGCGAACAAGCCGTAAGCAAATATTCTTTTCTTTCTAATATGATATATATTATATGAAATTATACCACAAACACAATACTTACTTACGCATACGCTTATATTTATATTTTTATTATATTTTTATATTCACCATCTTTCATTTATTTTTCATTACTATTGCTATTGCTATTATTACTATTTCCATTATTACTATTGTTATTATTATTAAAAAAATACCAAAAAAAACATATATGTAAATAATAGACTCTTCCTGCTGTTGAAAAGTTGACAACTCTCCAACAATTGTTGGAACAATCCCGTTACGCCAAGTTCTGGGAAACCTACAACAACGAAGAATACAAATCGCTTACTGCTGCCGTTGTTGGCTTTGAGGCTGCCATTCGCCAGGTCATTGCTCGAGTTGTTGCCATGTCCCACCAGGTCATCAGCACATCCGTCTTGAGCAGCTACCTTGCTCTCAGCGGTGATGAGTTGACCAAGTTCTGCAACGAACAGCAGTGGCAGAAGAAGGACGATGTTGTCCAGATTCCTATCAACGAAGACAATGAAGCCAAGGCTGTGGTTGTCATTGAGAACATCAAGTTTGAACAATTGACAAAGGTTATTGGCTACTCCAACGAGATGTAAAGAAGAAAAAGAAAAATCTCTCCCCCTTCCATATCATCATCACCAACACTTTATATAAAGAAAAGAAAACAAACAAAAAAGGATAAACATGTGCAGTCAAAAAGAACAAAGAGGAGCAATGGTATGATATTCTTCACAAAAGAAGAGTTTTTTTTTCATGTTAATTTAGAAGCGATCATCAACAACAACAACAACAGCAACAGCAAACACAACAACACCTATTCACACACACACACATTTTACGCATCTTTTATTCTCTTTATAAAAGATTTTCCTTTTATCTCCTTTCCTTACCTCATTATTTCATTCCATATCTCTTACCTCCTTCAACTTGTATAAAAAAGAATTCCCATCAAACTGCTGCAAAATAACAATGATTATTGTAATATTAATGAATTTCCTAAAGAAATAGAAATAAAGTCAAAGAGGTTGATCTGTTTATATATATATATACGTGTGTGTGTGTGTGTGGAATCCAGAAACCCTTATTTAAAGTAAAAATAAAGAAACAAAAATGTGCGCGAGCGTATCTGTGCCTGTGCCTGTGTTATTATTTATTATTTATATTTGTATTTGAATTTGTGTGTACAGCAAGTCTCTTTATATATCTCCTTTAATTGAAAAGAGAAAAAGAAGAATTGAAAGCAAGAAATGTCTAGAAATAAAAAGGTGTTTCATGACATTCAACAATGTCGTCAAATACACTCTTGTCAACATTCAAAGTGGCAGTGGTGCTAGAAGTAAGATCATGATCATCAGTGGCAGTGGTATTAATGATATTTGCCCCGTGATGTTCATTGTATATCAATTCAAAGCAGACAACCAATGTCTTTAGACCAAGCAAATATCCATTGTCTGGTCCCTTGTGTCTCGGAGGAAATGTGAATTCTTCGCTGTGCAGGCGCACGTCTTCGGCACTGACACACCGGGCAAAGTCAATGATCCTGAGATCCATCGGCCGCTGTGGATTCTGGCCATCATAAATCATCAGCAACGAGGACGCATAGAATCTGTAGTCGACCAGTTGTTTTACGATCTTGGCCAGTGCGATCAGCCGTCGGATGACAAATGGAATGTGGTGGATCTGACAGCCCTGACCATTGTCCAGGTATCGCTCCAGCGCGTCTCGGAATTGATTGGCGGTCTTCAAAGATCTTCCAAAGTATTTGTCCTGAAATTTAAAACTCTGGCTCGGCTGGTTGTACACCTGCATCCCGCACACACGCACCCCAAGAGTCTTGCTTGTCGATGACTCGCACTTTAGGGTCTGGCTGCGCATCTTATCTCTGGTCGCATACACACCGTATTGTCTAGTGCCCATCTTGAGATCCAAAACGCACGGTTTCTGTACTCCATCTGTCAGATCTTCGATAAGGATGTATTGTTGTGTTGCATCGCTGGAATTGTGATTGTGATTATGATTGTGATTATTATTCTGGTGATCTCTCATCCTTTGAAGATCACGTTCTAGGACTCTAACAGACCATGAAGATTCATTCGTTGTTGATGTTGATTTCAAAGGAGGAGGAGGAGTCTGTAGTCTGGCTGGCGGAGATTCGTGCCTGGGCTCAACAAGATCATCCATTGAAAAGATCTCATCGTCTTCAAGGGATTTTGTACATGGAGAAGAGTATGCTGATGACAGGGGTCGAGAGATCTGTTTGTATGGGCGGCCAAGACTTGGTGCCGAGCTTCCACCTTGTGCCAGTGATTGTTCCCATCGCTCGAGTTGATCCTGCTTTTGTTTTTCTGGTTCGGTAGGATTGATCCGCCCAGAGAAACTGTAACTGTGGGGGTGGCGAATCACATGATCAGGCGAAGTTGAGGTTGAGGTTGAGGTTGATACTGAGATTGAATTTGAAGAGCCTGGCCGTCGTTTCCAGCGATTGACTTGAGAAAGTCTTTTGCGAAGTGCTTTTGGTGAGAATACTTCTCTCAGCACTTGTTCATGAAACTTTTTTGTTCGGTTAGAATCATCAAATTTCGAAGCAAAATACAATTGACTGTCAGGAAACAAGGACAATGATTTAGAATTAAATTTAGAAGTAGAAGTAAATGTAGCGCTGGATGTAGAGGTAGAGGTAGTCGAGTTTAAGTTAGAGGTAAAAGACGAAGGAGGAGGTGGGGGTGGGGACGGATGTGGATATGTGGAAGAGTTAGTATAATGATGAGATGGCAGGGGAAGAGAATGAGTAGAAGAAGGGGTACGAAGAGGGGTAGAAGGAGGGAGAGGAGGAGAAGGAGGATGTTGGCGATGACAGGCACGCCAGTCACGCAGCAAATGTGAATTCTTTTCAAAAACGACTTCGGGTACTACCGTTTGGCCGGAAGAACGGTAGGTGACATTGAGAACCCCCAGATACTGCGACGTAAAAGGCACGAGTTCAGAGTGGTGTTCTTCCAGGTGTTCGTAGAAATGCTGTTCTTCTGGCGAGACTGGTTTGCAGATCGCTCGTTTTGAGAAGCGAAAAAAAGAAGCATGACCACCGACTTGATTTGTGAATGGTAAAAGAGGTAATGAAGAAGTTATTTGAGTTGGGTCAAAATAAGAAGAGTAGCTGTCGCTGTTGGGTGTCCATTCGTCACTGTCACTGCTGCTACTTTCGTATCGGTCGTCCCAATCGCCGCCATTGGAGTCATTATCTTCATAGTCGGATATATTGCATTCTTGCATGGAGTGATTGTTCATTTTGACGGAGAATGGTAATTATTATTATGATTATTATTTTAGCCCTTTTTAAATAATTTCTTTTTTTTTTTATTTATTTTGATTTATAGGTGGTAAAGAAGTGTAAAATAAATAAATAATTAAATTAAATATATAAATTAAATATATAAAATATATGTAGAGATAAGAAAAAAAAAAGTATATTTTTGGTATATATAATATAATAAAATAAAATAATTATTTAAAATATATACATATAGTAATAATACAAATCAAACCTCGGTGCTTAATTGGCAATCGCCTTTGTATATATATATATATATATATTTTCTTAATATCAACGTACAAAAAAATATTCGCACACTTTAATACACTCTTGTATATGTATATATATATATATATATATATATATATATACGCCTATACAAACAGACATGTGCGTTTGTTGGGATCTAAGAAAAGGGGTTAAAAGGTTGTCCAGTCAGAGTCACAGTCTATGGCTGTAGAATTGGTAAACAGATTCCGATTGGTCTGTATTGACAAGTAGTTAGATCTCTGACACGTGCCAGTAATTCGTTGGAAAGAGTGGATGATATAAAGCAACAATTAGAAAAAGAAAGAAATAAGTAAATGTTACAATGTTTATATAGGCTATACACAAAAGCACTGATTATAATTATAATATACATATAAATATAAATACATATAAAGTATATTTATTATATGTATGTGTGAGTGTGTGAGCGTGTGAGTGTGTGTGTGTGTAAATGTATAAAATAAATGACTATTGTGGATTTGATCACGCTTCTTCTTCTTCTTTTTTTTTTGGTAGTGATTCAAATCAAAATAGTAATAAAAAAGAAAGACTTGTTTGATCTTATAATCTGAAAAGAAGTACAAGCATAACAATATAAGTCGCCATGGTAACAATTGTAGTCAATATAACCCAATTGCCACTTGTCTTGAATGGTATCGAAAGATCAAACACGTCTCCTGCAGTCCGTCGTCTCCAGAGTGCAATAGCCAGCATAGCCATTCCGAATACAAAAAAGGTTATCCCAATCTTGTAGAATTCACGCGAAAAGACCTTTAAGATCAATAGACCCGTAGAAAATGCAGCTAGTGCAGTGCGCCAATATGCACCTTCAAATGTACGCTGACGAGCTAAGGATAGATTAAAGAAGAATCAAGGGAGTGCAATAAATAGAAAGATAGAAAGAATTGTTATCAAAGAGAAAATGTCAATCTAAAGACTTGATTACAAAAAAAAAAGAAAACGAAAAATATCAAGATTCCAGTTTTAATCGTTTATTCATTCGTTCAATTTACTTCATTACTCATCCCATCATTCATTCACTTCTTTTATATATAAACATATATATTAATAGAGAGAAATAATAATAATAATAATAATGACGAATTAATTCTATTATTAAACTAATCGCACAAAAATAAAACTAACCTCGAAGGTCTTGTAATTCTGACAAGGTCAAGAGAACAGACTCTCGACGATGACCTCGAACTAATGACTCCTTTGTCTTCATCGTATGTAAAACAACAAGGAGAACATCCAAAAGAAGAAGTAGGAAAAAGGAAATATATTTTATATTTTATATATATAAAATAAAAAGTCAAGACTAGCTGAGTTGCAAACAAGACCATGATCATTCAACAATACCTAAAAAAAAAATTAAAAGGTGAGAAATCAATCTAGAGAGTCATTCCACTTAAGAATTTTCTACCAATCTACTACTACTATGATTATTTCTTATATATAAAAGAAGAAAAAGGAGAAGCCGTGACTAAGAGTCAAGCAAAATACCTTTCTTTTTCTCTCAAGCATTGTGTCTGTTTTCTTCGTCTTCTTTATTAGGTGGATAATCTCGAAGGAAAGGAATTCTAGTGTTTCTGATTAGTAGCTAATTAAAGCAAAATTGATGCCATATTTCTTATAAGGATGGCGCAATCTATGCAGTAATATTGTATTAAGAAATTACCAAAAAAAACAATATATGTAGAATAAATAACGTTCTCTTTATTCTTATTAATCCAATAGACATAAACGCCTTAGAAATAAGGAAAGTACGTACGTTCGTTTCAACACACTTGGTACAAACTAGTAAAGGCTGAAACATAGAGATCACTTTCTTTCTTTCTTTTTTGTATTAATGTTAAAGCTTAAAATTGTATGTATATATCTGTGTGTACACCCTCTGTAGAACAATACCAAAAAAAAAAGTTCAAAGGACAAATGATCAAAAGCAATAGCAAATTCTTGATTTTTGATTTCCAAAAAACGAAACAAAAGGCATATACTGCATCTAATTTATTATTTACAAACACATGTAAATCAGCAATTCATTATATATATAAGCCACCATACTGTTTAATTACTGTCTAAGATTGAAAGGCATTTGAGTACAATAAAGAAAAAGACATATAACCCAAAGATGTGGGGGATATATACACTCCGTCTAATTTAAATGGCGTCATCGCGAGGACAGAACAGAACAAAGCAGGACAGAAAAAGCGCACAAAAATCAAAGAAAAGGAAGGGGCTTTTGATTATCAAAAATTATGATGAGAGAAAAGTGATCTGGTTAGATCCAAATCGATTGTATTGACACAACAGCTTCCCATAGGGGGATTTGAATGATGGACACATAAATAGACAGAATACAGTAAAACACATTTGTAAGTCGCATAATTTGAAAAAATAAGTCGCCCTGAATATTTTTTTTTACAATATTTATATGAGAGGAAAACGGTAAAAAATAAACGAAAGGAAAAAAAAATCTGCTCCAAGAAGTGTCTTATCACCACAAGTGCATTGACTGCTATAACACCAAGAAGGAAGGGCTGTTCGTTCATGACAGGAGCCCAGTGAGCTCGCCAAATGGCATGGTTTGGAGATAGAAGCCTCAGCAAAAGTCATTATGGTCAGGAGAGACGTCTAGAGGATAATCAGAATGTAATTGTAGACAATATGCCTACCTTTTGTCGACAAAACGAGAATGGAATTTGGACAAAGAGAAATTAGTTTTCAGACGAAGTATAAATTTATTCAGACATTTTACCCGTAATTGTCTAAATGGCTCAAAGAGTCTGCCTGTTTACGTTACAGTGATCGTATTGTCGTTGTTACCGTTGTTGCTGCTGGCTGCTTGCTTGTTTGTCTGCCTCTATCAGATCTTTGGAGAGCGATTGGTCGATGGGTTCCTCTCAAAGTTGACAAAGCAATCGTCGTCATTTTTTTGCAGCATTAACATCTCGCTGCCACAGTGTATTACAGTTTTTATAGGCCGGTAAAGAAAGGACAACTTTAGATCGTCAAAAAGTGCAAATTTTATTTTATAAAATAAGCAAAATTTCAGTATTTCTCTTTGACCAGCATTCAATCCTCGATGTGGCTAATATACACCATGTATATTGTTCTCCGAAATCTAACAGCTGAAAATGTTAATGAATCTGAGTACTTGTGCAGAACTAAAAATACAAAGTTCAAAAGTCTAACTGCTTTCCAATGATCTGCTAAAAACAAGTGAAAAAGCAGCAGTCAACAGCAGCAGTCAACAGCAATAAGAATAATAATCCTGTTATGTAACGTAAACAGTTTGTCTGAGACATCTAGATATATAGGTAAGATGTCTGAATAGATGTCCAATTTGTCTAAGCTATTTTCTCTTTGTCCAAATTTCATTCTCATTTCGGCAACAATGCGAGTGCTAAGAATACTTGTGATTATACAAGATGGAGCCTCGCTTCATCCCTGACCATAACAATATAAAGAAACGTCAAGCAGCTCTCTAATATTCTTGGTATAAAAATCGGTGTACTTCAGATGCTCAAGAGTCTTTATCTCTTTTCTGATTCCAAAACTGATAAATACTTTTATAATCTATATTACAGTCGCCAATCAGAATAACCGTTTAAAAAAGAATACACCTCAGAATATTGCAGTTTCAGTTTTCGATAACTCTTTGCATCTCTTCTACCGCTTTTCTTATAACACATGTGTGTTTTCTAAATGAAAAGAGGTTCAACTTCAACTAATCTACCGCGACCTCTAAAAAGATATAAAGCTGAACGATGGTAAAGTATTAAACAGCCATATCATCCGTTTCTAACATTAGTATAGTATCAGACGCAGAAACATCTACTGTTGAGGATAGTCATCCGAACGTAACAAATCAAGAAGAGGGCCCTCACTCTTCCAGTACACCAATTTATCCGAAAAAAAGTAAAAAAAAAAGACAAGTAAGAAAAAAGCTTCCAAGATAGTCCACTGCCCCTCGTATGGCTCAAACACTCATGCACGGTCATCAAATAGTAAATGTCCGTTCAAAAAAGTCAAAGCAGGTGAGCATGGTCCTGAGGAGAGAGTTGAGCAATTTACAATCAAAACATCTTTGCACAATACATACCGAAACAACACAATGGCTCAAGAATTTTTAAAAGCTGCCAAATATACCACCAAGGTTTTGTTTGTTGGCTCCATGTTTGCAAACTTTGTCTTTATCAAACTACTCAATTCCAATCAAGAAATTCCGGCTATTGGACAAAGCTTGTTTATCAATATGTTTACTATCATATCTGGAAATGGCAAAAATACTTCGCCGAGTTTTGTGAATCAACTGGTCTGGATTTCATGGTCCTTCGATCATTGAAAAGTGTCGGATACTCTAGTATTTTATCTATTGTCGGTAAGCAATATGAGACTCTTTCCCGAAATTACATACATGATACACACCAACGAAGAACAATACGGGACTTTCGTACCTACAGAATATACAGATCAGCAAAGACATATGTCTTTTTTTTTCTATTCTACCTCATTATTCTATTCAGCAAAAGACCGTCCAGATCGATCCTCAAGCACCTTTTAGAGTATTGAGCCAGTGCGATAAACCCAATTATCGCAAGGGATTGAAAACAGAATCTGATTTAATTGACTTTTATTACAAGTATTTTAACTTTTCAAAAATTGTATTCCGTACTCGAGAAAGTCTTACGAACGAAAAGAAAAAATTCAAGCAAGTACAAAATAAACATGATACCGCAGTGTCTAACCTAGGTCCATAATTAAAGGAACAATTGCTACAGACGGACATTTGGTGTCATTCATAACGCAGGAACTCTTAAAGATGCGACTTTTATAGTGTGTCTTACTGTAGATAGCATATTTCTTATTTATAATATATGTATTATATTACACACAGTGTAAGCGGGGTGTACAGACAAAAAAAATAAACTCCGTACAAAATAGGGTCGGGTGAGATGTGGGAATGGAAGAAAAGGTGGATTGACCTTACACACATACATACATACATATGCATTATGTATATATATAAAAGATGTATGCATGTATATATCACTATTCCTCGCCTTTGTCTTTGTCTTCTTCTCCTTCTTTTTCTTCTAAGTCTTTACAGCTCCTTGGCGCTCAACGCCTTTTCTCTCTCTTCTGCGTCGATACTCACCAATACTCGACTGGCATTGACGATTTGGATGACATTGATAAAGTTCTTGGCAAGGCAGATTGTACCGGTTAATACCAATGCAACCATCCAGAAACCTATTAATCATAATAGAAGAAGAAGAAGAAGAACAATTCAACATTTGTAAGAAGAACAAATTCCTTTTTATATATATATCTTACCGTTTATAGGACCAAAGAAGTTAAGGATGTAGAGTGTAACATAGAACAACTCGTTACCAGCACACATCAGAAACAAGACAATCTAAAGAATAGATAGATGTAAATACATAACATTATTAAGCTTTTCCCTCTTCTTTTATTCTCATTGCACACAATTTCCCTTTGTGGTTTAGATTTATATACTTGCATTGTTGTTGTAGTAAAGACGAAGGAACCAACTATCAGATTCGGACAACTTTTTGTGACTAGAGAGACCAACTGTCATGGAGCTATATGTATTTGTTTTGTGAGAATTGGTTATTATTATTCTCTGTTTTGTTTTATTTTTACATGCGTTCCTTCACTCGCTCATATCTCTCTCGTTTAGTTCTTACCTATACATGTGCATATAATGAGAGCTAAAATCAAGTGCGATCAACAATTGGAATAGAATAGCCCAGGGTTGATACATGAGTGACAGATAGCACAGAAGACACGTCGTGGTACATCTTTAAAAAAACATAAAGATAGATTGTTTAATACAATAAACTTACAAAATACTCTATTGACCCTTCTTTATTTATTTATGTTTTACCTGTCGGTGACCATATCCAAGACCGCACCAAATTTACTGCCTATGTGTTTATAACCATCGATATTAATTTATTCGTATTAACACCCATGCAATTATTCTTACATTGACCAAAATGTCTCGCTGCTACACCATCAACAGCATCCAACAGACAGGAGATGCAGTACAGAATAACGCATACTTTGGGATGCCATGGCATGAAATACAATGATAAGGTTGCAAGGACAATGCGCGTATAGCCTATTATTATTATTATTATATAAAAAGGTAAGAGATTTTGGCGATGATGAGAATGTGTTGTTCGATGACTAATGAGGATTGACTTACCAATCAGATTTGGTATGAACAAAAATACATTTTTTGTGGTCTTTAAAGACGTTATACTTAATGCGCTCATTATTAGGACTGATATACGGCTACGGACAACAGGTAGATAAGATAGAATATGTAAATATTTATATTTTTTGGTTTTTGGCTTTCTCTCTCACAGTATTTTTTTAATTTTTTATTTTTTATTTTGCTTCTTTTATTTCTGAAATTGAAACAAAAAGGAATAAAAATAAATAAATAAAATAAAATAAAATAAAATAAAATAAAATAAAATTAATATAAATATATATAATAGAGAGAGAGAGAGAGAGAGAGAGAGAGAGAAAGTAGATGGTTGGTATTTTATTTTTATTTTGAACTTTTGGGTAATTGTCTTTAAAGAGCAGAAATTCCAATGAACCACTGCACCGACATCAAAACACGAGTACAAGAATACATATATATATAAAATATTCAGAATTACTTGGAATTCAGTAGGCGCAAAAACCCTCTAATAAAAACAATAAACAAATAGGCAGATAAGCTGACAGGCAAACAGGCAAACAGGTAAGCGGGCAGACAGGCAGACAATTAGACAGGTGGGTAGACAGATAAACAAGCGGATAGACCAAAAAATAGACGAGACACGTAAAGCTGAATTTCTTAAATTGGGTTTTTTTCTTCTTTTGTAACTCACAAGAGCTATATAGTTTTTCAACTTGAGATTAAGACAAATTAGGATTTTTTTTAGACGAATTACCCTATAGAAAAAAAAAAATAGGCGATTTTAGTGAATTGTTGCAAGTTTTCCGGGGTTTAAGATGTCTTGTAGTTGAATTTTAATTAAGCACCAATTTCTCTCTCTCTCTCTCTTGTATATTCTACTTTTTTTTTGCAGTCAAAGCAAAACATCTTTTTCTTAGCCTTTTCAACCCGTTACAAAACTAAATACCAAGTTATTCAAATCTAATGGCTTACCAGCGGTAGCTTTGGTGGTTCCTAAGCGGTAACCAGGACATTTTTTTATCTTCTTTGAATTCTAGTCAGTCTTTGTCTCAAACGACAACCCTCCTGGAGATCTTCTTCTGCTTGTCTTCTGGCACTTACAATTTTAATGGTGCCGGTAAATCTATTAGGGTGGGGCTATATTAGCGAGAGTTTTCAACTTGCTTAAAGGTTCGAAGGGAAATCTGGGAGCACGAAAAATAGTGCTTGGAAGTACTAAGTGTATCAAACAAACAAAGATCAAATTCATGCTTACAAAGTAGATATCTAAATACTACACCATTGGTTGGTTCATGACTATGTTTGTGAGATACAGACCAGTCTTTTACCATTAATACAGAAGGTTAACCAAATTCAGAACTGATATTGCTTTCTGGACATTCTTTAGCTTTGGATTGGTTAATATAGAAGGAAAGGCGAAACTTGCGAAATAAATCTTTGGTTGGTTTGAATTTTGGTATTTGCGTAAAATAAGCATAGAATAGAGATAATTACAGTAATATAGGCATAGTCGTGACAATAAATAAGCTCACGATTTTATCTTGTCATTTCTATTATATAAAAGGCAGTGCTATGATCAAACAGCAACAAAGGGACATCAGCAAAAATATCCTGTTTAATATATTTGTCAAGATCGAAGAATGGATCGCGTGATAACTTGGTAAGAAATATGTATCTCATAAGTGCGAAGGTGTTGGTGACAATTGTGTGGACTTTAGCGACAAGGACTTGTAGAGGTCTAAGAAACTCAGGACTTCACCCCGTTGCCTTTATTGATGCCTTGACAGTAATGGCTCGGAATGGGGTAGCTTCGTTCATTGTCTTCTAATCCACAGTGGACTAGAGATATGAGGTTTGGGCAGTACTTTTGAAAGTGCAAATTTGTAGTGACATACTAAGATATTGGGTAAGTATATATGCTGAAGGTCAGTTAATAGATTACTTACAAGAGTAAAGAACAAAGGTATGTAGAGTTTAAAATTCTTGCCTGTCGATCGTGCTGTCTTTTATAGACTTTTATATATGTGACTTTGACATATGAGAATATAGTACATAATTGACCGGATAAATATAATGATTGATTGATATAAAGGAGAGCTGCCTAAAGATATTAATCATTTCATTATTATCCTGCAAATATATCAAAATAAAATTTAGTTCCTTGTATCTGTATTTGCGTTTTATATTCGTTGTTCTGAACTTTGTGTACCTATCACTAAAAACTGACTGGGATATGCGTGGGTATGTATAATTTATCTTGAAGAATAGTTCATAACCATTGTATTGCTTGCAAACCTTCTTCAAGCCTTTTATCATAGGAATTGAATAATAATATTAATATGATTGATTTGAAGGACTTGTAACTTTGATACTTCTAGCAGTTAGGCTTAAGGTGATATTCAATTATCCTTATCTTGGCTTTTAATCCAAAAAGCCATTTTATGTGAATATTGTATGCTGGACTGCTTACAGGTTGCAAAGTTGAATAAAGAGACCAAAATGTCCTACACAATTATGTATTTTTAATCTGAACTTAAAGAATCCTTTGCCATCAAAAAGTAATGACTGTATTACTTTTTAATGCATTGTTGCTTTTTTATTTTGTAAAAGTCTTTTTTATTTCTTTTTTTCACAAGGTCTAAATTATTAAAGGTCTTTAAAAGAAACGTACTTAATAGCTATCAAGGCTAGTACTGATAAAATGTAAATCCGTAAAGCTGACAAAAGAAAGTAACTTGAGAAGAATTGACAGAAAAAAAAACATCTACATCATGTACAGTTTGGTTGTCAAGATTGCTCGCATGCTCATTAGAAATAATTGATCCAGAGAATTGCAGGGAGTATGTCTTCTGGTTTTTCAAAGTAGGGATCAGACATGACAATGATAACACAAAGCAGGTTTATACTCTTTGATAAAAAGAATCAATTAAGCCATATACATACCTACATTAATATTATAGTATTTAGAGAATAGCAGTTTTCTTTAGATAAAGAATGTAAAAAGTATCACATAAAAATATATACATGTACATTACTTAATAAATGTATAGCTTAAGCTGCTACTAAATATCATAAAAATTGGTACTTCTTCTTTGCATACTTCTTTATGTTTAACTTGTATTATTTTGATCAATAAAAACCATAAACTTCCAATATAAAACATCGTGCATTTGTTGAACCAATCATAAAGAGAATAGAATACCTAAAAAAGATATAATTGACATATTTTGAATATTTGATTGGATTAGATGCAAAATAATATAAAATCCCATAAATCGTATTTGCCAAAAAGTAAGGTTGATAGGCTAATGTTTGGCATGTCATTGGCTATAAAAGTTGTTATTACGCAACCGAGTTGCGCATACGGAGACTTAAATGCTACCATTTCCTACAATGTTAGATTTGTTTTTAACTCTCATAATTCATAAAAAAAGCGCAACCATAAAATTTAAAAGCCAAAAACATCATATAAGCTACAAAACCTTACAAACAAATATTTTAATTTTCTCTTTTCCTATTCAATCAGAGACCTTTAATAAAATCCTGAGCTTTTTCTTCCTGGCTCCATACAAAAAAAACATAAAAAAAGCGTAATTTCTGAATGTTAGGCCAATACTATTCCGGAAAATGTGCAATAAGTTTTAATCAAGAATTTGCCTGGGATTCATTTGTTTCTTAAATAAGTGCTAAAGTTCAAAGCGCAGTACTAATCATTATCTTTTTTTAAAAAAAATTAAAAAAAATCAAACGGCGAAAAGAGGTGTGTAGGTATAATTTTCAAAGCTCTTTATCTTGACAAATTTGACAGTCTATTTACTTTTTGTTTATTAAAATAAATACTAATTATTGCTACCTAATTATGAGCATTGCTTCCACAATAAGCAGTCTTTCAGCTTCCACGGCTGTTTGGATGATCTATTAACTTTTTCCTCCGCCCTACACATGATTAGTGTTGGTACGACTTAATGTTGAGGTTGCGTTCCGTCTCTTGTCTTGGCAAAAAAAGCCCTGGCGTGACATTAAATCCTTTTACTACTGTGCTAGGCAGAAGATTAAAAGGCCATTTATGATTATCTAATATTTGTATTCCAGTATAAACAGCATCTTGAGCAACATCTGAAAAGCATGTTCCATGTTGTTCAGCCGTTTAGCTTTTATTTATTGGATTCCGTCAGTTGGTATTGTGATTAGGCTGGCAGAGTAAAGCATTTGGCTCCAAACTCTAGACTGTGCTTGTGTCAACCTTAATTTTGTAAAGCAATACACCACATACTTGCTCATTTCTCTTTGTTGTTGTAAAAACCAATAACTATCCAACAAAATATACACCAAAAACTCATCGATATCCCAAATATTTATTTCAGCACAAGTCACAATCCCCTAGGTGTCTGTGCGCATGACTGTTACTTTCTTCACCGAGTTACATCCCTTTGACTTTTTTTTTCTTTCTCTTTTTCAATCGATCGATCAATTAACCTTGTCTTAAACTGTAAAATACCCATTCTATTAGCCCCAATTTCATAATATTTTTTGATACTGTAGAACATGCTTAACTTCTTTATATTACAATAAAAAGTGTATTTTAATATATTGGCTATAATTAATTAAAGCTTATTCCTAGATACATAAATACAATAGCTAGCCTTCTTTTTTTACTTGTATTGATAAACGTTTAAAACATCAGTCTTAATATGGATCTCATTTCTACCAAGCAACATAATAATAATTTTGTACTTGCTTGAATTTTTTCTTTTCGTTCGTAAGACTTTCTCGAGTACGGAATACAATTTTTGAAAAAAGTCAATTAAATCAGATTCTGTTTTCAATCCCTTGCGATAATTGGGTTTATCGCACTGGCTCAATACTCTAAAAGGTGCTTGAGGATCGATCTGGACGGTCTTTTGCTGAATAGAATAATGAGGTAGAATAGAAAAAAAAAGACATATGTCTTTGCTGATCTGTATATTCTGTAGGTACGAAAGTCCCGTATTGTTCTTCGTTGGTGTGTATCATGTATGTAATTTCGGGAAAGAGTCTCATATTGCTTACCGACAATAGATAAAATACTAGAGTATCCGACACTTTTCAATGATCGAAGGACCATGAAATCCAGACCAGTTGATTCACAAAACTCGGCGAAGTATTTTTGCCATTTCCAGATATGATAGTAAACATATTGATAAACAAGCTTTGTCCAATAGCCGGAATTTCTTGATTGGAATTGAGTAGTTTGATAAAGACAAAGTTTGCAAACATGGAGCCAACAAACAAAACCTTGGTGGTATATTTGGCAGCTTTTAAAAATTCTTGAGCCATTGTGTTGTTTCGGTATGTATTGTGCAAAGATGTTTTGATTGTAAATTGCTCAACTCTCTCCTCAGGACCATGCTCACCTGCTTTGACTTTTTTGAACGGACATTTACTATTTGATGACCGTGCATGAGTGTTTGAGCCATACGAGGGGCAGTGGACTATCTTGGAAGCTTTTTTCTTACTTGTCTTTTTTTTTTACTTTTTTTCGGATAAATTGGTGTACTGGAAGAGTGAGGGCCCTCTTCTTGATTTGTTACGTTCGGATGACTATCCTCAACAGTAGATGTTTCTGCGTCTGATACTATACTAATGTTAGAAACGGATGATATGGCTGTTTAATACTTTACCATCGTTCAGCTTTATATCTTTTTAGAGGTCGCGGTAGATTAGTTGAAGTTGAACCTCTTTTCATTTAGAAAACACACATGTGTTATAAGAAAAGCGGTAGAAAAGATGCAAAGAGTTATCGAAAACTGAAACTGCAATATTCTGAGGTGTATTCTTTTTTAAACGGTTATTCTGATTGGCGACTGTAATATAGATTATAAAAGTATTTATCAGTTTTGGAATCAGAAAAGAGATAAAGACTCTTGAGCATCTGAAGTACACCGATTTTTATACCAAGAATATTAGAGAGCTGCTTGACGTTTCTTTATATTGTTATGGTCAGGGATGAAGCGAGGCTCCATCTTGTATAATCACAAGTATTCTTAGCACTCGCATTGTTGCCGAAATGAGAATGAAATT